GCCCAGTCCGCCGAGCCGCCGCTCTCCTCTCTCTCTCAGCCGCTGACAGGTGGGCCCCACCTGTCAGGTTCGTCTTCCTCGAGCCGCCGCTGCCGCCCGAAACCCTAGCGCGCCGCCGTCGCCGTTTCCTTCCAAATCCGGCCGCTCCTTTCCTTCTCCGGCCGAATTGATTGAGGGGAAACAATCTCCGGGATCTCCTCTACCTTTTCTCCTTTGGAAACATCGGCTAAATCGTTTTGGAAGTTCGTGGAATAGAGTTCGATTCGGATCGGCCTCTTTCCTTCAAGCCGCGAGCTTTCCTTCTAGTCGCCGGCCGCCGTGGGCCTTTGCCGCCGCCTCCTTGCACCTATATAAGGACCCCCGAGCTCCCCTCTACCCGTCGCCTCCTTTGCCTTAGCCTGCCGTCGCGTCTAGCGCCGCCTCCGCGTAGCCCTAGTCGCCGCCGTCATTGTCGTCGGTTCAGCCGCGCCGCGCCGCCGTTGCAGTCGCCGTCGTCGGTCGCCGTCGCCACCATCGGGTTCGCCAAGTCATCGCCGTCCCCGTCCACCGCTTCGCCGCCGCCGAAGACCGTCGGAGCGCCGTCGCCGTCGTCGACCCGAAGAGCTTCGCCGCTTCCTCCTCGTCGCCGCCGCCGTCCGTTGGTCTTCCGCCGCCGTTTTGGTCACCGGTGAGTTCGCCGCGTCGTCCTTTACGTGCTGGTGCCCTCCGTTTGTGCCGAAGTGCCGCTGTTCGCCGGCGAGCGTGCGCCGCCCGAGCTGTCCGCTCCGCCGAGCCGCCGCCGCTGTCGGTGACGTCATCGCTGGCGTTATCGTCCCTTCTCCCGTGAGCCAGTCGTGGACCGATCGATCTCAGCCGTCCGTTTTGGATAGGGTTGATCTCGGCCGTCCGTTCCCGTGAACCGTCGCCCGTGCGCCCGGTCCACCAAAACCCTAGCCGCTGACGCAATAATCCTTCTTTTCCTTTTCAAAAATAATTCATTATTGCGTCATAATTCAATTAAAATCCATATAAAGGTTTTAATCCGATTTAATCTTTAAAAATTCATATCTAATTCATCTTAGCTCAGTTTAATGTGGTTCAAGTTGCAAAAGTTGTGTAAAATAAAGATCTACATATTAAAATTGTCCATAAATTGAATTAAATTTATTTAATTCTTTTTAAATGGGCTTTAATTAGATTTAATCTTGTAAAATTTATAATAAATTCATTTGAAGTCAGAATGAGGCCGTTCAAGTCTCATAATTCATCTAAAATTATGATCTACATGTTTGTTTACTTTTTATGTATTGTTTATTTGGTTTTTATTAGTCTTTTTCCTCGTTTTGCGTGATAGCTTGTCGTTTCCGTCGTTGCAAAGGTTCGCGAGTGCGCCGGAAGTATTCAAGAAGATTAATTGAAGACCGATTATTGCAAGGCAAGTCACACAGATCCTAAACACAATCCTTTGAGCATATTGATCCTATATTTAAATTCTCTATTTATTTCAACTGTGCATTTATTTTCGAATGTCACTGGGTGGTGTGAACCTATTCCTTTGTTATGGCCTGTTTGCATTGATTATTCTATTCCTTGATACCTTGGGTTATTATAATTGGACTAGTTGAGCTTTATATATATTGGTTCAACTAGATATTAGATATAATTGCTTAGCCATGCTTAGAAACATTAGCACACAATTGGGATAACTAATGTTTCACTATCACTTATGGTTATATTTAATGGTAGCTCACGATGGTCAATCGTGATTGGTTAATTAATTACTTGCCAACTAAAACTTGATAATGGTGGGTTGTGAGCACATGGTTTTGAGAGTCGTGCTCATGACAATTAAGGACCGGTTCGCGAGCTACTGTTGTGAAACATTAACCGTGCCAACCACAAGCCAGCGTGGGCAACGGCTTTACCTTTTGTATAACATGATTCATTGCGGAGCACCAGACTGAGAAGTGGCGGAGATAAGCCCACGGGGGTCGCTGGGGAGTCCATGCCTTGTTTTATAAGGGGGTGATTATGATCCAGGAATGGTGCACTGTGGTGAGTTGTGTTATGCAGAGGGTATTGTCACAGCCTCTATTCGGGTACTTTCCAGTATCGCGACGCATGGTAGACATGATGTTGAGGCTGTGTCTTGTGGGTACAGTGGTACACCTCTGGCCAGAGTAAAACTATTCGAATAGCCGTGCCCGCGGTTATGGGCGAGTTGAGCAATGTTTTTCGTGATTAGTCTCACACCTCTCACAATAGTTATGGATGTTATACCTGGTAATAATTTGCTTAGCTCCTGGTTTGGAGATTAGATCTGTACAGCCGGGTATGGTTGTTCAGGATGGTTGGGCCTGTGCAGCATGGGTGTGCTGTTCAGTGTTGATTAAAATTCCTGATTAATTACTCCACTATTTTACTTCTCTTAAATGTTTTGCTAAATGCTGCTTTTGCAAATGAGCCAATATTACGCCATCCTTTGGTATCCTTGTGCACTTGCATATTTGCTGTGTGGCTTGCTGAGTATGTCATATGCTCACCTTGCAATAATCAATCAACCTCAGTTGAAGAAAAAGGATCCAGAAGGAGAAGACGTTTGGCTTATACCCCAGTTGAGCTGCCTGTGGGAGTGGAGCCGGAGCTTCGCTAGATTTTATTTTTCCGCTGCAGTTTTCTTCATGTTGAGGACTAAGTGCCTCTTAAGTAAGTATTTATTCGCTTTAGTTATTGATGAATCTGTATATTAAATTGTCAGTTTGTGTACCTCGGCTGATTCCTGGACGAGGATTTTATGCACAAATAAGTTCGGAAATTACTGGTGAATTTCCGGGCGTGACAAAAGCTTTATATAGCTGTCCCGCTGACTTTTTTATATAAGTCAAGGTGCTGTTTGGGTTTTTAAGCAATTGATTGGATACAATATCATTGCTTTTCGCCACGTAAGTGTGCATTTTTATTGACCAATATTATGGCTTAGGCTGATTATATATTGTGGTCATTGTCTAGGCGGTTGGTAAATCCTTTATGAGTTTATTTACTCGGATTTTACACCACATATGCCATATATTTCCAGGTGTGGTGAAACCATGTGTCTTCTAGGGACTTAAGCACATCTGTTAAAGCAGTGTGCGCATGGCGTATGCCCAATACTGTGGAAATTTTTTTATTCACAATATACAAGCTTCTTTATAGCTATTTTGCTATATCACTCATCATATTTTACAAAGCAATTGGTATATCACTCGGATCATGTTATTTGGAGGATTCACACCGCATATGCTATATATTGATATCAAGTCACTTGGTTGACTATAATTATCAAAACCACTCGGTTGGTTGGATTATTTATTCCTTGACTATATGTTTGGTTTGTTCGATTAACCACATAGTCGGGGGTTTACACCTATTAGGTGCATCTAGTCGATGCACCTGACTATATTTTTCAGCCCTCCACAGTCTTCAGATTTGGTAAAAGTACTCGGGAGACCATGGCGAAGATGATTGAAGCACTCGGCTTTGGAGTAATCTAGTTCGAGAGAAGGTTATCTTTCCGACTGTGAAGGTCTCAGGGGCTACTGTGGAGATTATGGGTACCCCATACCCACACGGCATGGTTATCCGACTAGTTATAGGGGATAACTTATATATATGAAATATGTAACAGATCATGACTTGGGTATTACGTTTCCCTGTATATTATGGAACGGCCTAAAGTCCTGGTTTGATAAGATTGTAAAGTAGATTTAGGAAACCGATACCGTATTGGTTAAGGTTTCTATCTTGTAACCCTGCCCCCCAACCTATATAAGGAGGGCAGGGAGCCCCCTCTAGGGGCAGGAGACAACCTGATCATCAAATCAATACACACCCGGCGGATTCAAATCCCCAAACAGGAGTAGGGTATTACCTCTCATTGAGAGGGCCTGAACCTGTCTAAATCCTTTGTCTCCGCATCCATCCACTTTTAGGTCTCGTGCGCTACCCCCTTTTATTATTGCCGAATCCATGTTTCGACAAGTTTCATTTGTATCCTTAACCATAAAACCAAATATATAAATATATATAGTATCGTTCGAGAATCAAAATCAGTATAAATCAAGTCTCTCGACAATTTTAATGGTGGTTTCCTCATACGTGATGTGTTGACTTATCTTTGTCCCATGTAGTGCTTACATATCATTGTAAGGAAAAAAAATAAAAATAATAATAAACTCGATAGGACCTACATATCAGTTGTGGGGGTCCCCTTCAGACCAATTTCCCTTCCTCTTTTCCCACAGCCGATTTAGAGCTAGACGGAGAGGCACCCGCGGCGGGCAGGAACATGGAACGGGAGGCAGATGGAGGGAGGGGACTAGCCCACATGGATGGTTGAGCTCAAGCTCAACTCAGGCAGGTAAGGGGATGAAGATTGTCACTGAGATGTGGAGCCCATTGAGGGCCTGTTTTTTTCTCCAACAAAGGTTGGATTAACTTTTGGATACTCGTGGTATGTTTTTCAAACTGCTAAACAGTGCGTTTCGTGCGAAAATTTCTATATGAAAGTTGTTCTAAAATATAAGATTAATCCATTTTTCAAGTTTGTAATAATTAAAACTCAATTAATCACATATTATTACCACCTCGTTTTACGTGAAACACTTAAATTTTTATCTTCATCTTCAGGAGATTCAAACACCACGTTTTCATTTGAATTATTTTCTCATTTTTTGCAGACTAGAACATAATGTAAGCGCAACATATGTGAAAGAAGGCCAAATCAACAAGTTATGTAGGCGCAATGTTAGTCAAAAACCGCCCTCTATACTGTTAAGGACTCGATTTGTAGTGGTTTTACAAGTTGGGGACTCTCTGGGCTCATTTCGTGTAGTTTTGGGTTGAAAATTAATCCACAGCTGAGGGATGTAGAGTGGACCTTTTCCAACTCTAGCCACATGACGTCTTTTAGTTGGGCTGGGCTGGAACGGCACTGCAGCGCCGCGCGGCCTTTACGGGATGGTGGCTGAGGCCCACATATGTACGTAAGGGCCCCATCTCGCCGAGGAGAGGCTGGGCGACCGCGATGAGGAAGGCGGCGGCGGCGGCGGTCGCGGCAGCGGCGGCGGTCGGCGTGGCGCTGCTGGTGCGCCGGCAGCTGCGGGAGGCGAAGCGGTGGGGCCGGGCCGACGCGGTGCTGCGGGAGCTGGAGGAGCGGTGCGCGGCGCCGCCGGGGCGGCTGCGGCAGGTGGCGGACGCGATGGCCGTCGAGATGCACGCCGGGCTCGCCTCCGAGGGCGGGAGCAAACTCAAGATGATCATCAGCTACGTCGACGCCCTCCCTTCCGGGTAAAATGGCTCGCCCCCTTCTCGCGCGATTTGCATGTATCATTGTGTTGTATGGGGAGGCGTAGTCTGAAGAGTTGGTTTCTTCGCCTGATTCGTTTGGATAATGGCTGCTGCGAGGGAACAGTGTGAAGTCCCACAGATCTGCTTCAAAGTTGAAACGTTAGGTGGTTAATGTTTTCTTTTAATTTGATTGCGGTGAACGGTGTTGCGGTCTAGCAGCGCCTGCAAAACGTTGAATGGTTGCGCATTGATGTCACGGTAATGTGATGCTGCTAGGTTGGTTGCAGTGGCGGGCGTCTGATTTTGTGTAATGGACATGGTCTTGTTGATAATTTTGATGTCGGAAACTCGCAGTAATGTTGATTTGGTCTGAAAGATGTGAACTTGACAAACCAAGTCATATATGTCTTTGCTAATTTGCTACTGATTACTACTCAGGAAAGTACGTTTCTTTCTTGTGTATATATTACTTCTCTTTAGATAAAAATGAACAAAATGTGAATTCAGCTGTTATGGCATTAGATAAGAAACCAACCTTATTGAATATCATGAGTCTCTCCTAAGTCTGTTGGTGTAAAGCCAACTTCTATGCACTTTTAGGTTGCATCTGATGTGGTTACTATAACCTTGCAATTACTGTATCACTTCACATATACATCAGAAATAATTCTGGTATCTATAGATATTTTAGATTACAGAAAGGGTGTCATAGTAATTGTCCGAAGACTGAATAAAAGAAGGGGTCTATTGTTCTAACGTGTACCACAGGCAGTTCAAACTTATTGCCGAGGCGCACCCTCGATCAAATTATTGAACTATTGCTCTTAGTTGTACTTTGGATTGACTTCTGATATGTCAAAGGCTGCATTTGCAGGGAAGAGAAGGGGGTGTTTTATGCGCTTGACCTTGGAGGTACAAATTTCCGTGTTTTACGGGTTCAATTAGGTGGCAAGGAAGGGAGAGTTATCAAGCAAGAACATGACGAGATTTCAATTCCTCCGCATCTGATGACTGGTGGTTCAAATGTAAGAATTGCTCCATGTATCCTATCTGGTTCATTCATTCCGTATTCAATTAAATGCTAAGTATGACTGTTGTCATATATTTTTTGTTTCAGGAACTATTTGATTTTATTGCTTCTTCTTTAGCAAAATTTGTTGCTTCAGAGGGTGAAGACTTTCATCTTGCTGAGGGGAGGCAGAGAGAACTTGGCTTTACGTTCTCTTTCCCAGTAAAGCAAACTTCAATTGCATCTGGCACTCTTATTAATTGGACTAAGGGTTTTTCGATTGATGAAACGGTTAGATCTTATTATTATGATCTTAACAAGTATATGCATATAGGTAGCAATATACTCTTACAAAGGATAGACAAGAGTTTCCTTTTCCCATTGGAAACTATTTAATTCTTTACTGGAAAACCTTCTCGCTCATGATTGTTACATATTCCTCTGGGATGTAAGAATTATTTGCTTATTGCTGTAAAGTCAGGTTGGTGAAGATGTTGTGACTGAATTAACCAAGGCTCTTGAACGCCAGGGGCTTGATATGAAAGTCACAGCATTGGTGAGCTTCTTTTGATTTGACAAATTATGATAGAACTTTGTTAAATACCCTGTGTATGAAGATATGCTTGTAACCTGAAATCCAAACACAACTCCTTTTCTTATGCAGATAAATGATACTATAGGGACATTGGCTGGTGGGAGATATGATGATAATGATGTCATTGCTGCTGTTATACTGGGAACAGGTACTAATGCAGCATACGTGGAACGTGCCAATGCAATTCCTAAATGGCATGACCTCCTGCCGAAGTCAGGAGATATGGTGAGTGCTTTTGCTTCTACCTAGCTTATTGGTGATGAGGCATTACTCATTAGATAATAGATATGTTGCGAAAAATCATGAAATCTGTTTATAATATCTGGGGTCATGTGATTCGGGTTACTAAGACATGATATACAAATGACGCTGCAAAAGGAGAGAAACATTGTCTGTACTGTTAGCATGAGTCACTTGTGCATGTTTAGTTCATCCATAAGCTTTAGATGGTTTTCAGGGTTCTCATCAGCGTTTGTGCTGTCACAGGTAATAAATATGGAATGGGGGAACTTCAGGTCATCCCATCTTCCTTTGACTGAATTTGATCAAGCATTAGATGCTGAAAGTTTGAATCCTGGTGAACAGGTAACATAAAAAGATCCATCTCGTATTTCATTGCCAACTAGGACGAAGCATTTCATTCATTATTTTGTAGGTTTACGAAAAGTTGATCTCTGGCATGTATTTGGGAGAAATTGTTCGTAGAGTCCTATTAAAGATGGCTGAAGAAGCTTCTCTTTTTGGTGATGAAGTACCACCAAAACTCAAGATTCCATTTATTATCAGGTAATCTTAGTTTTGGGTTCATTTGCCAGCTTCTAATCTTCCATCATGAATATGCGTTGCTTCAAAAATCACAGCCGAACATGCACATACATAAGAGAAAAATATCATATTGCTTGATTGCTGTGTAGCCTGTGTTTACCTTGTAAAAGGTAGCCACACAAAACCGTAACCATGGCATCCTATACAGAGCAGTGGTAGTGGTAGTGATGTATATTGATCTTTGAATAAGCTGGTAGACGAATTCAAATTTTAATAATTTATATATGAATTTCATTCCTTTTACAATCTAGAGCCTGGGTATTGTGTTGTTCACTCCATTCTTTGAAGAAGTTGAACCAAAGAATGCCTGCAGTCCCCATCATCATTGTCCTCCCCCGAAAGATTATCTTTAACTAAACAGATTAAGGCTTTCATCTCCAGGACTCCATACATGTCAATGATGCACTGCGACAGATCACCTGATCTCAGAACAGTTGGAGCGAAACTGAAAGATATCCTGGGGGTACTCACCTTAACCTTTTGTCAAAGTTTCTCAGGCATATCTTTTTTCCAATCGATTCACCGAAGCATATCAATACAAAATTGCAGGTCCAAAACACCTCCCTTAAAACAAGAAGGCTTGTGGTGGATGTCTGCGACATCGTTGCGAAACGCGCCGCTCACCTTGCTGCTGCAGGGATACACGGGATCCTGAAGAAGCTTGGGCGCGACGTCCCCAACACCGACAAGCAGAGGACGGTGATCGCCGTCGACGGTGGGCTCTACGAGCACTACACCATCTTCGCCGAGTGCGTGGAGAGCACCCTGAGGGACATGCTTGGGGAGGATGTGTCCTCCACCATTGTCATCAAGCTCGCCAAGGACGGGTCAGGCATTGGCGCTGCTCTCCTTGCTGCGGCTCATTCTCAATACCGTGAGGCTGAGGAGCTCTAGTGGATCTCTTCTCTTGGCAGCTGTTATGCTTTAGTTGTTTGGATTTTCCTGAGATTCTGAACCCCCAGGAGCAATTGCATTCTATAGAGTTGCACCAGCACCGTGCTGGTGTTTAGAACTTTAGATGGAGGCACCAACCTTTAGTAGCTTGCAAGTCCTGTAAACTGTATAAACGCAGAACACAGTATTGTCCTTCCAACAAATTTCCGGCTAAATTTATCCGGAGCAACAGAGAAATTTGAAATTTGTGTCAAGAAGGGCTGAAACTTGAAATGGGTATTTCTGAATGAGGGGCCACGAATTTGAGATCTTCAACCGTACTGTCGCTGTAGTTTACAAATGGTGCAATGCGGATATCAACCACATCTTTCGCCTACGATATGTATACCAATGCCAAAATTTAAATCTTAAAACTTAATTGATTTTGAAGTTGATTTTGAGTTTTTTTTTATCATAGTTTTTTTTCCAACATCAACATTTAGAAGTTTTAATCATAAATTGTTATTTTTATTTACCAGTAATTGGCCATGCTTCTTTAGGCCTTATCTTTTCACTTATGCTTATACTTATCATCTAAAATTTAAATTTTCAAATTTAAATTTAGAGTTGATTTTAGTGTTTTTTCATCAAAGTTTATTTTTAAGCTTTTGCTTTTAGATCGCTAAGAATGCATATATAAAATGAGATTGCTAAGGGGCGATCGATCGCCCCTAGCGATCAGATTCAGATCCCCCTCCCTCCACCTGATTTTCTTTTTTGGCACCGTATTACTTTCATATTTTAGTAAATTTATGCACCTAAAGTTTATGCACCTCAAGTTTACACATCTAAAAGTTTATACACCCAAAGTTTATAAATCAAAAGTTTATATATCCGATTCAAATTTAAATTTGAATTCAAATGTTTTTATATAGTATTTCTATACATCTAAAGTTTATACACTAAAGTTTATGGACCCAAAGTTTATAAGTCAAAAGTTTACATACCCGATTCAAATTTGAATTTGAATTCAAATATTAGTTTATAGACCCAAAATTTATAAGTCAAAAGTTTACATACCCGTTTCAAATTTGAATTTGAATTCAAATATTTTTTTTATATAGTATTTCTATACATAAATTTTTCTAACTTTGATTTTTTATTTTTTTAAAATTTATGGTGTAGTAGGAAGAGAAGAAGGGGAGGAGGAAGGGGGGAGAGGAGTGTAGGGTGGATGGGGATCGATCGCTCCAAGTGATTGATCGTCCATTAGCCAGCCCCCGTATAAAAATTTTATTTATAAATTAATTTTCGTATATAAATATGCCGTTTAGCTTATTCGTGTCGATGGTGTTTTTTTTAGGGTTAATTGGATCCATGCCACTGCAAATGTGGCAAATAAAAAAATACCACTACTATTCGCGTTATTGGCTGAGTGCCACTAAAAATTTCAAAAATTGGAACTATGCCACTCCGTCACTCTTTTCCGTCCTCCCCGTCCTCTCGCACGTCGCTGGCCGTCCACACCGTCGTCCTGATCCTCTCCTCCTACCGCCGCAGTCACCTTCTCCCCCATCCTTCTTCCTTCTTGGCCAGATGTGCCACCAATGGACCCATCTCAGGATCTAGCTCATCTCGTAGATCGGCCAGCTAGCTTGATGATCGATCCCTGGGCAGCGTGGTTGATTTGCCTCCACCACTGGACCCTTCTGTTGTTCTTAGTCCCCTCTGCTGCAAGAAGGCAGACGAACAAGCCAATCTCTGAAAGAGGAGAAAGAATAAAGGAGAACGGATATGTGATGGAGCAGCAGCTTGCGTCCATCTCCGTGACAGAATCGGCAGAGGGGATGTGGCGGCAACAGGAGGACCACCGCGATGGTCGCGCTGTCAGCGGCGAGGATGCAACAGCCGGAGGCGGCGCCACCGGCCGGCGCAAGAAGGTTGCCGAGTCCGTACACGTGAAGCTGCAGGCGTCGCGTGCCTTCTTCCGGTCTCTATTCGTCGGCGAGCAATACCATAGCGTTGGTGTCCGGACCACCACTAGGATCTGCAGCCGCGAGGCTGTCACCGCCGCCGCCATTCCCGACGAGGAGAAGCTCCGCAGCGAGCGCACGAGGTCGGCCGTGGCTCCCGACGAGGAGGAGCTTTGCAGCGAGTGCGCGAGGTCGGCCGCAGCGGTGGTGTTGGCAGCGAAACGGTGAGGACGGCCGGCGATGTGATAGAGGATAGAGGACGGGGAGGATGGAAAGAGTGACGGGGTGGATGGAAAGAGTGACGGAGTGGCATGGTTTTAATTTTAAAAATTTTCAGTGGCATCCGGCCGATAACACGAATAGTAGTGGTATTTTTTTATTTGCCACATTTGCAGTGGCATGGATCCAATTAACCCTTTTTTTTAACCAAGGGTGGATCCAAGCGCGCTTCACGAATCTTAAAGCAAAGCACAGCCACCTTCCAGTTTCAAGCCCGAGGGCCGAGACCGAGAGAGGCTGAGCATGAGCCTGAGCCACCCGTTGTCTCTGGAAACTGCGGTGAGCAGTGGGCAGGTTCAAAATCCCCATTCCCCGTAGAGACCCTTCCCGACCGTTACACCGCCGCCGCCTCGTCCTCTCTCCTCTTCTCTTCTCCGCTCTTCTCTCCATGCAGAAGAGCCAGGGTCCGACGACCGCGCGGCGGCGCCCGCTCCGCCTCCTCCCCGGCAACAGGACGCCGCACCCCCCGCCGCCGCAGGGATCCCGACCCCGCAAGCCCGCGCCCACTCCCGCGGCGGCCTGCCGGCCCGCCACCGCCTGCCCTCCCGCCTCCGACGCCGCGGCGATCGACCGGCTCCTCCTCGCGCGCTCCGATCTCGCGGGGCTCGTCTCCCAGGTAGGCTTGCCCTTCTCATTCCCCCCTCGCTCGAAATCCCTCCTCCCCCCCTCCCCCCCCCCCCCACCCCTAGTTGGGTCGAATCGGGATTTGGTCGTCCTCTCGGTTTAGGGATGTGCTAGTTGTTCTGGGGTAGCAATTTAGGGGCGGCGAGTTCATGTTTGTAGTACAGTAGCTACGAGGCACTTGCTGCAGGTTGATCTCGGTATATAAAGAGAGGGTAACTTGTATTTTGTTCAATTTAAATGACACGGTCTTGTTCGTTCCTGAATTATCTGGTCACTTGCTTGAGTTCCTGAATCCGTTATGTAGCATGCGGATCTGTGTTGTTGGATATATTCTGAATATAATCTCGTTTGTGCAAGCGCGACATGGGGACTTACTTGACTTGTTGGTTCTTATAACATTTTTCCTGTTTTTCTCCTCACTTAGATTGATGAATTGGTCTGCGCCGCCCTTGAATGCCAATCTGTGTCTGCAAAAGGGAAACAAGAAATAGAATCATTCAGCTGCTTCTTATCAGACACTAATTCTTCTTTGAAGGTGAATACCATTATCATCAAATCTTATTTTAATTCTTATTTTGAAGGTGAAACATATAAATGTGATTCAATTTTATTTTAGGTTCCTTTTGTTCTGAAACTTCTAAGCATGAGCTCACTTTATGTTAGTTCATCATTATTTTCTCCATTTGTGAAACATTAGACTTGAGCATCTTTTTTTTTTTTGGTAAACAGCAATGGTCTTCAAGACTGAAGCTAGCGTTACAAGCTTCTCCAGAGAAAAGCAAGAATGAGTCGAAATTCACCAGTGCAGCCTGTTCAGTACCTGCTACAATAGGGAATGATAGGTTGCTCTGCAGCAACATAGATGAGCCCGACTTGGTTGTCTCTCCTTCACCTCTTGTATCGTGGCGTGCCGGAGCATGTATGGTCGATAGTGGAAAGCAGTTGTTTCTCTTAACACCATTGACAAAAACAAAGACATGCTCATCCAGATGCCCAAAATCATCGACAACGCAGTTGAAGACAACTACCGGCCTGGATCAGCTAAATCTTCCCAATATACCTGTTTTGAAACTGACCATTTCTGATGACGATTGTCTCGATCTGGAGCAAAGTGCGAAAGCAAATGAATCGAATACTTGTGTCATGACACCTAATTTTATCAAAGCAAAGAAGGGGTCATCAGGAAACAGTCTCTTCTCACCTTTCAGTTTCACAGTTCAGAAGAGTGGAAGAGCACTACCTAGTCCATGCCTGAGGACAGCATTGTCATGCAAGCAACAGATGTTCTCTCCAATATCAGAGGGATCAAGAAAGGAAGAAATTCCAAGCACCGGACCAACCCAGAGCGGCAAACCTTCTGAAGCCAGTGGTGATATTTCATCTGATGAGATCTCGAAGGATCTGGCCTCGAGGTATCCAGACTTTTATGGGTTCAATCAACCTACCATGACTACATACCGAAGGAGAGAAGCAGATGATACTCTTGACTGGTTCTTATCGCCACTCAAAACCTGTGTATTAATGGATCCTTCAGATGAAAAGCCCATTGCACCTCCAGCAAGAGACAGCAAGTCATTTATCGATACTCCATGCAAAGGTTTGGAAAGTGATAACCTTCAGAAAATAAAGGAACTTTCAGATGACAAGCCTATCCAGACTTCATCAGTGCATAGCAAGGCCTTGCTTGGTACTCCCTGGAAAGGCTTGGAGAGCAATATCCTGAAGAAGGGACAGGGAATTTCAGATGATAAGCCCATCCAAACTCCAGCAATTCATAGCAGGGCATTGCTTGGTACTCCCTGGAAAGGCTTGGAAAGCACCAACCTGAAGGGAAAGCAAGCTGGAGAAACAACTCTCAAGAGAGAACTATGGACTAGATTTGAGGCGGTCTCTACCAACGAGCTCCACTTTGACAGTTCAGTCTTCCAACGATCTGATGGAAGGCGTTTCATAGACATCCTTGAAGAGGAGGCCTCATGATTCTATAGCAGCACATGGTTTCTTTTTTTGTTATTCTGCCGTTTTGACAAGCATTCTTATCCTATGGGGTGAAGGAGTAGAGTAACATGAACTTCACAATGTCTAGTGCGAGTCGTTCGAAAAAAAAAAGGAGTAGAGTAACATGATTTTTCTGGAAGCCCCCAAGAACGGCCGGGTTGATAGGATAATTTGGCACTTAGCTGTAACATTGGATGCTTAGTAGAATCTACTCGGCTTGTGTTATTGAACTGTAATGCTATTTGTGGCTGTACGCTGGAAGGAAGGCGGTTGATGGAGCATGGAATGAGTGCAGTGTGCCCTACTGTGAGCTGCCGCGCTAATACAATTGTATACTCCCTTTGTCTCATAATATAAGGGATTTTGCTCGTACAGTTTATGTGGGCAAAATCCCGTATACTATGGGACAGAGGTAGTACGTTCTTTGTTCCTAAGCTCTCTTTACTGTTGACTCTGTGTTGGTGAGCAATCCAAGATCACCCGAGGTGAATCTTAGCTGGTACTCCTGTCTGGACAAATTACCCCCAAGATCTCCTGGCAATTTGTTTCAGATTGTGAAATGACAGAATTGTTACCATTCAAGATATAGGTATTTTCACACGCCATCGTTGGTGTTTGATCCCAAAGCAAAATCTCTGAAATTCATATGTAGTTGGGAGTGATAGCTATGAGCGGCCAAGGATAATATTTTTCATGTACGAATGTGGTAGAATACACGTTTTAGGTGGATGCGGTTAACATTGCCATGACATGGCAATAGTGACACAGATGACTATATAATGAGAACTTTGTTGACAATGTATTGAACAAAGCCCGTCTAGCTCAGTCGGTAGAGCGCAAGGCTCTTAACCTTGTGGTCGTGGGTTCGAGCCCCACGGTGGGCGTACATTCCTTTTGCTAGTTTAAAACTAGAGACTTTGATGGTCTAAAGCTTCCGATGTGTAGGAAACATGAATTACCACTGGGAATATAAGTCTATTTTGCATCACTCATACACGCGAGGGAGCTTCACGTGGATGAGGGACACGATTCATCCAGGAGCAAGAGTTAGAGGGAGCTTTAGAGGGAGGCAATTCCTTACCGGAATAAGTTCATCTTAGGTCCCTTAACTTGTCGACGAATCCGATTGACATGGTGCCTACGTGACTAATTTGGCTTGGTCTTCATCTGACGTGGCAATGACGTGTCGCTTACGTGGCAATGTGTTCCAGAAAAATAATAAATCTCGTGGGACCCACATGTCAGGGCCATATGCAACCACAGCACCATCAGTAACCAAAGGTTATCCATTAGGTTTCATCAGGCATTCACCAATGTCGACTAAACAAGAAATAAGAACAGCAAAATCACGATGTATCATTACAGTTGTTCGTCTTCAGATCTTTGGTCGGCAGCGCGGCCGGTCGGAGGGGCCGGCCTGGCGTGGAAGATGTCGACGAACGAGGGGCTGCGGTTCGAGGAGGCGGTGGCGGAGGTCGCGTCGGATGAGGGCTGGGGGTTGCAGAAGAGGTGGAGGCTGCGGCGAACATCGTCGAGCGGCGGTGAGGGCCGTGAGGCGGGGATGCGACGCGGCGGGGAGGAGGGAGGGGTGAGCTTGAGGTGGCCGTGGATTTCGGCTAAGGGGGAGGAGAGCTTGGTGGTGAGCTGATAGGCGGATGCGGGATCAGACGTCGGAGCCGGGAATTCACCCTCGCCGGAGGAGGCCGCCGCCGCCGCCGCCCTGCCGGAGAGGGCGTTGCCGTCGTGAGGGCTCCACCCGCCGCCCCTCTGCTCCGCCTCGCCACCGCCCCTCCTCGCCCGTGCCACCGTCGTGAGAGATGAGAGGGGAGAGAGAATTGAAGAGAGGGAGAATGACTTGTGGGGCCCACGTGGGCCCCACCAATTTTTTTATTAATTTGAGTGTGGCACTGGCTTGTGGGTCCCATGAGGTTTATTATTTTTCTGAGACAAATTGCCACGTAAGCGACACGTCATTGCCACATCAGATGAAGACCAAGCCAAATTAGCCACGTAGCTGCCACGTCAGCCAAAACCGCTGTCCAAACCGCTAAGGGACCTCTTCTGCACTGGTTTTGATAATTGAGGGATCCATTGTATCTGGTTTTGCGGTTGAATGACGAAAATCGGATTCGTCGACAAGTTAAGGGACCTTATATGAACTTATTCCTTCCTTACCACTAAACGCGCAAGAGCATGACACACACGAAAGCCCATCAAGGCCTTCCCTTCTATTGTGGGCCCCAATCTCAGCCCACGACGTGGTCACGTGGAACAGCCGGCCTTCTGTTGTTTCCTGATCTCCGCCGTTATACAAGTGGAACAGTCGTCAGTCGTCACGGCTTCGGTTCCCTTCTCCCACCCTCGCGCGGCGCGGGTGGCTAAAAATTCGAGAGAGCGCGCGGCGGATCGGGGGCTCCGTTGGTTTTCGAACAAACGGGAAGAACCACAGATCCAAGAGAGGGAGGGGTCATGGGGTTGCTGTCGCTGAAGCGGCTCATGTCGACGCAGCGGCGGCCCCGGCCCCGGCGACGGCGACGGCGACGGCGGCAAGTCCAAGCCCGTGGTAAAGCCCTCTCTTAGCTCCATTGGCCTCTTTGTTGCATCGCATGCCATCTTGTACATGTTCCTGGTCCTGGCTGGCATATATTATATATAGCTTCTTCAGTATACAACTATTCCTTTTTTTAGATGAAAGATACTGCTATTGTGAGAGAGAAGAAAGAAAAAGGCTGGGATTTTCTTTGCTGAGAGTAGCTAACTGATTACTTTAGGGTGTGTTTAGATCCAAGGGTGTAAAAGTGTGTTTGTATCTAGGGGTGTAAAGTTTTGGCGTGTCACATCGGGTATTATATAGGGTGTCGCACGGGGTGTTCGGGCAGTAATAAAGAAACTAATTACATAATCCGTCAGTAAACAGCGAGACGAATTCATTATGCCTAATTAATATGTCATTAGCAAATATTTACTGTAGCACTATATTGTCAAATCATGGAGCAATTAGGCTTAAAAGATTCGTCTCACAAGTTAGTCGCAATTGTGCAATTAGTTATTTTTTTGCCTATATTTTTTTACTTCATACATGTGTTCAAACGTTCAATGTGACGGGGTGTAAAATTTTGGGGTAGGATTTAAACACCGCCTTAGTACTTTGGTAGGCATCAGCATGTATCAACAACGTTGCTTCCTTTAGTTTCTGGGGAAAGTATTTTCTACACCTAGGTGCCTACCAAAGTAATTTAAACAGTTATATAAAAATTTCATAAAATTTGATAAGATAGACACTATACAAACATGCAAGTCTAAATTTGATCGACATATGAAGAAACAAAAATAACAAATTTTATCTGCGCTGTATGGTACTATTAACTATCTGATTTTATTATTTTTGATAATCTAGTTGTAGATCAAATTTAGTCCTACATGTTTATGTATAGATTTATATCATTACAATCGATGTTACTAAATTTTTTCAGTTTTTTCTATGACTATTTGAGTTGCATGCAAAATTCTTGTCCTTAGTTTCTCATTGAGTGCTTCAATTCGCACTCTTTCACATAAGGACAACTTGGATGGTTCTTGTCCAATAGTTGTATAACAAAGGCAGATTTAGCATGTGGCATTGCACTCTCTATTTTATACTCCATTATCATTCGTACCTAGCATGCATAACCTTAATGTGCACAGCAGATGGATCGGTTACTTTATTGGCTAAACGAAAGGGTTCACCCTGCCAACAAGAAGAAGATGATAACCAAGATGCCAAAAGAATGAGAAATCCACGGGTCTCCCTTCCAGAGGTATAAATTTCTCGTCATGTATCCCCTTTTCTTCTTAGAAAGAAGGTGGTGGATATACCACCAACCACCATATGCTGCACTTCTGTCAATACTACTTTTGTTTGTACGACTCTTTTCACATCCCTAATAGTAAAGTTCAGCCAACCATTGGGCTGACCCAATCTTTTACAGGCTACCCTGGATTCTGGGTTTGTATATGCACAATATAAAACTTCCACATATTGTTTTTCTTCTTATATTGCTTTTTCTAAAATCAAAATTTCAGACGAAGGCTCCAATATGACTAGATTACTGTTATGTATGAATTAATTTTAGCATGCTTGAACACTCTCAAATGCCATTATAAAAGAAAATGTAGTGATGTATGTGTTTTAAACAATATTAGGACCTTATTGTTCATTTACATTTAGCACACGCAAGGCATTTAGATAATTGCAAGTAAAAAAATTCCACCATGACTTATACAAGACAAGAAAATGATCTCCCTACCCATTTTTGTTGATTATGTCGTTCACACTAGGGCATTGTTTTTGTTATCATGCTTCCTAGTTCCGTTACATATGGTGGTTTTAGTATATATTCTTATAGGGGGCCTTTTGATTCATCTTATCTTCTCAAATATAGAACCCTTTTTAATTAACCACGTGCATGCAACCACTACTTATTTTAGTTTTTACGTTCTTATTACATGGTTTCCACCTGGTCGAGTACTCAGATGCACTATTTATGCCCTATTCAGAAATTATATGTTTGTTTATGTTTCCTTGCTGCATGAACTTTTATAGGATTTTGTTGTACAATGGAACATGATCCCATGCATCCTGGTTCACTTGCCTTTACAGATGTGGTGTTGAAATTTTCTCCCATCCTTGTGTTTTCAGGATATCTGGTATCATATACATTCCTTATTGCCACTGCGAGATGCCGCTCGTGCTGCATGCGTGTCTAGCACATTTCTATATTCTTGGAGATGTCGTCCCAACCTCATCTTCAGTAAGAAAACACTGGGGTTGAATGGCAATTGGAGGGAAAATGTTAGGGAACTCGTCAACAAAGTTGATCACATTATGAAAAACCACTCAGGCATTGGCTTGAGGACATTCGGGCTTCAATCTTATAATTTGATCAACACCTATTATCTTGACCGTTGGCTCAATATTGCTATTACACCAGCAATTGAGGAACTCAGTCTTACGCAGTTTCCAGAGAACAATACAAAGTACTACAATTTCCCTTGCTCAATTTTATTCAATAGGGGTGGAAACTCGATTAAGCATATTTGTCTTAGCCACTGTGCCTTCCGTCCTACTGGCGGACTTAATTTCTTGCGAAGACTACATCTGGGTGAAGTTCATATTACTGGGGACGAATTAGAGTGTCTTCTTTCCAATTCTTTTGCTTTAGAGCAGTTGACACTCAAATATTGCAAAGAGCTCAACTACCTCAGGATACCTTGCCAGCTACAACAGCTTAAGGACCTAGAAGTGTATGAACGCAAAGCATTGCAAATGATGGAAGTTAAAGCTCCAAATCTTTCAACCTTCCATTATGACGGTAATCTAGCACGACTATCAGATGGAGGTTTACTGGCAGTGAAGAAACTACGCATATCATCCTTTTATCAGTATAATAATGTTCATTATGCCAGTGCCAATCTTTCATCCATTGTGCCAACTATTGAAACTCTCATAATATCTTCATTTGGTGAGGTATATTAATATGATGATCTCATTAGATACCATTAATGGTCTTACCTTGAAATATGATTAATATGGTTATTTGTGTAGAAGTTCAATACAGTAGTTGCACCTTTCAAATTCCTCCACCTCAAGAGCTTGAAGATTTCTCTTATCGGATTCAATGGGGCCTTTTCCCCAGCATATGATTATCTTTCTCTAGCTTATTTTATTGGCGCGTCTCCTGTCTTGGAGACTTTCACTTTGATTGTAAGTAAATTTTCATGTGTTTCCTTTTTGGAATTTAATGTGGCAAATATATCTATTATCTGTAGTGGAACCATTTCTTCAAGTATGCTTTACTTGTTCCTATGCAGGTATCACAGATTCGCATGGAGCATGATGTGATTTCTGAAAATTCCTCACATCTGAGGCAGATGCCAAGATCCAGCCATGGCAACATAAAGAATGTGAATATCATTGGCTTTTGCTCTGCAAAGAGCATGATCGAGTTAACTTGTCATATTCTTGAGAATGCAACATCACTTGAATGTCTTACCCTAGACACAATACATGATGATTATGTTCACCCTGATAGATTATCTGTTCACGAAGTTGGTTTCTGTGGCCGTATAGGTAGCCCTATGATTATGGAAGCCGAAAACGCGCTCTTGGCTATCAAAAGATACATTGTGGGGAAAGTCCCCTCCACAGTTAAGTTAGTTGTTCTGAAGCCCTGCGGCTGGTGCCATGCTACTGAAGGTTTGGGAGTAAAAGATCATCGTGTTGCTTAAGCTCGAGGTGGCTTGTTTTACATCTACTTGTTGTTTTTTTTTTGTCTTGGAATACTTTTTATTGTCTTGGAATACTAGGGGTCATGCTTTATTTCTCAAGTTGTGACAAGCGCTACAGTTCTGATTTTTTTTAAACAAGAGACATGGCCTCCCATTTCCATTAATAGAAATGAAGAAAGTTCCTACACAGGTCTGCAATTACATGACTTGTTAAGGTTTTTAAACTTCCCAGGTGCTAGACAGTTTTTCTGAAAGCCAGAACTAAAAAGAACTAGAGTCCTTACATGACATGCGCCACTCTTTTGCTATGCCATGTTACATGGGCTATACATAGTTTTTTTCGAGGAACCGACGGCAGGAGTTTCTCCTGCCGGAATTTATAGAAGAAGAGAATTGGCCCAGTTAATAAGGGAAACCGGGCCCGAAAACCAAACAAGCACGGTTAATTAAACGGGAAACCGGCAAAAACCAATACAGAAAAGAAAAGAAACAACTAATGAGACCTCACAAAAGTCGTCGTTACCGAGCTTACCAAAAGGCAAGCAGCTTCGACAACATAATGACAAGGTCTCCAGAACCACCAAACATCCTCTAGTGGAGCAGAAACCTTCTGAGCGAAGCCTTCAACAAGGAAACAACATCAAGGATGCTGTCAACGCCCGTTCCGAAAGGAACCCGGTTTTCACCTGAAGGAAGAGAGAACCAACATGACGACACCTCCAAGGAGGAAACGGCGCCCGCAAGCGTCGATATCATCAACCTAGGATAGCACTAGGCAAGGTTTTCACCTAAGGCTCTCTCAAGCTGCTCCACCTCAAAACCCTCGTCGCGTTGCCGGGACGTTCGTTGAGGGTCATCGTTGCCGAGCTTGCAAGACAAGCAGCTCCGACTCCACCTCAACAGCCAACCCTACAGCTCGACCAGAGACCACCTCACACCCAGGAACCCAGCTGCAGGGAAACAACGGCGCGGCCGACGACCAGCGAACAGGATGCCGAAACAACTCCGCACGCCACCCCTACCGAACCACGGAACTCCCCGGCATCGACTGGAAGTAGCCTAGCCTAAGAAGGGAGGAGCACCTAAGAAGAGGGGAGCGGGCGCCGCACCGTCAGAGAGCACCGGAAGAAACACCACTGAAGAAGGGGAGAACTGGATCTGGAGGACCAGGAGGGAGGGAGATGGAGGCGCCTTCCCCGTCGCCGGCAAAAGCCGCAGCAGGCCGGCAGCCCCTGGCCAGGACCACGCGGCAGCCGGCGCCGGAGCACCGCCGCCGACCGGAGAGCCGCCGCCGACCCGGTGCTGTCGTCGCCGACGAAACCGCGCCGAAGCTGCTGGCCACCTGCTACGTCCGAGGGCGCCGGCGTCGACCGAGACCGTCGCCGGCCACGCCGAGACCCGCCGCCGCGCCGCCGTCGTACCCCGGCCAGATCTGGCGGGGCTACCAGATCTGGCGACGCCCTCAACGGAGCCGCGCAGAGCCCTACCGCCGCGCTGCCATCGCCGCGGGGAGCCCCACCACCACGCCATCACCGCGACCTCGCCGTCCCGCCGCCATCGTCGCCACACCCGCACCGGGGCGAGATGGAGCCGAGGGAGATTACCCCGTTGCCGCCATCCCAGCGCGTCGCCCGGCTTTGCCGGCGACGAGCTCCGGCGGCGGCGAAGCAGGGAGGAGGGAGGAGGAGGGGCGGCGGCGGCTAGGGTTTCACCCCCGAGCCGCCGCGCGAGGGCGACGCGAGGGCCAAAGTCTCGTCTGCTGGTTTTGTTTTGCGCGAGGGCTATACATAGTTAAGTAACATGCGACATCCGCTATACATGTTTGATTTATTGACCACAAAAGTACCATGTACAGAATGCCCTCAACTTTCTATGGTGAATCTGCAAAAAATTGCTCAAGCAAAGAAACTCCATTTATCGAAATCCTTCTATACCCGCCGTCCCACACCTTGTTCCTAGATCCCCAGGCGTTCTGCACTTAATAAATTTTACATGCAACATATGCCATCGAATTTATATAGATAATACGCTCAGTTAGACACATCAAGTCATCAACTACACAACAAGTCTCACCTCTTGTACCTCTAAAACATGAATTCACCTTGCTTTCAAGTATCATCTTGAATACAATGAACCACTTTCACGTGAGAACATTGTGACTTGAGCACTAGAATGTGAAGTCACGTTGCTGCTTCACCAACAAAAGAAAGTGCAAGAATATGAAGTCACTAAAGTCCAGAGAATCCGTACTGTTCCTCCAAACATTCACCAATAAAAGCACGCCTAAATTTCCCCAGTAAACTCCTTAACAAATTTGTAGGATTAAAATACTCTGAATTTATATATATTACATAAAAGTTCAATATGGCTTCCATTGGCCTCTACGGGCAGAAAACCTATAAATGATAGTCCAATTGGTCAACCCACTCGGCCACTCTGTATATTTACTCCACAGTGCACATACTCAATACTTTCCCTCAATAAGCTAGTTTCGTCAACAGTGAAACATATAAATACTATCAACAGTGGCGTTGGCTCCAACATGACCTCCTGGATCAGGGATGGCTTGGCGACGACTGCGGCTGCTCCGGCAATTCCCAGCGTACTCGACGACAGCGTGCAGGGTGTCGAGCGGTGACGCTTCTGCATTCTCCTCGAATAGCTTGTCGACGAGCGTGGGGAAGATGACAACGCCGCCGGCGAAGGTATCGTGGATGTCGGCAGCAAGATGAGGGCGCCGACGTATCTCGACATGTGATGGCGCCCGGTGGACAGTTTCTCCAGTGGCTCGACGAGGACGGCGAGCGTTAGGGCGTCGCCCACGAGGTGGACGAGATGGTTGATGACCCGGCCGAATTTGATGGCGGTGTACAGATGCCGAGAAGTGGCACTCCGGCGTCCTCCTTGAAGAGCTTGGCGATGAGCTAGCGTGAGGAAGGTGATAGCGCCGATGATCGTTGGCGGCGTCACACAAAGAAGAGACTGCGACCCGCCAGGCGAGGACATCCATTGACTGATGGCACCAGGTAGATGGCGTCGCCGGCTGCTTGAAGGTGATCATGGAGCTTCAGTCACAGGCAGCCCCGGCGTTCTCCACGGGTGGTCTGACGACGTATGCGTGGCCGCTGCGGTCACTGGTGGCCCGGCATGATTTATGATGACACCGATGAGGAGTACGTCTTCGGGCATAACTCGATGATGAGCATGGTGGCTCTGATGATCTCCTCAGAGCGACGTCGTGCTTCGTCGAGATAGCGTAGATGGCACGGCGACGTGACGTGATCTCCACGGCCTTCGGCGCGATGGCAGTGATCGTCTCTTCAGAGATAGCCGTGGCAGCCACGATAATTAACCCCGGCAGCGTCGCGTACAGGCTCATCTCTCGATCCCATCTCTTTCTCATGCATGTGCAACCTGAAACGAGAAAAAAGAGACGGCGGACTTGCTCTCGTCCTGAGTCGTTGCCGGCGTGCATCACACCTGTTGCCGGCGGGCTCTCCTCTTGCAGGGCCGGTCCTGCACGGCGGCTCCGGCGAGGTTGCGTCGGCGAGGCTGACTATGCATGTGTGTGTGTTGAGGAAAGGAACTGAATGGCCATGGATGAGATGGGTTGCTCGACGGCTGTTGTTGTCCGTCTGTGTGTCTATGCTAATGTTGATGAGTGGTCTACAGGCTGCCAGAGCAAGGCGCCGATGGTTTCCTCCTCCGTGAATCCGTGATCGATCTGCAAAAGAAAATTAAGGGACGATGTTGTACGCCGGCGTGCTGGTGTAGATGACCGCGTGCATGCTGCTTCCTGTTTCTTGGCAGGCCATCGAGGCGAGGTCGCATCTCCTGGCCGTTTGCCGCGCGCCGATAGTGTTGTGTGGTAATGGTCGTTCTTCTCGACCGCCGGGGTGCAGCGCCTTCTCACCGGGAAGGGGATGGCTGGATTGGCGCAGTCTCTTGGGTGGCTGCCCCGTGCCCGAACCTTCGCCGAGTGTTGGCTGCCGGCGGCGCACACGTTGGTGTGCTCATCCGGCCGGTGCCTCTCGGGCAGCCATCGACCTCGACTTTCTTCCCGTGATGGCTGATGGTCAGATGCACGTCCTCCTGCCAGAGGCCGCTGCTGAGCGCGGGCGGCGTTCTCGGCTTCTGCTCCGGAGATGTCACGTCTGTTGGAGTTAATTTATTTCCAGAACATACCAGCCTACTCTCTAACTCTCTCTACTACTCATGAAACAAAAGTCAAGGAGCAAGTCCTTCCTCTGTGAAATTTCTAGAGTAGTGTAGACAATAATATGTTCTTTGTGAGTTCTAATATTTTCATGCATGTACCAGTACTAGTTGTGTTTAGAAAAGTTCCTAGCCATCCTATAAATAGGCAGCCATGTCCTAGATGTGAGGCTGCTGTCCAACAATCAATGTAACGTGCAATACTTGAGAAAAGCGTAACCAGTTTGTGAAACAAACACAGAGCTTCTCTCCTCTGTTCTCCTTCTCTGTTCCATTGCTAGCAAAATAATCAACTCCAACAACTGGTATCAGAGCCAGGTTCGAGTAGGGCGTGACGGAGTAGCACGGCGTATCGGTATTGTCAATTGAAGCTACAAGTATGGCTTCAAGTTCGGGCGCCACAATGGCGCAGTCTATGGTTCCTGTATTTGCAAGAGAAAATTATGATATATGGAGCATCAAGATGCGGACGCTGCTGCTATCTCAAGGATTGTGGGATATTGTTGAGAATGGCTATCAAGAGTATTCCGCTGGAGAAACTCTTACGGCGGAACAGAAGAAGTCTTTGGTAGAGGATCGGATGTCGGACGCCAAGGCCTTGTTCTTGATCCAACAAGGAGTTGCGGAAAGTCTATTTCCACGTATTATTGGCGCCAAGAAATCCAAGGAAGCATGGGACAAGTTGAAGGAGGAGTTTCAAGCATCTCAGAAGGTACTTGCGGTGAAGCTTCAAACTTTGAGAAGGCAATTTCAGAATTTGCAAATGAAGGAGTCAGAGAAGGTAAAAGACTATTTCTCAAGAGTTATTGAGATCGTTAATCAGATGCGCCTCTATGGTGAAGATATAAATGACCAGAAGGTCGTGAAGAAAATTTTAATCAGTCTGCCTGAAAAATACGAGTATATTGTTGCTGCAATTGAGGAGTCCAAGGATCTGTCAACTCTCACAATTCAGCAACTTATGAGCTCGTTGGAATCTCACGAAGAAAGAAAGCTTCAACGTGAAGGGAGCTCTGTTGAGAATGCATTTCAGTCAAAGTTGAGCTTCAGGCCTCAAAACTCAAGGTTTCGTGGGAATTTTCAGAAAAATGGATTTCCAATGCGAGACCGTGGTTTTCAGAAAAATGGTTTTTCCAGGCAGAACGAATATGGTCAAGAGAGAAGAGAAAAAGGTACGTCCAGTTCAAATTTGTGGTGTGACATTTGCCAAAAATCTAGTCATACTACATATATGTGCTGGAAGAAAATGACCTGCAACAAGTGCAAAAGAAAGGGTCATATTGCAAAATATTGCAGAACTCGGGAAATTAACCGGGCTAATTTTTCACAAGAGAAGGAAAAATCTGAAGAAATGGTTTTCTCTTGCCATACTGCTCAAGAAGAAAAAGATGATGTTTGGGTTATTGACAGTGGTTGTACAAACCATATGGCCGCTGATCCAAATTTATTTCGAGAAATGGATTCATCGTATCATGCAAAGATCCACATGGGAAATGGCTCTATAGCCCAAAGTAAAGGCAAAGGTACGGTTGCTGATCAAACAGCAGACGGTCCAAAATTTATAAAAGATATTTTGTTGGTACCCGATTTAAAGCAAAATTTGCTAAGTATTGGGCAACTTCTAGAACACGGGTACGCGGTTTATTTTGAAGATTTTTCTTGCAAAATATTGGACCGTAAAAATAGTCGTCTGGTCGCCAAAATAAATATGGAGAAGAATAGAAATTTTCTATTAAGGATGAATCATCCAACTCAAATGGCTCTCAGAAGTGAAGTTGATATTTCTGATTTATGGCACAAAAGAATGGGTCATCTTAATTACAGAGCATTGAAGCTACTCAAGACAAAAGGTATGGTTTAAGGCCTTCCATTTATTACTCCCAAATCTGACCCATGTGAAGGATGTGTATTTGGAAAACAAATTCGGGCTTCTTTTCCCCACAGTGGAGCTTGGAGAGCAAGTGCACCATTGGAACTAGTGCACACTGATATAGTTGGTAAAGTGCCAACAATTTCAGAAGGAGGAAATTGGTACTTTATCACATTTATCGATGATTATACAAGAATGATCTGGGTATATTTTCTAAAAGAAAAATCTGCAGCCTTGGAGATATTCAAAAAATTCAAGGCCATGGTGGAAAATCAGAGTAATCGAAAAATTAAAGTATTGCGCAGCGATCAAGGAGGAGAATATATCTCAAAAGAATTTGAGAAATATTGTGAAAATGCTGGCATCCGAAGACAGCTGACGGCAGGCTATAGTGCGCAACAAAATGGAGTTGCAGAACGGAAAAATCGGACGATCAATGATATGGCCAATTCTATGCTCCAAGACAAAGGTATGCCTAAATCTTTCTGGGCTGAAGCAGTTAATACTGCAGTTTATATTTTAAATAGAAGTCCTACCAAGGCAGTACCAAACCGTACACCTTTTGAAGCTTGGTATGGTAAAAAGCCTGTCATTGGTCATATGAGAGTATTTGGTTGCATTTGCTATGCTCAAGTGCCAGCACAAAAGAGAGTAAAATTTGATAATAAAAGTGACCGTTGCATATTTGTTGGCTATGCTGATGGTATAAAAGGATATAGACTTTATAATCTGGAGAAAAAGAAAATTATTATCAACAGAGATGTGATTTTTAATGAAAATGCTAGTTGGGACTGAAAGTCTCCAGAAGCCTATAGTACTCCATTATTGCCAACCACTACCATCACACTAGGCCAACCACATATGCAAGGTACTCATGAAGTGGAATATCATCCTCCAAGTCCACAGTCATCAAGTCCAAGGTCAAGCTCAAGTGCTAGTTCAGATTCAAGCCCAAGCAGTGAAGAGCAAATTTCTTACACCGGAATCAGCTCCAAGACGGGTAAGAAGTATGGTTGAATTATTAGAATCTACTTCTCAACAAAGAGGGTCAGAACAACATGAATTTTGCAATTATTCTGTTGTTGAGCCACAAAGTTTCCAAGAAGCAGAAAAACATGATAATTGGATAAAGGCCATGGAAGATGAGATTCATATGATTGAGAAAAATAATACATGGGAGTTGGTTGATCGTCCTAGAGACAGAGAAGTTATTGGAGTTAAGTGGGTTTATAAGACAAAATTAAATCCAGATGGCTCAGTTCAGAAATACAAGGCAAGACTTGTGGCAAAAGGCTTTAAGCAAAAGCCTGGGATTGATTATTATGAGACATATGCTCATGTTGCCAGGCTAGAGACAATTCATACCATAATTGCTCTAGCAGCTCAAAAGAGGTGGAAGATATATCAACTTGATGTTAAATCGGCTTTCTTGAATGGTTATCTTGATGAAGAAATCTATGTTGAACAACCTGAAAGGTTTTCAGTCCAAGGGGGAGAAAATAAGGTATTCAGACTCAAGAAGGCTTTATATGGATTAAAGCAAGCGCCTAGAGCGTGGTATAGTCAAATTGACAAGTACTTTATTCAGAAAGGATTTGCCAAGAGCATAAGTGAGCCTATTCTATATGTCAAGAAAACAGGTACGGATATCCTAATCGTCTCACTCTATGTTGATGATTTGATATATACTGGCAATAGTGAGAAGTTGATGCAAGACTTTAAAAAAGATATGATGCATACATATGAAATGAGTGATCTGGGCTTGCTCCACTATTTTCTCGGTATGGAAGTGCATCAAAGTGATGAAGGAATATTTATATCACAAAGGAAATATGCTGAAAATATTCTGAAGAAATTTAAGATGGATAACTGCAAGTCAGTTACAACCCCCTTGTTGCCAAATGAAAAGCAAAAGGCTAGAGATGGAGCTGATAAGGCAGATCCAACAATTTACAGAAGCTTAGTTGGAAGTTTATTATATTTGACCGCAACACGACCGGATATTATGTTTGCGGCAAGTTTATTATCAAGATATATGTCTAGCCCAAGTCAATTAAATTTTACCGCTGCAAAGAGAGTTTTGCGGTATATCAAAGGGACCGCATATTATGGTATATGGTATAAGCCAGTTAAAGAATCAAAATTAATTGGCTACACGGACAGCGACTGGGCTGGATGTCTTGACGATATGAAGAGCACATCAGGCTACGCTTTCTCACTTGGTTCAGGTATGTGGTCCTGGTCTACAAAGAAACAAAATATTGTCGCTTTATCTTCAGCCGAAGCAGAATATGTAGCAGCATCAAAAGCTGTTTCACAAGTTGTTTGGTTGAGGAGAATTATGGAAGATCTGGGTGAGAAGCAATATCAGCCTACTACAATTTATTGCGACAGTAAGTCTGCAATTGCGATCAACGAAAATCCAGTCAGTCATGACAGGACGAAACATATTGCTATCAAGTATCATTATATCCGGGAAGCAGTTGATCGCCAGGAAGTTAAATTGGAATTTTGCCGAACTGATGAGCAGTTGGCAGATATATTTACGAAGGCTTTATCCAAAGAAAAATTCATCTGTGACAGAGAGCTCATCGGAGTTTGCAAGAAATAAATTAAGGGGGAGTTTGTTGGAGTTAATTTATTTCTAGAACATACCAACCTACTCTCTAACTCTCTCTACTACTCATGAAACAAAAGTCAAGGAGCAAGTCCTTCCTCTGTGAAATTTCTAGAGTAGTGTAGACAATAATATGTTCTTTGTGAGTTCTAGTATTTTTATGCATGTACCAGTACTAGTTGTGTTCAGAAAAGTTCCTAGCCATCCTATAAATAGGCAGCCATGTCCTAGATGTGAGGCTGCTGTCCAACAATCAATGTAACGTGCAATACTTGAGCAAAGCATAACCAGTTTGTGAAACAAACACAGAGCTTCTCTCCTCTGTTCTCCTTCTCTGTTCCATTGCTAGCAAAATAATCAACTCCAACAACGTCAACAAGGCTTGTGCCATAGCGATGGCTGAGTACGTGCTCGCCTCCGTGTTCTACTTCTACGAACGTCAACAAGGCTTGTGCCATAGCGATGGCTGAGTACGTGCTCGCCTCCGTGTTCTACTTCTACGCAGCCGCCGCCGATGGATGGATCGATGGGAGTTGAATGATTGTCGATCGCCTGGCGCCGTCTCTTGGGTGGCTGCCTGTACCCTCGCCCAGCGTCGGATGCTGCTGGCCGGCAGCCACCGGTGGCGCGCACACGTTGGTGTGCCGTCGTGGTTCTACATCTGTGCCCCCCTGTCCTCCGCGAGTGCCGCCATGCATAGAGCCGGCCGCGGCTCCATGACGACTGGTCCATATGCATGATGCATATACGTGCTGAAAACCTGAAACACACAGAGAGACAGATAGATGGAAGAGGATTTTGATCCCTCAAGGGGATATCCCCTCGTTATTTGCATGTCATTCAAATGGTTATAAAAAAATTTAAAAAAATTTAAGAAGATGTATTAATATGTGATGGAAAAAGTACGAATTACCCCCCTGAACTATCGTGGTCGACCGAATTACACCCCTGAACTCTAAAACCAGACATTTCTCACCCCAAACTTTCATTACCGGACGAATTACCCCCCTCGATCCAATCGAAAGTGGTTTTATCCTACGTGGCAATCCAGTCAGCATTTCCTATTTAAAAAAAAGTGGGACCCACATGTCATACCTCCCTTTCCCCTCTTCCTCTCTCTCTTCGTGCTCTCTCTCTCTCACACACATCCGGTGCAGGGGGCAGGAGGTGGGCGCCTGGGCGGCTGGCGGCGAGCGGCGGCGGAATGGCGGACGGCGGCGCGAGCCGCAGCGGCAGGTGCGGCTGGCGGCGAGAGACGGCGGACGGGCGGACGGTGCGCGGCGGCGGATGAGCTGTGGGCGGCGGCACGCGGGGCTGGACGGGCGGGCACGCGCGGGGGCAGTGGCGCGCGCGGACGGGCGGTTGGCGGCGGCACGCGGTGGCGGATGGGCAGGCAGTGCGCGGGGGGCAGCAGCGGAACGCGGGGAGGGCGCGAGGCGAGGCGGCGGCCCGTGGCTCGCGGTCTGCTCCCTCCTCGCCGGGACTCCCTCTCTCTCGGGCGTGGGCACAGGTCGCTCGGCGGAGAGCGCTGGTGCGGGAAACGGAGGCGGCGGGCCTGCTCAGCTTGTTCGCGTCGTGGCGGGCGAGCAGCTCGTTCGTTGTCGTGGAAGACGGTGATGATGACGAGGTCGTCAGCCATGGCCGCATCAAGCCCGACACCCTGGACGACGAGTCAAGCAGCCTCGTGATGCTGGACCGCGAGTGGCGGATGGCGGAGCACGGGGACATCAACGGCCTCCTCGCCAAACGGCCCTCTTCGTCGCCGCCCACTCCGCCCTAAGCGCCGTCCCGAACACCGGGAGCTGCAGGCGCCCTCTTCACCGCCGCCCACTCCGCCCTCACCGCTGTCCCGAGCGCCGGTGGCTGCCGGAGCCCTCTTCGCCGCCGCCCACTCCGCCCTCACCGCCGCCTCGAGCGCCGGTGGCTGCGGGCCCCCTCTTCGCTGCCGCCCACTCTGCCCGCCATCGTCCCGAGCTCCTCCCGTCGTCCCCAACTCCGCCGCCCCCTTCGTCGCCCGAGCTCTGCTCGTCGTCGTCCTCAAGGTGACTGCACTCACTGAGAGAGTATTTTGGAGAGAGAGAGAGGTGAGGTGTAAAAGAGAGGGTGAGAGACTGACATGTGGACCCGCTGATTTAAAAAGAAAAGAATTGCTGACTGGGCTGCCACGTAGACCAAAACCGCTTGCAAAGCTGCTCGGGGGGGTTTTTCGTCCGATATCGATAGTTGAGGGTGAAAAATGACTGGTTTTAAGATTTAGGGGGGTAATTCGTACTCACTCAATACTTTAGGGGGGTAATTCGTACTTTTTCCATATGTGATATATCACTCCACAAACATGCAAGTAAAAATTCAACTTCTACATCTCGCAACGAAAAAAACAAATTTGACTCTGAATATACGTTAACTAGCTGCGGTTCAATTTGTTTTTTTCGTTACGATTGTTTTTTTCGTTACGAGATGTAGAAGTTGAATTTGAACTTGCATGTTTGTGGAGTGTTATATTACATATACCTTCCTAATTTTTTTCAATTTTTTTCATAACCATTTAAGTGATATACAAAGAACGAGGGGATATCCCCTCGAGTGATTAAAACAGTTTCCCCAGATAGAGGGAGAGAGATAAACATGAGAAGAACTGGACAATGTTAGATGGGATCGTCCTGGACGGCGCGGCGTCGATCTTGTCGCAGCCTTCGTCTCCGGGTAGATTGATCTTCCAGCGTCGACCGGCGCCCGACACAGAGCGCCCGCTGGCTGCCACCGGCCGGCGACGCACACGTTGGTCGTTGGCGTGCGCTTCCGCCCCGGCCTCTGTATTATCTTGTGTTAGATTGATTTGCTTCTTCTCCGTTGTGGTTCTCCATCTCTGCCTCCCCCTTTATGGCTGACGAGCTGTGCCTTTTATAGGCGGTAGCGGCTTACGCGAGACCCGGCGCCACCCAGCCTCTATACGGTTGCGTGATCCGATGATATCTCCACACAGCCGCGCGCGATGGATATATATACTATCCGGCAGTTTGTTTGGATGGATAGAGCTTGACCGTGTGCTTATCTTCTGATTGGTTTGTTGCTTCAATCAACTTGTAGATGAGGCATAGCCGCGTACGCGTACACATCCAGGGTGTGTACGAATGCGCATGCATGTATTAGCTAGACTGGGCTGCCATTCTTGTTGGTTTGCCGGTCTGCTGGGCCGTCGATGGAGCTCTCGACCACACGCGTGCATGTGTGAGACCTTAATTAATTTATGGGTTAATTGGATCCATGCCACTTGAAATGTGGCAAATTAAAAAAATGCCACACATATTCGCGATATCGGCCAGATGCCACTGAAATTTTAGAAAATTGGATCCATGCCCCTCCGTCACGTTTTCCATCCCCTCCCCATCCACGGCGCCAACTTCGTTGCTTTCCCGTGCGTGGATGACGCCGCCGCCGCTCCACTCGACGCCATGGTGAGAAGCCGACGCCGGGGCTAGTCGAGCACGGCGGCCTCCAGCTCGGTGCCGAAGCCGTCCCGCTCTGGCCACACGCCACCATTGCCTATCCGCGACGAGCTTGGCACCTCCGCCTGTGCGCCTCCAAGAACATGGCGGCGAGCTCGCACGGGATCCATGTCGTGCGGTGGTGGTAGTAGCAGTCGTCATCGAAGGTGGCGTTGGTGGCCTCGCCGCCCCTACTACGGAGATCGAGGAGGTCCGGGTGAGCCGGATCGAAGGCGGCGAGGACGGTGTCGACGGCGAGCTGGGAGAGGGTCCCAATAGCGCGTGGAGGGCGTCGACGGCGTGCGGCGAGAAAGTGGAGGGCGTCGGCTGCGTGGTGGCGTGTCCTTGGTGGCCGCCGCATCCTCGGAGGGGCGACGAGTCCCCGGCGACGGCGTCCTTGGAGCGGGAGAGGTCGGCGAGCGGTGCCCGGATGTCGACCATGGCGATGGCGACAGTGGTGGCCGCCTCGTCATGCACCGCGGCGGCACCCCGTAGCCTGCCGACGTGGGGGAAGGAAGGGGAACGGAGACGGCGTGAGAGAATATGATGGAAAATGTGACGGAGTGGCATGGATCCAATTTTCCAAAATTTCAGTGGTATCTAACCGATATCGCGAATATGTGTGGTATTTTTTTGATTTGCCACATTTCGAGTGGCATGGATCCAATTAACCCTTAATTTATTGGCTTGCTCTCTATAGCTCAGTACATGCACACACATATATCTTTATACGTATAGCCGAGCACACATGCATACGTATACAGGCTATGTGGATCAGTACGTCATAGCACATGCATGCATTTGCATGGCCCAAACAGGAATCAATATTTAATTAACTGGCTTAATTAGCACATTGACATTGCTAGCTAAATTGGTTCCTGAAGATAGCCATTAAAACATGCAATATATATGGTTATATTTTATAAGTACGTACTCCCTCCGTTTTGTTTTATTTGACACTGTTGACTTTTTAGCATATGTTTGACCGCTCATCTTATTCAAAAAATTTAAATAATTATTAATTATTTTCCTATCATTTGATTCATTGGTAAATATACTTTTATGCATGCGTATAGTTTTACATATTTCACAAAAGTTTTTGAATAAAACGAACGGTCAAACATGTGCTAAAAAGTCAACGGTGTCAGATAAAACGAAACGGAGGGAGTACAAAATACCGTCAAACAACGACGTGGTCACGTGGAACAGCCGGTTTTGTTGTTTCCTGATCTCGTCAGTCGTCACGGCTGCGGGAGTCCGGTTCGGTTCCCCTCTCCTCCCACCCTCGCGCGGCGCGGGTGGCTAAAAATTCGAGAGAGCGCGCGGCGGATCGGGGGCTCCGTTGGTTTTCGAACAAACGGGAAGAACCACAGATCCAAGAGAGGGAGGGGTCATGGGGTTGCTGTCGCTGAAGCGGCTCATGTCGACGCAGCGGCGGCCCCGGCCCCGGCGACGGCGACGGCGGCAGGTCCAAGCTCGTGGTAAATTAAGCCCTCTCTTAGCTCCATTGGCCTCTTTGTTGCATCGCATGCCATCTTGTACACGTTCCTGGTCCTGGCTGGCATATATATAGCTTCTTCAGTTTACAACTATTCCTTTTTTTTTAGATGAAGATACTGCTATTGTGAGAGAGAAGAAAGAAAAAGGCTGGGTTTTTCTTTGCTGAGAGTAGCTAACTGATTACTTTAGGTGTTCAGACGTTCGATGTGACGGGGTGTAAAATTTTGAGGTGGGATCTAAATACCCCCTTAGTACTTTGGTAGGCATCAACAAGTATCAACAACGTTGCTTCCTTTAGTGTCCTGGGAAAGTATTTTCTACACCTGGTGTATGCATGTAATTTAAACAGTTATATAAAAATTTGATAAGATAGACACTATACAAACATGCAAGTCTAAATTTGATCGACATATGAAGAAACAAAAATAACAAATTTTATCTGCGCGGTATGGTACTATTCACTATCTGATTTTATTATTTTTGTTTCTCTCGTTGTAGATCAAATTTAGTCATGCATGTTTATGTATAGACTTATATCATTACAATCGATGTTACTAAATTTTTTCAATTTTTTCTATAATTATTTGAGTCGTATGCAAAATCCTTGTCCTTAGTTTCTGATTGAGCCTTCCACAAAAGGACAACTTGGATGGTTTTTGCCCAATAGTTGTATAACATAAGCAGATTTATCATGTGGCATTGCACTCTCTATTTTATACTCCATTATCATTCGTACCTAGCATGCATAACCTTAATGTGCACAGCAGATGGATCGGTTACTTTATTGGCTAAACGAAAGGGCTCACCCTGCCAACAACAAGATGATAACCAAGATGTCAAAAGAATGAGAAATCCACGGGTCTCCCTTCCATAGGTATAAATTTCTCGTCATGTATCCCCTTTTCTTCTTAGAAAGAAGGTGGTGGATATACCACCAACCACCATATGCTGCACTTCTCTTAATACTACTTTTGTTTGTACGGCTCTTTTCACATCCCTAATAGTAAAGTTCAGTCAACCATTGGGCTGACCCAATCTTTTACAGGCTACCCTGGATCCCGGGTCTGTTTATGCACAATATAAAACTTCCACATATTGTTTTTCTTCTTATATTGCTTTCTAAAATCAAAATTTCAGACGAAGGTTCCAATATGACAAGATTACTGTTATGTATGAATTAATTTTAGCATGCTTGATCACTCTCAAATGCCATTATAAAAGAAAATGTAGTGATGTATGTGTTTTAAACAATATTAGGACCTTATTGTTCATTTACATTTAGCAAACGCAAGGCATTCAGATAATTGCAAGTAAAAAAATTCCACCATGACTTATACAAGACAAGAAAATGATCCCCCTACCCATTTTTGTTGATTCTGTCGTTCACACTAGGGCATTGCTTTTGTTATCATGCTTCCTAGTTCCGTTACATATGGTGGTTTAGTATATATTCTTATAGGGAGCCTTTGGATTCATCTTATCTTCTCAAATATAGAACCCATTTTAATTAACCACGTTCATGTAACCGCTACTTATTTTAGTTTTTACGTTCTTATTACATGGTTTCCGCCTGGTCGAGTACTCAGATGCACTATTTATGCCCTATTCAGAAATTATATGTTTGTTTATGTTTCCTTGCTACATGAACTTTTATAGGATTCTGTTGTTCAATGGAACATCATCCCATGCATCCTGGTTCACTTGCCTTTACAGATGTGGTGTTGAATTTTTCTCCCATCCTTGTGTTTTCAGGACATCTGGTATCATATACATTCCTTATTGCCACTGCGAGATGCTGCTCGTGCTGCATGCGTGTCTAGCACATTTCTATGTTCTTGGAGATGTCGTCCCAACCTCATCTTCTGTAAGAAAGCACTGGGAATGAATGGCAATTGGAGGGAAAATGTTAGGGAACTCATCAACAAAGTTGATCACATTATGAAAAACCACTCAGGCATTGGCTTGAGGACATTCGGGCTTCAATCTTATAATTTGACTAGCAAATGTGCCCGTGCGTTGCAACGGGAAGTGTACGGAACAAAAAATTGAGAAAAAGTTAAAGAAAAATTTACATTATGTAATTAATTAAAATATTTGGTATTTTTAAGTACGTAGGTGTATAATTAAATCAATTTACAAGTAAAGCAAGTGTGAAAAATAAAATTGCATGGTTAAATTTAATTTTATTAAATTATCCATGATTAGTTACGCTTTTTAGAATTTTATTGGAATTATCAGAGCTTAATTGCTAATTTTGAATAATACAAAAATAATTTAATAATTATTTAATTGGAAAAAAAAATCAAAATCCTCCTTTCTATGTTTGGGCTGAATATAGCAAAGTTTATATTCCCTCCCTTTTGTCTATTCTATGTGTTTGGCCTTTTTCCTTTCTCCATTGATGTCTATTTTGCATCCTCCATTCGGTGGCCCAATAGGCCGGCGGCCCGACGTGGGAGCAGCTGGAGCCGTCCGATCGAATGGACGGTCCAGATTAATCCTAACCTAAATAAACATACCCAAACCCTAACCCTAGGATTCATTTTCTCCCCTCCCCCGCCCCTCCCCCCTCTCGCCGAGCGACGATGGCAGAGCCGCCGCCCCGCATTCTTCCCCCGAGCGGCTGCGGCGGCGTGGAGCAGCGACTGGCGAGCGGCGCCCCCCCCCCCCCCCCTCCTCCTCTCCCTCTCGGGTCGGCGGCCGCGGGTTGGTGGCGGCCGCAGTGGATCCGAGGGTGGGGGCGGTGTCGGCGGCGGCTCCCTCCACCCCCTCTAGCCTCCCTCCCGCGGCAGATCCGCCGGTGGTGGCGGTGGCGGCGGTAGCCGCGGGTGGATCCGGCGATGGTGGCGGCGGCTGTGGGCGGATACGGCGGCGGCGGCGGCTCCCTTCTCCCCTCTCGCCTCCCTCCTGCCCCAGATCCGGCGGCAATGGCGGTGTCGGCGGCGTCGGCGCGTGGGTCCGTCGGCGGTGGCGGCGGCGGCTCCCTCCTCCCCTGTCACCTCCCTCCCGCCCTAGATCCGGCGGCGATGGATCCGTCATGCAATATTTACGTGGATCATAAAAAATATGATTTTAAAAAAATATGATTTTATGCTTTGGATGGCCATGGCGACTGACCTCAGCGGTAGCCCAGAGCTGCTGCTACAACGACAGTATCTAATCTACTAATAACCGGAGTATTCAAAAATAAAACAAATTAAGGCGCAGCAATACATAAAACCGGTATATGCATATATATGATCTTTATAGTCGTCATATAATACCATGAACATGAATTGGCTCCTTTAACAAATTATACATACAAAATAAATTTCAATGTTGTTGAATAGGGACAGTATAATCTGAAGAATTTTTGGATCGGACTTTTTTTTTCGTCCGGTTTTTTTGATCGGAAAAACTTGGTTTTTTCTGCCTGGTTTTTTTTCACCCGGTTTTTTTGACGGACGATGGAAGCACCTCTTATTTTTTAAGTAGTAGTAGATCAACACCTGTTATCTTGACCGTTGGCTCAATATTGCTATTACACCAGCAATTGAGGAACTCAGTCTTACGCAGTTTCCAGTGTACAATGCAAAGTACTACAATTTCCCTTCCTCAATTTTATTCAATAGGGGTGGAAACTCGATTAAGCATATTCATCTTAGCTACTGTGCCTTCCGTCCTACTGGTGGACTTAAATTCTTGCGAAGACTACATCTGCGTGAAGTGCATATTACTGGGGACGAATTAGAGTGCCTTCTTTCCAATTCTTTTGCTTTAGAGCAGTTGACACTCAAACATTGCAAAGAGCTCAACTACCTCAGGATACCTTGCAAGCTACAACAGCTTAAGGACCTAGAAGTGTATGAATGCAAAGCATTGCAAATGATGGAAGTTAAAGCTCCAAATCTTTCAACCTTCTATTATGATGGTAATCTAGCACGACTATCAGATGGAGGTTTACTGGCAGTGAAGAAACTACACATATCATCCTTTTATCGGTATAATAATGTTCATTATGCCAGTGCCAATCTTTCATCCATTGTGCCAACTATTGAAACTCTCATAATATCTTCATTTGGTGAGGTATATTATTATGATATGATGATCTCATTAGATACCACTATTGTGCATATGGCAATGGTCTTACCTTGAAATATGATTAATATGGCTATTTGTGCAGGAGGTCAATACAGTAGTTGCACCTTTCAAATTCCTCCACCTCAAGAGCTTGATGATTAATCTTATCGGATTCAATGGGGCCTTTTCCCCAGCTTATGATTATCTTTCTCTAGCTTATTTTATTGACGTGTCTCCTGTCTTGGAGACTTTCACTTTGATTGTAAGTAAATTTTCATGTGTTTCCTTTTTGGAATTTAATGCGGCAAATATATCTATTATCTATAGTGGAACCATTTCTTCAAGTATGCTTTACTTGTTCCTATGTAGGTATCACAGATTCGCATGGAGCATGATGTGATTTCTGAAGATTCCTCACATCTGAGGCAGATGCCAAGATCCATCCATGGCAACATAAAGAATGTGAATATCATTGGCTTTTGCTCTGCAAAGAGCATGATCGAGTTAACTTGTCATATTCTTGAGAATGCAACATCACTTGAATGTCTTACCCTAGACACAATACATGATGATTATGTTCACCCTGATAGATTATCTGTTCACGAAGTTGGTTTCTGTGGTTGTATAGGTAGCCCTATGATCATGGAAGCCGAAAACGCGCTCTTGGCTATCAAAAGATACATTGTGGGGAAAGTCCCCTCCACAGTTAAGTTAGTTGTTCTGAAGCCCTGCGGCTGGTGCCATGCTACTAAAGGTTTGGGAGTAAAAGATCATCGTGTTGCTTAAGCTCGATGTGGCTTGTTTTACATCTACCCGTTGTTTTTTTGTCTTGGAATACTATAGGGGTCATGCTTTATTTCTCAAGTTGTCACAAGCGCTACTATTCTGATTTTTTTTTTAAAACAAGAGGCATGGCCTCCCATTTCCATTAATAGAAATGAAGAAAGTTCCTACACAGGTCTGCAATTACATGACTTGTTAAGGTTTTTAAACTTCCCAGGTGGCAGACAGTTTTTCTGAAAGCCAGAACTAAAAAGAACTAGACTCCTGACATGACATGCGCCACTCTTTTGCTATGCCATGTTACTATACATCCGCTATGCATGTTTGATTTATTGACCACAGAAGTACCATGTACAGAATGCCCTCAACTTTCTATGGTGAATCTGCAAAAAAATGCTCAAGCAAAGAAACTCCATTTATCAAAATCCTTCTATACCCGCCGTCCCACACCTTGTTCCTAGATCCCCAGGCGTTCTGCACTTAATAAATTTTACATGCAACATATGCCATCGAATTAATATAGATAATACGCTCAGTTAGACACATCAAGTCATCAACTACACAACAAGTCTAACCTCTTGTACCTCTAAAACATGAATTCACCTTGCTTTCAAGTATCATCTTGAATACAATGAACCACTTTCACGTGAGAACATTGTGACTTGAGCACTAGAATGTGAAGTCACGTTGCTGCTTCACCAACAAAAGAAAGTGCAAGAATATGAAGTCACTGAAGTCCAGAGAATCCGTACTGTTCCTCCAAACATTCACCAATAAAAGCACGCCTAAATTTCCCCAGTAAACTCCTTAACAAGTTTGTAGGATTAAAATACTCTGAATTTATTACATAAAAGTTCATTATGGCTTCCATTGGCCTCTACGGGCAGAAAACCTATAAATGATAGTTCAATTGGTCAACCCACTCGGCCACTCTGTATATTTACTCCACAGTGCACATACTCAATACTTTCCCTCAATAAGCTAGTTTCGTCAACAGTGAAACATATAAACACGATCAACAGAGGCGATTTATACACAGACTTTCAGAAACCAATCAAGCCATATCTCTTTAATATTTACATACCTTATACAACTTCCACTCTGAACCAACAAGAGAAGCGTGGTGTGATGCCACAGCATTCATATAAACCATGACATATATGGACTCTGCCAACTGATGCTGTATGCCCGTAATATTTACATACTACTAGTTGCATGATGAAGGATACATATGGTGGATTGCCAGTAAGTAAAACTCATTTTGATGTGATGTTAAGTAACACTCATGTCTTCCAAGCAACAAGAGAGAACTGAACTCAGCACGCTAGCAACAACAGTATGAACCATCCATTTCGCATAAACCAAAATTCAACCATGTATCACAGTCCATCCCATCAAACACTACAAGATCACGATTACACAAAACTCCATGTCCTAGAGCGGCATTCAGTCGACCAATTTCTGTGCGTCCGAACAGAAGTTCCAAGAAATGCTATACGTAAGGTTCAAGCCCAGTTACAATCTGGATATAAAAGTGACTAAAAAGTTCTTACACAATTACAAAGAAAGTTCTCAACAATTCAATTTAATTAGCTGGGAGTTATAGAAAATCAAGATTCAATCAAAGCACTAGCTAGAATCTGAATTGACTAAAGTCGGTAGAATCCACATTGTTTCTCCAAAGCCCAAACATTCATCAATAAGGACACACCACAGTGATTCAACACAATTTAGGATTAAAATGGTCTAAATGACACAACATACAATTTCATCCTGGCTTCCAATGGCATCTACAGTTATAAACCTAGAAATGGTAGTCCAATTGATCAGCCCAGTTCTGCGTTTATCCACTCGACATTTTGAGTATGTTTTGAATGAACTAGTTCAGTCAGCATCTGCAGAAGCATATAAACAGAGTCTACAGTCTACAAACAACCTTTCATAAATCATAAACTAATCAGTGCATGTTTCTCTAACATTTGCATAGCCATAACTTATACAACTTCCGCTCTGAACAAACATGGAAATCATAGTGTGATGTCACTGAATTTATAAAAACCGTGACACAGCAACTGGCACTGTGCACCAATATAAATGAAACTAGTTACTGCATGGTGCTGGTTGCAGGATACATATGATGGACTGCCTCTAATTAACACATTTTTATGTGATGCCTAATTAATTAACAGTAACACTCGAAGTCTTTCAGGCGATAGGACAGACCTGAACCCAGCAGGCAGCGACAGCAGCACGATTGCACGAACCATCGATTTCAGATGAACCACACAATACTGCATGTCACAATTCCATACCATCTATGAGGCATTCCGTCGAACACTTTCGACGCGCCCGAACAGATATCCGCTACACGCCCCGAATCGTCTCGCCCCGCGCACAACACCTAACATTTAGCATGCATACGCAAACAACATGCGCGCGCGACATCCCTCTCACCAATCCACAACCCGTAGCGACTAGAGAGAGCGCGATTCCCCATTTCACGAGAGAAGCAGTGCGGGCGTACCTGACGTCGATGCTGGTCTTGAGGTAGTAGGAGACGCTCTGCGCGAACCCATAAGCGGCCGCTGCGTGGGTCACTGGAGACGTAGGCGATCTGGTCTTCGGGGACGGCGATCACGATCTGGATGCGGGTGTCGACGAGCGCGCCGGCCGTCCATGGTTCGGCGTCGAACATCCTCACCAGGTCGACTCCATTGGCCTGCAGCATGCCATCATCCGCACCACGATTGCCAACGGGGGGCATGGGTGTGGGGCAGTATCGTGCCCCAGTTGACACCCACGGCCGCGCTCCCGCCGGCTTCGTACGCCGCTGCGTGGCGTGGGAGCAAGGCCACAGCGACGGTGGCGAGCACGCCGCCGCGGCCCTGACGGAGCTTGGCCGTGTCGCGGTGGGAGTGGGGAATGGGGCGCTGCGAGGGCGGAGGCGGAGAGGAAGAGCTTGCGCGCGAGGAAATCAGACGCGGCGCGGCGCCGCGCGGGAATCGCACACAGCTGCGTGGCGCGGCAGCAAAGCCCACGGCGACGGTGACGCGCATGGCGCCGCGGCGCGCGGGAGCAAGGCCACGGAGACGGTGGAGAGCACGCCGCCGCGGCCGTGACGGATCTGTGCCGTGGCGCGGCGCCGTGGGACTGGGACTGGGACTGGGAGTGGGGATCGGGGCGCGAGGAGAGGAAGACATCAGAGGCGGCGCGGTGACTGGGCGCAGGTGAAGCAGGAGCGCGAGACGGTTGGAGTGGAGCGCGTGGAGGGTGAGGGGCGCGGCCTCGGCGGCGAGGTCGATCTCCTCCTCGGCGGAGGCGTGGAGAGCACGGCGATTGTGGTGGAGCGGAGCGGAGAGGCGCAAGACGAGAGCGAACGGAGGTGAGAGTAATCGTGTCGAACACGGCGACGCCCGCGGCGGCGAGGGCCAACCTCACTCTCGAATTTTGAAAATATTCATCACAGCCCAACCCCTTTCCCTTCGGCCCCGCCTGTCTGTCTGTCTGTCTATATAAACGGCGTCTTCCTCCTCACGAAACCACCTCCTCCCGAAATCCCCCGCCCCCGAAGTCCCACATTTCCAAAGCTCTCCATCGAGCTCGTCGGAATAGAGCGCGAGAGCAGGGTGGGGGTGGTTCTCGCCGGAATGGAGTGCAAGAGCGAGGAGATCAGGGTGGACTCCCTGGAGGCGGTGCAGAAGCTGGCCGAGAAGAGGGGCGACGAGCGCGGCGTCCTCGTCTTCATCTACGCCGTCGACGGCGTCCACCACGCCAAGGAAATCGCCGACGCGCTCGGCGACCTGAAGAAGAACAACGACTGGCACGTCAACAACCTCGGCGTCGTCGAGGCGCTCTCCACCCTCTACGGCCCCCTCTTCCTCTCCATCGGGATTCTCCGCATCATCCTCCGCCATCGCCACGACAACGGCATCACCGCTGTGCGGAAACAGGCTCCCCAGCTTCTCCGCCAAGGTCGCAAGCTCAAAACCATGGAGCTCGGCGGGATTACCGGCACAGTCTTCCTCGGGCAGAATCATCAGGAGTCGGTTCCTCAAGGCGGACGCGGCATGGGCGACCGCATCATCAACCTCTGCAATCAAGTCATCGGCAACGACGCGGAGCATCGCACGAAGCGGAACAACCCGGTGTCCGATGAGTGGTTCGACAAGGCTGACAAACTCCTCAAGGACATCGAGATGTTCGTCACACAACCTGTGCACCTCCCCGTGGACCCCGACGCCGCCTCTGGGCGAGACGAGCGCCTCCCCGCCGCCGCCGCGGACGACGACCACCTCCCGCCGCTCCCGGCTCTGCTTCGCAACAAGAGGAGCGCCTCCCCCGCCGCCGCTGCTGAAGCTGAAGGCGAGCACCTCCTAGCGGCTTCCGGCTCTGCCTCAGACCATGAGGAGAGCCTCCCCCGCCGCCGCCGCCGGCTGTCTCCGAACCTCCCCGCCGTCCCCGACGTCATCCCCAAGTAAGCTGTTACCAACAAGAACACCAGATCGCTTCGCTGTGTAAGTAAATGACTCGAAGATTCAATAGAGACGCCTTGTTGGTTACTGGTTAGTTAGCTGTCATGAACAGATTGATGATAGAAATACAGAAACAGAGTATTTGATTACTAGAATGATGTTTCTCTCTTGTGCCAATGCAAATAGTTGCAGTTTTGAGTGTGCTTGTCCTGAAGCCTACATTTGCTGGGAGTTTCTATCAGATTTTGTTTTCTGTACATTTTCTACTTGCATTTGCATCATATAGATCAGAAATCAGGCCCATCTTTACAATAGTAGCATATGCAATTGCCAACTTGACATCCCAAGTGAGTAACAGAATAAATCAGCACATCTCTTAGTTGCTATTTCTTCTGTCTAGACAAATCACCAAGAGATTTGGCACCAGCTTGAGAAATAACATAACCCTTTAGCTTAGTTGGTCACCTTGTGGTAGCAGCTGTTGTTACAAAGAAAAAATGGCTGCTCATCGAAAATATTTGATTATATTGCTTTCGCTGTTATTTACACCAACAATCAAGAATAAACTATGAACAAATCTCGTCGGAGGGAAAAAAAACTACAAGTATGTGTCCTAATAGAATGAGCTCGCCCTCCAGCAAAGTGAATTGTGTCAACAAAGAGGAAAGAGCCCTGGATCATCATGCGCCCAACTTTTGCCAGGTAGTAGTATCAGTCATCCTAGTGATTGGTTTGGGGAGACGCCTCCGCGAGCTCGATTTCTTCACTCTTTTCCGCTTCATGGAAGACTTCTTTGATGGAGGAGCTTTCCTGCTACCTAATCTGAGTTTTCGAGATGGTTCACTGGCCGTTGGAGGGGGCTTCCAACCGGATGCAATCATTTGCTCTAGTAGCTCCCTGTGGTATCCCTGGTGTGATGTCAAACAGCAAAAACAGATACACTAGTAAGCTTATGAGGTTCAACATGTGCTGCCAATAGGACACAGGAAATACAGGGCACTGGTAGTTTAGTTCTGCAGGTTAGGTAGTGTGTGCTTGTGTCCTAGGAAGTATGTGAAAACAAAAATTATGTAGTAGGATGAGAAACCTGAATAACGAAGTTGCGTCTTTCGCAGTCCAGGAACATTTCAGGCATCCAGCCAACTCTAGCCCTTATTTTGTCCCGGACGGTGCTGAAACTAATTTGATCCCTGGAGGTGAAACGGTCAACTTCATTGAACCAAAGGCATGTGAAGAGATTCGTGATGGGAATGTGCTCTCTGATGATGACACAACCTTCAGGGACATCTAAACCAATGCAAAAAGGACAGTTAAAATCTCAGAAAGTAACTGAACTGTTTTCGCCATACTTCAATGAGATCACTGACCACTTGTAATAGGAAGCTTAGCAGGTGCATAATATGTTAGGCCCTCATTTCGGTAAAACTCTATTTGGTAATCAATTGATGCATTGTCATACTTGCCAGCAGCTTTATTAGCTTCTGCTTCTTCAAATACATCAAAGCGTTTGTAGTGCCGAGAGATAGCAAAAGTAGCATTCTTCCTCCACAAAAACCTAATAGCCATGATATGACACAGTCAGACTCAACACAGTAGTCAAATATTGCAATATTGCGATCTTAAAATAATGAAAAGCTGGTAAGTTCCAAATTCTAATGTCAGCAGACCAACAAGGAAATACAAACAAAATACTAAGAAATTGAGTGAGTAGCTGTTATAAATAAAGTGTCTTGTGAAAAAGCCATTGATAATCTTTCTAGTCTAATATCCTCAACAGACTTAAATATGCAGTAATCCGTTGATAGAAGTAATGGCAAATGGTGGCTGTTGAAATTGTTGCAAAGATGCCAAGGTGTAGAACAGCCCAAATTTTAATTTGACAAAACTATAGCACATGACAGGTTTCTCTCCTTAAAGAAATAGCATATAATAAACCAAGATCTTCACATAAATCATACCTCTCAAGCAGTAGATAAGGGTCCACAACGAGCTTAAGCTTTGCATCTATCCAAACTGAAAATCTCACATTTGGAAAAAGCCTATGGAGCAGAAGCTTAGGAATCTGCACAAATTAGATGTTTGTTCAATTAACAAGCACAAAACAAGGGCAACATATAACGTGGGCCTACACATTAAAGCAACAACTTTCAGTTTGGGAACTTCAATATCAGTGACAAACATTTGTTTGCAACATACTCTCTTCAGTGGCCCCGCCCCTACAACAAGTTTGCCTAGTGCCCACTCAAACTGACTGTATCACTTTTATACATTTCTTTTCTCATGGATTAGTATTTTAATTTATCCTGAATTGCACATGACATTTCAACAATTCTCTACTTGGACCCAAACCACTTAAGCAATATAGTAAGAAGCCTCACGTAATTATACTATGTTAGCATTCAAGTATGAGGTCCATGAGGTTTGTTTGTCTCCTGTAAATATACCGAGAGCTAGTAATGCATCACAAGGATATAACGTCGACAGAAATTACAAGTCATAAGAATGGCACCTTCCCCGTACGCCTTGGATCTTCGTATGGGAGATTTCGAACGACCACTAGCCTCCATAAGCCAACTTTGTTGTTTCTGTACAATGAGCTAGAATTTTTTACATAAGCCTCTGTTTCTTCATCTACAAACATATAAAAACATGCATTTGCCTTTGAAAATTCGCTGGCATTCCTTGGATGTTGAATCATATCATAATTCCCTGGAAAACGGTATCAAAGTGTGAGCAGACAAGCAGAATGCAATCATAATTAATACTATTACTGAACAGTGATGTTACCAAAAATAGCAGAAGCTACAACCAGCTCACGGCATTTCTCCATCTCTAACAGATCATCATCATTGATATCAAATCCAGAACCTTGGCCAGGTTTCTTTCCTCTAACAAAGCTGATAAAACAGCACAAATCATTTCATTCAGCATACACATTTCAGCCATTAAGTTTTGGCAGAAGTTCTGGATTAAATATGGGTAAGAAGATGCAAGTAACCTACCCACAGTGGACAGTCATAGACTCACTAATGTCAAAAGATTTATTTCTCTGCTCCAGAGATGGATGCCCACCAAATACAGAGCCCTGATTTGAGAAATTTGCAGTGATGTTGTCTTCAAATACATAACTTAAGTTCTTAAGGACAGGAGATGGTGAAGGTTGTGGAGGCATAAGAGCGAACGCCTGGTCTACAGGCACGTAGCAAACATCACATGCTACAGGGAAAATGAGAACATATCTTACGATTAATGACAAGTCAAACACAAACAAACTTGCAACGCTAACCAAAAAGATGTAAAGAACTAAGCTTACGTCGTGGTCCAGTGCGTTTCGGATCAACCAGGGGAGGGGCAACTGAGAAACCTTCACAAGGATGATGTGTAAAGTTTGCAAATGAAAGACGAAGTCGATTTGGAAGTTCAGTTTTGTTGACGCTACTAGCAGAGAATTGGTCGCTGGACGTCATTAGAGGCCTTGTCATGCTGGGATACACAGAGTTCTGTATGGTATTTGCGACTTCATAGTTATTTGCAATGATCATTGAAGCATTATCATCTGAAACAAGTCACCAAACCAACAAGTCAATGACTATGCTTTCTAACAAAAACATATATTATTTTTCATTCAAGAAACATCATTTTCTTTTGAATTCCTTGAATAAAGTACATGTTTGAGAATTCCATAGTAAAAGCATATGGCATGAGCAGCTAACGTCCCTTGATAGTTAGGATTGGCAGACAATTTATCATATCTGAGGCTCCCAAGTAATATAACAAATTTTAGTACTAAGTGGGAGGGTATTCGGTGATCAAGACGGAGGCCACACAGCTCTGCAAGATTCAATCTACCATTTCAAATCTAAGAGTGTGTAGTTCCCTTGACCTTATGAAGGTCTCTAACCATCAAGACCACTTGTATGCATCAAAACCTGGTTTATAGAGAAGTACTCTACCTGGACCAAGATATACATGACACTGCCATCAGACCAGATCACAGACAACAACATCCAATTAGTCTAGCTGATCCGCAACACCACAAAACTGAGACATGTAAATGGGAGGCGATCACACGATCAGCATAGGCCAGTATGTAACCAGAATGAATGCCGCGCGCTATTGATTCCCAATGTTTAGAGCATCACAAAGACATAAACTAATCTGGATTTCTGCAAGCGTGAACTGCGTGACCGGAACAAACTGCTAGTACAAATGCCCATTTCGCTACGAACAGCAGCTAGGGAGGGAAGCGTGCGGCGCGAATTCAGCGCAGGCAGCCAATTGGCAGCGGCGAGAAAGAAAAGGGCAGAGCGCGTACAAACCTTTGACGACGGCGAAGATGGAGCAGAAGACGGCGGCGGAGGCAGCGGCGAGCAGCAGCAGCACCCCGGCCCTCCGGCGGCCCACCAGCCGCAGCGCGCGGTGGAGCAGCTGCAGCCGCTCCTTCTCCCCGCCGCCTCGCCACCCCCACCCCCTGCCCCCGCCCTTCCTCCCGCCGCCGGCCGACGCGAGGGAGCCGTAGCTCCCGCACCGCATCCCCAGCGTCGCCGCCGAGCCACTCATCGCCACCGCCGCAGCCGCCGCCTCCCCTCTCTCATCCCAATCGCCGAATCACACGGCGCCGCAATCCCCTCCACCGAAACACGCGAGATCCCGCGAGCTGTGGCTGGCAACCAGATCAGACAAGGCGCCGCCCACGCGGGGATTAGAGGATGCAGGTGGAGCACCGACGCGCGCGCGCGCGCGGGCGGTGGGTGGGTGGGTGGGGGTTAGAAGCGCGGCGCGGGCGCGGCGGGCGGCGAGACGGGGAGGATTTTTTTTGCCGGTTCACGGAGCTGGAACCTACCACCACACCAGCAGCAGCAGCGGCAGCAGCAGCATGTGAGATTCCTGCGCGCGAGCGCGCGTGACGACTCACTGACGAGACGGCGACGCGGTGGCCTCGTCGTCGTCTTCCTCGCGGCTGACGAGTCGCCTGGCGCTCGCGTGGAGTGTAGTGTGCCGCCCCGTGGTGACAAGTCGGGGAGGTTAAAAAGCGGCCCAAGCCGCTTCGGTTAAACGCCATCACTACTAGTGATGATGACTTGATGAGTGATGGGCAACGCGATCTTCAGTAGTAGGGTAGGTGCACGTCAGAGCTTGCTGCTGATGGACGAAAATATTACACTTTTTATTTCTCCCTTCTTTTTAAAATATATAGCAACCTAATACCCTCTCTGTTTTTTATAAATGACATTAATATTTAATGTGAAGTTTGATCGTATTATTAAAAAATTATATAAATATCACTTCTTTTATTGTGACACGTTTTATTATTAAAGAAACATTAAATGTGTCTTATTCTTTAGCACATTTACACTATTTTTCTAATAAGATGAATGATCAAATACTATTTTAAAAAACAAAAACATTATCTACTAAAGAAACAGAGTTAGTACTGAATTAACTGCCGAAGAAATATGTGATAATGATTGATGCCAAATTGCCATTTGGCAGATTGAAATACCTGGAGAGATTCTCAAAAGGATTTTTTTGAAAATAAAAAATGGAGGGGATGTGTGAGAAGAGGAGTGTTTGGCAAGTGAGAGTGACTGGGAGCACGTTTGGATGATTAATGCGAAAGCGGAAAAAAGGGTTGAAGGTGGGAGGAGCATAACCATGATACATCTCCTTTTGATCCCCTTTTTACAATGGATTTGCGCCTTTCTGAAATGACGTCTTAGCAACCATACTTCCTTTCAGTCTATGGCTCCCATATGATCTTGTCTTAGCTACAAGCATGTGTGATTAGTGTGGTTGTGTGCGGTCTTGCCGGCTTTGCCCAAGCCAAACCGCGTTGGGTACAGATCGTCGGTGACCAGTCGACTATACGTGATCTTGATGGGTTTGTGGATCAAAGATTGACAACAGATTGGGCTCTTTATCTTGCCTTTCGTGGGCTTTTCTGCTTTACTATTCTTTATTGGGCTGGGCCTGATAGCAGCAAAGACAAACCAATTCTTTCTTTATTTGAATCGCAATCGGTTCTACTTACTACAACCTATTCATGTCCAATCCAGCAAAGTTGTCAGCATGGGAGACTGAGTTAAGATCAAGAAATTAACGGATTCACTGAGGTAATTTTACGTGATAGGAAGAACAAGGTTACAGAGAAAATTAAACGATAGCGAAATAAACATACAAGCTGTCTCAATTGCATAACATCTTGATTATTACAGCCATACTCCTCTACCATATAAGCATCGTAAACCAATGCAAAACCAGCACTAACTACGTACCACAGCAACTAATTCATCTCCCCATGCAAGATCGAGTCAATGAATTAATTAGCCTAGCCGATCGATTTATTCAGGCCCGGTCTCTGATCTTGGCGACGACGACGATCGAACACACCAACATGGATCAATGGATCAGTAGCACTTGTTGGGGTATTTGGGGGAGAAGACGAAGTTGCCGACGGAGTAGAGGCCCTGGAGGCCATTGTCGCGCTTGACGAACTCCTCGAACTTGAGCGGCAGGCCCCTCCTGCCGTGGCCGGGGACGGCGCACGCGCGCGACGGCGACCGGGGCACGTACACCCTGCACTCCTGGCTCGTGAACGACGTCAGCTGCGACGTCTCGATCCGGAAGTAGCCGCCGCTCCCGGCCACCCCCCTGATCGACGCCACCCGCCGGTGCCCGTGCCGGCAACGCAGGTACGCCACCGCTCCTGCACACACATATATACACGCACACGCACGGCCGCCGGCGAGATGGTACGTTAAAACAAAACATAAATATTAGGAAAGTACCAAATATTAAATAAATAGAAGTGGGTAAGGCTTTGAACCCAAATAAGCTAACCCACAATCTTGTGAAGCTAGCCGAAAAACCCCTAACAGTTTCTATGTTACGTCGACAACGACACCGTGTAATCAAGAATATTGATTTTACCGTTCTTAAAAAGATATTGGGAGGTATCATATTTTTTTTAGTGTAAATTTGGTGTCTCTAGTATTAGAAGGTACGGAAATGCATTAAAAAAATTATTACGTCTTGGGAGGTACTACTCTCTCCCAGAAAAAAGCAAATCTTAGCTATGAATCTAGACATGCATATTTCCAGGTTATACGTGTCTAGTTTCGTAGCTAGGATTGGATTATTCTTGGGACGGAGGAGATAACTCTCGAAAACTGTAAAATTTCTCAATGGTGAAATGTATGGTCGGTCTGATCTGCGAGCTTACCTGCGAGCGGGGACGCGTCCATGGCGGCGAGGTAGCCGGGGTACCTGCAGGTCTTGCACCACACCATGCCCTGCACGCCGATGCTGAAGTTCACCGTCGGCGGCGGCGGGGGCAGGCCCATGGCGGAGGCGCCGCCGCCGCCGTCGAGAGCGAGCAGCACGGCGGCGAGCGAGAGTACAACGAACGACTTGACGAACAACAGTGCCATCGCGATCGAATTCGCCATTAATTAGTCAACGTAATCCACACAAGAATACGTAATAACTAGCTAGAAGACGACACTAATTCGCTAGCTAGCTAAGCAAGATCTAGTCTGGTAAGATATGGTATAGTATACAGACAGAATTAAACACTTGGGTTAACTAGGATACGTTGCGAAGACAAGAAGCGAGAGATGATGGTGCAATTTATAGCGTGCGTGTGCGTACGTAGAAGTGCATAGACGCATACAGTGATAATAAATAAATAGTAAGAAATTTAAGATGGCTCGTGATTGCTGTTTTGGATTCTGATTAGAAGGGGATCAGAGAGACTGTATATTCAAGTTGTGTGGAAAATACGAGGGTTCGTTGGGGAATCGAGGGCCAGGAAATGATGAACTCGCGTGTGGGCTGGAGTGCGCTGCAAGCGATCAGTACTTCGTTAATAGCATTATCTCTGTTTAATTACTTGATTCCAGGTGTGTTAGAAGTTAAAATACATGACACTATGTACCACTGTATCGCACTACTGTGGACACATCGTGTTTTTTTAAGACAATCACGTACATCGGCCGTTTTAATTCGCCTAGTGATCGGAGTTTAGTAGTGTACACTCCAGTAGATCTATCTAAGTACCATGCATCCTTAGTAAAATCACCTGGTTAGGCAAATCGAGGATGCATGGGATCGATGAACAAGAGTGCATATCTTGGACATCAGAATAACTGCAGTATACGTAGCGTTCAAGGCATCGGATCTGTTTCGATCGGGAATGTAATAAGCTGCTTAACTGGTATAATCGACGAGCCCAAAGTCTGAAGTGGAGCAAGTAAATACTACTCTCCCCGTTTTATATATTATAAGTCCGCTTTATTTTTCTCCTAATCAAACTTTTTATAATTTAACCAAATTTATAAAAAAAACTAGTAAATTAGTTTCATTAAATTTTAAATTGAACATATTTTAATAGTATAGTTATTTTATGTTAAAAATACTACTGTGTTTTTTCATGTATACTTGATTAAAATTAAAAATGTTTGACTAGAAAAAAATCATATCAATTTATAATATGATTGATGGACAGTAGTGACAATGCCGCATATATAGATTCCAAGGTTGAGCTATTAGACCTAAAATCCCTTATATTATGGGATAGAGGGAGTAGTCAAGTAGTAGTACTCCAAGTCACCAACGCAAACAAATTTTGATCGAGCAGTGTAAAAACAGTAGTTTTTTCTGATTCCAGTACGTAGTAGCTCCTTGTGTTGTTGATGTATTGTATTTGTATCGTATGCAGATGCAACTGCCAACTGAGGTTCCGTTCGGCAGTTGCAAGCGCTGGCAATCTGGTCTGCCTTCTCGAGCGGGCCAAAAAAGCCCGTTAGCCCATTAAACCTGAGTCATTTGGCCCAATACTCCCAAGCGGTGACATCCACCAAACCAACCTGGGCCACGCACGCTGCGCACTCTAAACGTTCGAAGCAGAGTTTCCGCTCGTGTGCAAGATCTGATCAACAGCAGCGGTGCGCCATATGGTAGCTCGCGGTTGCTACGATCATATTCTCCCGCGCGGGCGGTGGCGGCGTGCAGACTGCAGAGGCAGCGGCGGCACGGGGAGGTGCGCGGGTGCCCCTCAGCGTGATCCACCGGCGCGGGTGGAACCGGCGGTCCAGGACGCCGTGCGCGCGCGGGTCCGCGCAGCAGAGGCGCCACGGGCGGCAGACCGCGCGGAAGGTGACGTAGTCCGCGACGTCGCTCGCGAGGAGGCGCTCCGCGATCAGCCCCGCGGGCCCTTCCCCGAGGTTCGTCCAGTCTCTCCTAAAATAAAAGACGAGAAATCATCGTGTTGGATTCGGAAATATACCGGAGGGTAAACTAATATATGGCCCCGTCGATTGGATTATTCACGGCATATTTGCAAACGTAAAATAATTTATAAATAAAACTTTTATATATGCGTTCTTAGCGATCTGAAAAGCAAAGGCGGGAAAATAAACTACAATGAAAAGACCTAAAATTAACTTTAAAATTAAAGTTTAAAGTTTAACTAATAAGTATAAGTATAAGCGAAAAGATGAGACTCGTAGAATTAGAGTGGAGGATAAACTTTGTACCAATTATTAGGCTGGATGAAGGCACTCGTTTCACACCCCCCCAAAAAAAAAAAACTTGGAGGGATCTGCGATGACCACCAGCGCCGCGGATCATTTTCTGCCGTACTGATCTGGATCTGGGAGCTTGGTGCCGCTGGATCGTGACGGTTGTACGGTAGCTTTGCCGGGCGAGAGGCTGCCGGAAGAAAATTTGGTGAGACGGAGGTCCTACGCTAACAAGAAAGACTTCGTTTCCAAGCGCGACATGTGTGGGCACCAATCTTAAAGCAACTCCATCCTCATCTTCAACCTCACGCCTCACGAACGTTCTCCCATTCCTTGTTTGCCCAGCGGCTCACCGCTGCCCCCATGCTCCTAACGAGCTTGCAAAGAGGAGCACGTGGGAGCTTGCCCTTCCTTGGTCTGCCGAGCAGCTCACAGCAGGACATTGGGTTGGGGAGCAGTGGCGAACTCCAGCGGTCTAGATGAAGAATTTGTAGCAAGCTTGACTGCTTGAATAGTTGAGTACATCGAGCACAAATTGATGGGCAGTTGAGTCTGACCGTAGGGTGAGGAGCTTGCTGACCTCTCGCAGGCCACCGCTTCGCCCCCACCAGTGTGACCTTGCTGCTTCGCTGAACAAGAAGGTTGAATCGACGCGTTGCCCTCCATGTGTGCGAGCTCGTCAAGATGCCGAATGGGAGTAAGGAATCGCCTCCCGCCGATCTCCTGTTCTCTATGAGCGAGAGCTTGCCGCCAGACTGAGCTGGACGGATCGGAGGAATCACTCATGCGCCGTTTCATCTGTGCAAACGGAGGAATTATCTGTGCAGCTGTACCGAAAGGGGAGAACTGAGAGATTGCTTTGAGATCGGTAGGGAACACGTGTCACGTTTTGAAACAAAATCTTTCTGATAAACATAAGACTTCAGTCCTACCAAATTTTCTTCCGAGGCTGCCTGGACTTGGCAGGACGCTCTCCTCTTCGCCCCACAAGAAGAGCGCCTCGGCATCTTGCGCGTCGGCCGGACACAAAGATTTGTAGGTCCCACATCTCTCAAGGACTGAAAGCACCGAAGGAAAACTAGTCGGATTGGCCCAGCCGCAGCAGCCCATAGTTATTCGGCTCGTTACTGTGTAGTCGTTGGAGAAGGTATACGCATCGGAAACGATTTTGCGACTCTTTGTGTATTTCTATTTCGGGCCGAGTTTAGTTCCAAACTTCTTCTTTAAACTTTCAATTTTTTCATCACATCAAAATTTTCCTACACACATAAACTTTCAACTTTTTCGTCACATCGTTTCAATTTTGATGTTAACTAACCACATCCTCGGTACTTTTCCGAGAAACAATAAAAATGCTCCATTTTGGATGCCCCTGAAATTGGCAACATATATATCCCATAATCTTCGACAAATGCATGCGCATCCCTGAAATTGGCAACATATATATCCCATAATCTTCGACAAATGCATGCGCTAAACAAACGTCAGATGATTGAAAAAACATTAAAGTTACAATGTTCAGTATCAAATATCAAATACGTACATTGGTCATTTCAAGGAAGGCTTTTTTCTAAAAAAAAATAAACATTGCGCGGAAGCCCCATGGTTAAACTCCATAGCTGTATTGAAGGGACTGTATCTTAATAAATAAAATTATTTATTTGCTTCGAAATACTTCAACATGTATATAAAACTTTCTCCACAAAAGTGAGAATCATGGTAACTATGTCGTGGCTTTTTTTTTTAAAGAAAACACACAATATAAATGCACATACTCATAATGGGCGTACACACCCCTATAAACACACACGTACATCATATCTCTATTAGCACCTTTGAAAGGTTAGGTATATCACTGAAAGAATGATTAGCTATAAATGCGATTTTGTAGTAGTACCTAGGAAATAAACAATTAAGTGGTGTTTTATATGAGTAGCGAGATTTTGCAGCTAGAAGCGGAGGTCTCATCGTGTTCACTGTCACGCCATAATTATTTTAGGAATTAATAAAATGTTTGTAGAATTTATATTAAAGTGGGAGTAATTAAACAAGTGAAGTTAATATGAGAAGTAAAATAGCCTTTAGTAAATTGTGGCAATACTTTACTTTCCCCATGTCATACAATACTCTCTGGAGTTTCTCAGAATTTTCGGAGCCTAAGATTTAATTTTAACAAAACAAACATCATTCAGTAATTATTTGAAATGAAAAACACCCTCTGATCTTAGGCCAATTCTAGCCCGTTTCCCGCCTAGTGCCACCAGTCCAGGACCATTTGGCCCAATAGTACTTACTCACATCTACCACCCAACATGGGCCGCAGTCGGTGGGCCTATCGAGGCAGCGTCCCCCGCTCGTTGCTTTTCTCCTGGCATGCAAAAGATGAAAAAGATTTGAAAAACGCCTCTGAAACAACAGCATGATCAGATGCACAAACTCATCATAAATCGACCGAAAGGATAGACGTACTCAGATAATTTTTTTTCTCATGACATTACACTGACGAGCGAACTAAAACCACTGCAAACCTAAGCGACGAGCTACTACAAGGTTACAACAAATGCTCCATCGACCAAAAGACGAGCTAGCTAATTTCTACCCATTATTAATTCCAAATAACGTGCACGAACTTAATTAAACCATGCATCATCCAACCAAACCACTAACTAAATTGGCGATATGCGTGAACGCACATCTCGAATTCTCCATGTCAATATCGATCGTCTCATCACATCATCGGCACGCCGGCGGCGTCGGCGGCGGCGGCGGCCGGGCACTTGCCGCCGGTGCCGGGGCCGAACATGAGCGTGCTCTTGGGGCGGTACACGCCGCGGACGCCCTTGGGCAGCGACGCCACCCTCTCCCTCTCCAGCGTGAGCCCCAGCCACTTGTTCGACGGGATGAACGGCGCCGCGCACAGCGGCGACGGCGACGAGCCCAGGTAGACCCGGCACCTGCTCCGCCGGAACACGTCCAGCCTGTACACCATCACCAGGAAGTAGCCGTTCTTGTCCGTCGCCGTGCTCGTCATGTTCAGCACCTTGTCCCCGTAGCACACCAGCTGCGCCGTCGCATCTGCAAAATATTATCATAGAGACTATGTTAGTCATGGAAAACTGTTTTAATCGCTCGGATGATTGTTCACCTGTTTGATGCATATCATCTAAATAGCTATAAAAACTTTTTAAAAAAAATTAATTACATATATTGCTCCACAAACATACAAGTTAAAATTTAACTTTAATAAATTGTAACAAAAATAACAAACAAAACTTAAATTACTATATATATCTCCAAAGTGAAGATTAATTAATTTCTACATATGTAATGAAAATGGTTTACATCTCCGACATTTGCCTACGGCACTGGATACTAACTTGGTAGGGGAGACGCGTCCATGTAGCGGTTGTAGCCGCTGAGGTTGCAGGACTTGCAGTAGATTGTGCCCTGGACGACGACGACCGGCTGGATACGGCTCGGCGGCGAGGTGCGCGGCGGCGGAGGAACAGGAACAGGAGCCGGAGCCGGAGCTACATACCTCCCCGACGCATGAGAAACCGGGAGGAGAATTGCAAGGAGCAGCGCGGCCATGGCGCAGTGGATCTTGGAGGACACCATCGTTGATCAGTGTACCGCACTTAGCTCGAGTGGAACTGAAAAAATGAGCAGTACTGATCGAGTGTGAGAGCCCTTCCAGATATGAGCTAATTTATAGACGGAGATGGCTAGGGTTTCCTGCCGTTTGGAGTAATTTGGTTGGTTTGCTTCATTTGCGATCAAACAACTGATAGCTGCTAATTGAGATTCCATTTGGATGCATCGCAGTTAATGCTGTTGTTGGCTTATGACAGTAGAGTCCGTTAGGGTTCTAAACAAATGCATCACACTACTCCAGTACGCTGCTGCAAGCATGAAAGCGTGGACGTCTTTGACGCCTGTAGATAGCCAACGCAGGATCGAATTCGTGAACTGCCAACTGTTCTTTACCTGGCTTCATCTCCTGCAATTTGTTGTCACCTTTGATCTCAGCATCATATCCATTCTCAGAGTTTTTGCTTACTGCAAATATCGGCAGAAGATACTACTACACCTGACCAAGTGACTACTGCGTTTACTTTGACAGAGTCTGAGCCTTTTATCGGATTCAATCCTTACACCAACTTGACACTTCTTTACCGTGCTCAGTTGGATTTTTCGTGTTTTTTTTTTACCCCTGAAAGTTTTAGATCGAGCTAGGCAGATAGCTGAAGAAGAAGCTGTACATAGCTTTTCGGGGCGTTAAAAGTTTAATCTGATTTGTCATTGGAGAGCGTGGCCAGTACTGATGTTCGCGCTGAACGGCGACGACCTGTGTTTGTACTCTTCTACATGAACGAACTATAGAGTAGTTTTTTGAGCTGGGTATTTGTGCGGAGTTGCTTCTAAGGCAGGCAAGCCTCCCTCCTGAATCCTTGATTTCTGGTTCTGAATTCGTTCATCGATCGTTACTAGTCAGTACTCTTTTTTTCCCACTCAGAAGATGATCTAGTCACTCGATCAACTACTTGTCACGAAATGGATGCTTGTAGCAGAGGAAACGTGAGGATATACAAGTGTTCACGAACAGATAATGCTATCAAATTCAAATGTATGCATGAACTAGGGAATAAACTATATGTCTAATTTTTTTTCAGTAAGTTTGCCTCGACTGCACCAGTTTTCAGTCGAGACAAAATTTGACTCAGGTTGACTCATTGAGTGGGCATTTGGGCCTGCAAGCGGAAGGCGAAAAGGCCCATCTCGGTATCTCTCTTTCATTAGGCAACCCAACACGAGACGGGGGCCAATTTACAGTGCTATTGCTCCTCTATTGGGACTCCAATTGTAATGCAAAAGCCCATGAGGTTCTCTTTTCGCTGGGCTGAAAGCTCATGTAGTCTTGCAGGAGGGAAAGGCTCTACATGCATGATGCAACTACATCAGGACACATCAAACCTAAAAGAAAAAAGAAAAAAAGATTTGGAGGGAGAGACGTCATTCTAAACATTTTTAAGAAAAAAATTATGAGCGTGTTAGAAATTAAACACGGAACTATCAAGTGCATGTCAGGAGACATCAAACCTGTTTTTCAACTGAAACTTTGATGAGGAGGAGGTAATTGAGAAGATGCTTTTCGCTGGTGATATATATTGAGCTTGCAATTGACGGTGACCTAGATTTCTTGATTGAGAATCTGGGAGAAATCATGAAATCATCAGGAGTATGTGCGCCGATGGAAGTACGCTTCCGGTTGCTATCATCCCTGACCTTTTCCCTCCGGCTTTGGGAAAATTTATTCCTTCAATCCATCGCTAATTCTCTCTCGTACACGCAACTTGGATAGCTACGCTGCACAGCAGAGCATAATTGGATTATGGGTCCCCAAAATTATTGATCAAGCGAAAAACAAGGAGATTGGTAATGCTGGAAAAGAATCGCGCGTTTAACGGCTAGCTGTTCTAAGCAAGACATTGGCTGGCAGACGCAACGCAAGAATGATTCTTCAGAAAACGTAGTGGCTTTTTCCCCAAATTGGTAAATAGTGACATAGTGTAGTTGTGATTATGGATAGTTTTTGCCCTTTTTGGCTCGATTGTTTTACTGTAGTTGACTTGCTTAAGGAATAGGCCGGCTTCCGGGGGGAAATGATTATTCAGGATTTGTTTTTTTTAATGATTTTGATAACTGTTCTTATTCTCTGAGAAATTGGAGTACTAGAATTTCAGGAAGCACCGAAGGACGGCCAGTTTGATAGGATACCTTGTCATTTGCTGAAATTAATGAAGTTTAGATAGTTTGGTAGCTAGCTTATTGAGCTATAGCAAGTAGTAGTTCTTGCGTTCGCATAGGCCGGTTCCCATCCCGAACAGTTGGCACGAAAAACGGAGCGGTCCATTAGTACATGATTAATTAATTATTTGCTATTTTTTTTTTAAAAAAAAGGATCAATATGATTTTTTAAAGCAACGTTCGTATAGAAACTATTTTTTGAAAAAACGCAACGTTTAACAGTTTGAAAAGCGTACGCGCGGAAAAGTTGGAAACTTAGAGTTCCAAACACACCCTAAGTGTAGTCGTCGAAGCATTCCGGTATCGTGAAATGTTGCCCATGTTTCTGTATGCGAACCAGTAAATTTATTTTTTGCATGAAGATTGAATTATCTAAAATCACCTAGATACCTGCTAACTACTAGTTTAGATTCTTGACCCAATCAAAGTTTTCTGAATTTGCTAGATGGAAATTTGTTTTACAGAGTTACAATAATTCAGCAACTCTGTAGCATCTGGCATTCATTTTTTTCCCCTTTCTTTTGTTAATTTCTTATGTAATACATGTACATTTATTCCACGAGCCAGCAACTTGCAATCCTACAGATGATTAATTAATTAAACAAAGAGTTATTGCATTCCGCAAATATCTTCAGCCTTCAGGCAAGCTGAAAATCTTCAGGTTTCAGTATATCCTATTCGCAATCAATCAATCAACCAATCAATCAATAATCTTAATTCTGTGTTCATTTCTCGATGAATCCGGTCATCTGGAGGACGAGGTTCCTGACGTTGCGGAGGTCCCGCCCTTTGAGCGTCCTCCCCTTGCCGGCGCACATGGAGTACGCCGCCGTCCTTCCTCGGAGCCTCCTCCGATCAACAATGGCGTGCGGCGGCGCGACCATAACTCCATTATTCATCATCTTCTTCTTCACAGCGTCGTCGTCGTCGTTGGTCTGGTCGAACATGTTGTACTCGGAAGCCCACGACCGAGACCGCCGCTTCCGGCGAGAGGCGGCGATCTCCACCGGAGCAGACAACGACGACGACTCCGGCGAGCCCACAGGACGACGAGCCACCGGAGACGGCGTCGTGGTGACAACCACCGCGCCGTCGTCGGAGTTGTCCTCCGCGGGCTCGGGCCACAGGATGTCAGCCTCTTGGAATTCCTCCATGGCGTCGCCGTCGCCGTCGCCGGCCGTCTCCTGGACGACGGAGAGAGGTCGGCGAGGAGACGGCGAGGGCGTATTTATATACGGTGGTGTGCGCTGCAAGGAGGAGGAGAAGAGGAAGAAGCTGGCGTGTCTTGGTGAGCAAGCACAATTCCTTGGGGAGACGGCAATGAGAGGAGCGGAGCGGAGTGTGTCTGTACGCTGGAAGGAACCGAACAGGGTTGATGTGGAGTGCGGTGCACCTTATCGTCGGCTGCCACGTGGATAGCACACGCTAATACAGTTGCGTTGGTCATTTTTGTTTTTGAACATGTGGGTCATTTTAGTTTTTACTGTGTGGCACACTCTCGCTATAAGCCCTTGTGTAGTTCCCAAATTTTTTTCCCAAACACATCATATCGAATCTTTCACACATGCATGTAGCATTAAATATATATATATAAACTAATTGTACAATTTGCATGAAAATCGCGACACGAATATTTTGAGCCTAATTAGTCCATGATTAGCCATAAGTGTTACAGTAACCCATATGTAATTAGGCTTAATAAATTCGTCTCGTGGTTTTCAGACGAGTTATGAAATTATTTTTTTTCATTTGTGTCAGAAAACCCCTTCCGACATCTGATCAAACGTCCTATGTGACACCTAAAAATTTTCTTTTCACAAACTAAGCAGACGCTAAATCCCTGAGAATGTGGAGAGAGTCTGAAAATGAACTACAGTTTTGTTCAGACTGTTTTGATTTGTGCTAATATAAGGATTTGATTTTCTTTTTAAAATAAATTATCTGAAATATTATAGCATGGGTTTAATTGGGTTGTACTCCCTCCATCTCATAAAAAATCAACTTAGTACTACGAATCTGGACATAGGATGTCTCATATTCGGTTCTAGATTCGTTTTTTTATGGGACGGAGGGAGTATATATTAGCGAGGATGAACAAGTTCTTTTGTGCACCACAGCAAAACGGCAAAACGGCAATTTTAGAGTGGTGTTATGATTTCTGCCAAGTTTAATCCTACGCTCTCTCTAACTAGGTCGCTTACTGTGTGCCCACGTGTTGATTAACAACGTAACACACGAGGTGGTATTAAACTGGGGTAGTCCAGTTTCCTGGTAAACCCAACTTGATAAATGACAATTTTCACACGGCAAGATAGGTATTTACAATCCACGGCATCCTCAGTGTTTGATCCCTTTTGATATACTGAAGCATGACAAAATTTCCCGGAACTTATTTGTTCAAGTAAAATTAAAGCAACGAGACCAATTCAAATCGAGCTCCCAAATCATCTTCTTACATTTTAATTCCTCATTCATGATACAAATCCAGTACTTCCATGGATGCATATACAGCTTCAACTTCATAACCTGTCCTTAACCCTCAATGGCAGCAGCGCATGCATCATCATCCTTCGATGAACCCGGTCATCCGCAGCACCGAGTTGCGCAGGTGGCGCAGGTCGCGCGCCCGCTTGCACGGCCGCGTCCCCAACGACGACGGCAGCGTGCACGGCGCCGCCGCCATCTCCTCCTCCTCCTCCTCCTCCGGCCGCCGCACGCCGAACAGCAGCAGCAGGTGCGGCGGCACGATCACCACCTTCCCGACGACGCTGCCGTGGCCGTCCTCCTCCATGCTGGCACCACCGTATCTCCAGTTCCACCGGTGTAAGCGCGCTCCCCTGCAGGGGACGTCCACCGGCCGAGAGTGCTTGACGCGCGGCGTGGGCGCGCGTGTCTCGTATGGCTGCACCGGCGGCGCAGGCGAGATCGCCGGCGGCGGCGCGTCGTCGTCGGCGGCGTCGGTGTCAGGCCACAGCACCTCGAACTCGTCGAGCTCCTCCACCACCATCGCCATGGCAAGGCGTGGCAACCAGCTGCCGAGAGAAAGAGAGAGAGAGCTCGCAGCTCAGCTCAGCTCAAACTGAGGCGCGCGCCGCGGCGTCGAGCGCGTCTAAATATACCGGGGCGCGCGGCTTGCCTGCCTGATGGGATTCTACCGCGTCTGATCGGATCGGATCGCGAGAGAAATTCTGGGGCGACGGCGACCGCTCGGCGGGCGAGCTCCACACGCGTCCGCGAAAGAGAAGCGGCGGTGGGGAGGTGTACGTGTGGATGCCGCGGCCGCCATCGCGCCGCGGGCTCCGGACGCGGCGAACGGAACACACGTTTCCTCTCGCCGGCACGCCGCCCTGTTGCAGCGTTGCAAGGGAATCGACGCGAGCCACTTAGTACGTGACTGATCGCAGTGTGCATGGTTTGATTTTTTTTGTTTGGTGATGAATTTATTAAGCATGGGTTGATTAATTGGGCCCGGGGTCGTAATCAAGGCTGTAATCAGTGAGCAGTTGGGAATTGGGATCGACAAAATGCAACTAGGGATATAGGAATATACAGTATATGCTTCTGTTCTGCTCCAGTGCACTACTACGCCAGTACGTAGTAGTAGTTGCGCCCGTCAACATCCTCACTATTCATCAGCATGGATCCATCAATGATCAATCCGTGTGAACAGCCAAACAGGGCAATTTTGGCTCTGGTTTCTGGGTGGATTTAGGCTGGACGTGTTTAGTTACTTTTCACAAAAAAAAATTAGAGTATACGGACACACCTTTCTTTGAATTATTAAATGTAGACTAATAACAAAATAAATTACAGATTTCGCATGTAAACTACGAGACGAATCTATTACGCCTAATTAATCCATCACTAACAAATGTTTATTGTATCACCATATTATCAAATCATGGCGTAATTAGCCTCAAAAGATTCGTCTCACAATTTACATGCAAACTGTGCGATTGATTTTTTTCGTCCACATTTAATTGCTATGTATGTGTCCAAACATTTGATGTGACGGAATTTTTGGAAGTTTGAAATGAACTAAACATATCCTTAGTTCTTATCTTCACTTTCCCAACTCATCTCCCTCGTTTTTCACACACACGCTTTTCAAACTGATAAATAGTGTGTTTTTACAAAAATTTTCTATATGAAAGTAACTTTAAAAAAATATTTTTCAAATTTATTTTGGTTAATACTTGATTAATCATGCACTAAACACTGCTTTGTTTTGTGTGCTAGGGAGTAAGGTTCCCAACCCTCACTCCCGAACACAGCCTTATCCGTCTTCCCAACGCCGGAGAAATACCCAGGGTATTTTAGCTAGATTCTCATGGTGATGGGCTAGACAATCTGGATTTAAAGTTTCACCCCTTCTAATTATTTATATTAGGTCCTTCTCTAATATTCGCGTATGTCTTCCCAACGCTGCAGCAGGGTGTGAAGTCGGCAGACTTGCTACAGGCCTACAGCTAGTGATCTCCACGACTCCACCTAACCTAGGTTGTGTTTAGTTCCACGTCAAAATTGGATTGAAAGTTTTTTTTAAAAAAAGTTAAAAGTTTATGTGTGTAGGAAAGTTTTGATGTGATGGAAAAGTTAAAAGTTTGAAGAAAAAGTTAGAAACTAAACCAGCACCTAAACTTAGGCCCTGTTTGATTCAGCTTATAGGATTATTATAATCTAGATTATTAGGAGTAAGCTGAAACAAACAAGTAGATTATTATGCTAGATTATTATAATCTATAAGCCAGATTAGTATAATCCAATAATCTTTTTTAGAGGAGTTTTTTTCCAGATTATTAAGTGGCTAAATACTCTCTACCCTTAAATGTCTCCAATAATCCCAAGAAATAAACAACTCACAACTTATTTTATATCAGATTATTATAATCTAGCTTAGAGTAATCTGATTTAATAATCTAGATTACAATAATCTTAAACTGAAATACCTTAAACCTGCACGGAAATCTCGCCGGGTCAAGGACGACGATGAGGGCGCCACGGACGATGGACCAGACGGAATTGGGGCAGCCCGGGGCTGGGGCGGCGGGGGGCGGAGCTTCCGTAGTTGTCACCAAGACCATGCGAGATCAGGTGAGTCGTGATGTGGACGAGTGTCACAACTCACAAGGATTTGTTCTGAAAAAGGACGTCCACATCACATAAATCTCACCACAATCAGAGCCGTTCAATCTTGATCGAACGGCGCAGCAGACAACGAGATGCACTTGGTCTTGATAGTGCCTAAGCACAATTAAAGCCGTTCAATCTTGATCTAACGGCATAATATACAATGGGATACACTTGACAGTACAATAGTAAAATGTGTATTGTTATAACCCTGAGTTTCCGTATTCTATACCCGACACGTTCCTCCTTCCAAATCTTCAATAGACATTTTCACGAACCAAATCTGCTATGGTGTAAAAGGAAATAATCTATGGTTTTGCTATTCTCTCCGTTTCATATTAGAAGACGTTTTGATTTTTTCTAAAGTCAAACTTCTTAAAAGCTTTATCAAATTTATAAAAAAAATGTAACAATATTTATAGGGATTAATTCGACTAACATAACATTTATAGTAGGATGTTATATAGCAATTTCCTAATTATAGTATTAAATTAGTTTTAATAAATCTAACATTGAATATATTTTAATAGTTTGTTTGTTCTATATTAAACCTGTTGTTGTATTTTTTTTCTTTATAAATTTGATCAAACTAAATAAGTTTGACTTATAAAAAAACAAATTGACTTATAATATGAAACAGAGGCAGGATCTCATTTGTAACAGATTTTTTACTCATATCTTTTGATTTTTCTTCTGTATAATCTTACATAAAAGATTTATATCCTGTAGATCCAACTTATAGTTGCACCCAGTTATAGAGCACTTTATACTTTGTTACTTCTATATAGTAATTACACTCAGCTACAATACAATAAAATTATATTTTACAACTATTTTTGTCTTTAAATTTACGATTTTTGACATATTTATTCTTTTTTTATTTCATTCAAAACGGGTTGTATCTATTGGTTGGTAATTCCATAAGATTTGAGCCTCTAAGTTCTACCTAAAGATCATTAGTAGTCCCATAATCAAAGGCTATCCTGTGGCGATACGTTTCATCCCCTGCGCTGACGTATCACATGCTCAATCCAAGCCGCTCAAATGTGATCGAACGTCTCACGGAGTCCCGGAGCGGGTTGACTGGTTGGTTCCTCCTCCTCGCCGAGTCGCCGTTGCCGACTTGCCGTCGTCATCGAGTTGCCGCCCGCCCGCCGCCGGCTACTGTACCTCAGTAGTTCGCGCCGGTGCGCCGCCTCCTCGCTGCCCTAGACGATTGCCCGATGCGGCAGCCTCAGCCGCCGCCGTCCACTGGCACTACGGCGGCGGATTCAGTTGCCACCGTGGCCAAATCAAAGGATGGCTACTCATCAGGGCGCCTCCGCCGCCGGCCATGGCACCCTGCCCTGTTGCCCTGAATTATCACTGGCACGGCAATGTCCGGCAACGCTGCCTCCGATGTGCAGCGGGATGATCACGGCGACGGCAGCATGGAGTTACACATGCCGACGGCGACTTCACTGTCGGCTGTGCACTCTGCACTAGTCCACTACTGCAGAAGTTCAGAGCCATATCATCCTGATCTCATGTTTAGTCAGATCTTGCAGGCCGCAGGTTATAGCCCTCTGGTCTGTGACCTAGGCTGATCCTGCGGTGCAAAATAATCGATCGAACCTGTTGATTCAGTGAAGCAGATTGTGCCTTCTCTGCTCGCTCGTGTCAATTTGGCCGGGCACAGTATTGGGATTTGAGGAAGGCGTCAACATTAAGTTTAGTTTGGATCAAAAAATTGCTTTCCAGTTTCTCTTCTTTTCTTTTTTTTTTTACATCTTCTTGTCTTGTCATTCTGTACATAAACTCTTTCTATATAGGCGTGAATTGTTTATGATTATTTCGTTATCAAACATGACAGGAAACAAAGCAACGGTTGCAGCAAATGCTATACAATTCAGACAGACAGCACCATCAAAAGAACCTCCTTTTCAGGCTTGAAATCTCTGGGAAGTGATCAGTAGAATCCTTGGAACTCAATTGTCAAATAATCTCAACCAAATCTAATGCAGAAATTTTATTTGTACAAAGTTTTAATGCTGAAACTTTGCTTTTTTGCAGATGAATATATCTTTCCCCACAGTATGTGCAAATGTGCAATCAGCATCTCCATTGCAACAGTTACAGTATCTTGAGAGTTGAGTGAGTTGCCACCCTTGATTTCCTTTCCCTAGTCCAACTGCTTGCAATTTCTAACTATTCTAGTGAAACTTCTTGCTGCCATAAAACTGTTTGCAAACCCAGCTTTCCAAATGTTGCTGAGACAACGCACGTTGCAAAAGTTATGGTCGTGGGACTCACACGATCACATCAGACCAAATGCACAGTTTAGATGTGGTATAATAATGCACATATATAGCCTGTTATACTTTCGGCCTGTTTGACCCATTGATGATTTGATGATAAGCCTGATAAAACTATACATTGATATACTTATCGAGTTATTTGGCCCAGTTCTGAAGTATAGTAGGAAAAATATGGTCACTTCACGGCAGGCTGCCTGAAGATGCAAAATCAGCTGCAAGTCACATGGCATGCCAATAAGCCCATGACCATTTGTAATTTTGTACTGACGTAGTGAAGATTACAGCCTCCCTACGATAAAACTCAATGAGGTCAGATTTATTCTGCATTAGCTCATGTTAAGATTGAATACGAGATCTCCGGGTTAAAATCACACACCTCTTGTTATCAAGTGCATCTCATGGTTCCAAATTTCCAACTTTACACTTAGCAGTTAGCACTGGTTGTGGATGGGATCGATGCATGGATGATCGAATCTCTTCGCCTTTGCGTTTTGCAAGAGCCCATGGCTCCATGTCCGTCCATGGCGTGCACATGGCAACAGCGTCTCACGCTCGCGATCGAGGAGCCTGATAAGCCTGAGGCACTGCATGCGTCGACACGATCGACCGGTCATCTCAGCCAGTGGTGGCTTTCCGGTCAACTTTCTCCCCTCCCTAGCAAGCACACCATGCTCCCCAGCAATGGCAGCAATGGCAATGGCGCTCTCTCTGTCAGGTATCTTTTGTCACATCACCTGGGACTGCGAGGTGTCGCCACACATGCATGCAATCCCGAATGCATTTGCAATTTATTTGGATTTGCATTTGCTTTGCGTTGCATGATGATGCCATTATACTATGGCCCCCCCATTGCTTGCTCCTCTCGTGCTCACACGAGGTCACACACTTTGTTCTTGCCTTCAGTCTTCAGAGCCAGTACGATCACCTGTGTGAATATATATGTCACATCGATAAAGCAGTGTACGTAGTAGGTGAGGAGCAGTGCAACTCTGGTGATGAATGGTGATCGATTATGATGACGATGATGATGCAGTGGAAGCACTGTATTCCTTCGCTGTAGAGATTGGAGGATCGATCAGCAACACCACATGTGCATCGGTCTGTCTTTGGGCGATTCATTGGGGGTGTCTCTGGTTTGGTCCTTGTTGCCATTGGCTTCTTTGGAATGCTTAAAAAAAATTTCTCCAAAACATGGCTCCATTTCAGTTCTGTACTGCTCCCTCCGTCCCAATATATTAAAACCTAGAAAATGTCCCATCCTGTCCTAGATTTTAATATATTGGGACGGAGGGAGTAGTAGAGAGCAGTGATGCTGTTTAAGATGTTTACGTTGGAGACTTTGGAGGAGAGAGAGCCTCCAAAACAGCAGTCATGGAGTCATTTTACATGGACTCATCAAGGTGACCACTCGCCTGCAAAGTGCATCGTTTGCTGTCAGCATGCAGTTCAGTTCAGCGTTCAGCACTGCGACTGCTCGAGACGAATGTTCAACTCATCAATATATCTGGGTTCCAAAAAGTGTGTGGAGCCAAAGCTCCAAGCATCATCTACAGAAGTGCAGAGAAGGAACCCTCTCTTCTTGTGATCTCTTCGTCCTTCTCTCGGGTGCAATAATTCAGAGGGGCCAATTCAACAGTGCATCTGGGGCTAGAAATAGAAGAGCTATTTGGCTACAAATCTAGCTCTTGTCCCCCTCACGGGTGCACTGATCAAACAATATAGGAGTGGTGTCTTAACTCTCTAACCACTGTTTGAGCTTTGAGCCAGTCAGGTTTACACAGTTCATATTGCTGTAGCATGCTTTGCTCTCTGTGTGTGCGTGTGCAGTGCTCTGTCTGAAGCATGACAAGAGCTAATAAACAACATGAGCTAGTATTACTGTAGTAGTACTCCCTTGGTACAGGAACCAAAGTCCGGACTGCTGTAATTTGGGAAAAGAAGAGATTCGGGGTTGTTTGAAGTCTTGCATATCCGTCTGTTGCAAACGGTTCAATTCCAATATCTCGTTCACGGTTCACCAAGGCCGTGTTTAGATTACCCCAAACTTCCAACTTTTTATCGTATCATATCACATCAAAAACTTTCCTATGCACGTAAACTTCCAACTTTTTTTCCAAACTCCTAACTTTTCCTAAACTTCCAACTTTTTTCAAGAACTAAACACACCTCAAATTCACGTCTCATAGACAAATCCTCAAAAAACACCATATTAAGAGGTGTCAAATCCTCAAACTCCCCTTCACAGATTTAAGAAAGATGCGCCAATGGGATATGAATTTGCGTGGTTGATACAAATAAATATAATAGAAAGAAATTTACTTATAGAATAGAATAGCTTGTCAGTCTATATATGAACCTGTGTCAAAACCAGGACGGAGCCAGGAGAGTACCAGGTAGGAACAAGTACACCCAAGATTTTCAGGGACCAGGGATTATGCATGTATTTGACTAGTAGTACTTCGTATGTTAATTCAATCATAACACGAAGTGGGAGTAAGGTGCAAAAAGAACCTTTTTGCATGGACGATTCTTGGTTTGTAACTAGGGCCTGGTTTAGTTCCCAACTTTTTCTTCAAATTTCTTCAAATATTCAATTTTTTCATCATATCAAAAAATTTCCTACATACAAACTTTCAACTTTTCCGTCACATCGTTCCAATTTCAATTAAACTTTTAAATTTAACGTGAATTAAACACACCCTAAGTAATTTATTGTTTAAATTTCTTAGCTAGTAATTATTTAGAAAGTGTTTGAGAGGAGGGGAAAGGTTAAGATACGCAAAACAAGTTGAGTTATTAGCGTATAATTAATTAAGTATCATTTATCTATATGTTTTTTCAACGCCGATTCAAACCCTCATGTTGTTGCCACGCCGATATGCCTCCTCATGCGTATCCTTCTTCAATTGATTGTAAAAATCGATTCTCCACTACTCTCTCGTCATTGTTCCCATGTTTTTCTATTTCATTTCTAATTTAATTCATCGGATTGAATCTCCATTTTAAATCGTAGTTTTCATCTAAGTTTTACATATTTGCTCCGATTTTAATAAAAAATACACGTGTCAGTTTTATGGAGGTTGAAGACACAGCTGGCTATACGTTTTGGACCTATAGCTCTACTTATAATCAAAGAGAGACAGACCAAGCCGAGAGATAGTGGATTGGGTTAGTAAAAAAAAAGAAGGAATGAATAGGCTTTCAAAATAATATATGGCAATAAAAAATATTTTTACCCGTCGCAATGTAAGCGTTTTTTTTTTCATGTTTTTGCTGAAAAATCGATGCTCCTATCCTATGTGCCTTCACAGTCTAAAAGTTGGTAGCAATTGATTGATTCCCCGTCACACGCACGCACGCACGCTCAGACACTTCCCTGTCCATGTTCATGTACGGACATGTAGGCCCCAGTCTCGTCACATCAGATACCCCCGACCCCACCACCCCCACCCCCCTTTCCACATAAACTCCCCCCACCCCATCTCCTCTCCCCCCTGAATAACATCGGCGCCTCCCAAAAGCGAAACCTCGACGCCACACGCGCGCGCGCCATCATGCCTGTAGCCTCCGTCGTGCTCCTCCTCCACCTCCTCTCCATGGCGGCGGCGGCTACGGCGGCGCTGGCCATGGACCCCGCCGAGAGGGAGACGCTGCTGCTCGTCATGGAGGCCGTCTCCTCCGACCGCGAGTGGCGCTCCGTCGGCCCTGACCCGTGCGGCTCCCCGTGGCCCGGCCTCGAGTGCAAGCCTGTGCCGGCCGCCGGGAACGTGTCGTCGGCGGCGGCGAGGCTGCACGTCACGCGGCTGGACTTCGGGGTGGCGCCGAACCCGACGTGCAAGGACGGCGCGGCGTTCCCGCACCTCGCGTTCGCGCTGCCGCACCTCCAGTCGCTGTTCCTCGTCGACTGCTTCAAGAACCCGGCGGCCACCACGGCGTTCACGCTGCCGCCGTCGGCCAACCTCACCTCCTCCCGCCTGCAGCAGCTCAGCGTCCGGTCCAACCCGTCGCTGTCCGGCACGCTGCCGCCGCAGCTGTCCAGCATCCGGTCGCTGCAGGTGCTGACCGTGTCCCAGAACGCGCTCATCCGCGGCGAGGTCCCGCAGGGCATCGGCGAGCTCAAGAGCCTCGTGCACCTCGACCTCAGCTACAACTCGCTCACCGGCACGATCCCGAGCCGCATCGGCGAGCTCCGGAGCTTGGTCGGCCTCGACCTCAGCTACAACTCCTTCTCCGGCTCCATCCCGGGCCAGCTCGGCGACCTCGCCATGCTTCAGAAGCTGGACCTGAGCTCCAACAACCTCACCGGCGGCGTCCCGGCCACCATCACCGGGCTGACATCTCTCACCTTCTTGGCATTGAGCAACAATGGCCTAAGCGGCCACCTCCCGGCCGGCCTCTCCGACCTCCTTGACCTCCAGTACCTGATCATGGAGAACAACCCGATGGGCGTCCCGTTGCCGTCGGAGCTCGGCGACATTGCGCGGCTGCAGGAGCTCCGGCTGGCCAACTCCGGCTACTCGGGGTCGATCCCGGAGACGCTCGGCCGGCTGGCGAGCCTGACGACGCTGTCGCTGGAGAACAACAACCTCACCGGGAGGATCCCCGCCGGGCTGAGCCGGCTCAAGCGGATGTACCACCTCAACCTGAGCAAGAACGGGCTGGACGGCGTCGTGCCGTTCGACGGCGCGTTCCTCAGGCGCCTCGGCCGGAACCTCGACCTCAGCGGCAACCCGGGGCTGTGCGTCGACGGCCGCGCCGTCTTGCAGGCCGACGTCGGCGTCGGCGTCTGCCGCCGCGCCGGCGACGGCGGGGACATCGCCTCCGTGTCCGCCGCCACCGACGTACTATCAGTTGGCACATTGTTCAGGCGAGATGGACAACTCTGGCTCGCCGGCGGCCGCTGGTCAGCGCTGCTGCTCATCCGGCCGGTCGCCGTGGCGCTGTGCTGCAGCTGCTGCCTTCTGCTCTGAGCTCGCGGCACGCGCGCGCGTGGTGGTTTGATCTGTATGTAACTCTGCTATGTTAGTGGTAGTATAACTTGTCACGTTAATTGCGAGAATTCCGAGGCAAGGGAAAAGAGTTTGGTAGTGTTGGGGTACTTCTACACTTCTACAGTACTTGGGTGTGGATTGGATTGGATTGGCACGTTGGTTTCAAATCGTCGCGCCGGTTGTTGGGTTGGGGCCCGGATTTGTGATCGGTCAAAGTTAGCGTCCGGGTCCCAGGGGAGTTAGGCTGTGTTTAGATTCAAGTTTAGATCCAAACTTTAGTCCTTTTTTATCACATCAACCTGTCATACATATATAACTTTTCAGTCATATCATCTCTAATTTCAACTAAAATTTAAACTTTGCGCTGAACTAAACACAGCCTTATGGTAACTGGCTGTGATTTGTGCGTGGCCGATCTGGCCATAAATCCGGCTGCGCCTGCAATTTGCAAGCAGTTTTCAGGCACTCTGCAGCCTGAGCTCTGCCCTGCTTTTCATTGCTTGCCGCTGTATAATCCAATGAGTGTTATGCCCCTCATTGCCTTAAGTAAGGGAACCAGATGCAGTGGTCAGGTGATCATGTACTCCAGCGTTGATGTCTGAACTGTTTGTACTAACTGACAGTATGGCTTGTCTATAGGGATGCATGAACAAAGTAGGAGTATGTGTTAACCGGACTATTTCTCATCTGCACTGGAATTTTATCATCTCTTTGGTTCTTTCTTTAACTATAACCACGGTTCGGGCTTGATGTCCGGGAAGATGGAAGAGTTTTGAAGTCCTTTGGGAGGTGCTGAGAGTTGCAACGTTTTTTGAGCTAGGGAGTACTCCACGTAGTACTCCAAGTAGTACTAGTGCATCACATTACCGGCTACTGGACTTCACCGTAAAGATCTCAAGCAAGGCTTGGTTTAGTTTCCAACTTTTTCTTCAAACTTCTAATTTTTCTATCACATCAAAACTTTCTTATACACATAAACTTCCAACTTTTCCGTCACATTATTTTAATTTCAATCAAACTTTTAATTTTAGCGTGAACTAAACACACCCGAAGAAAGAAAACCGTGTGACGAGAAAATACGGCAGTACTGTTTGTACTGTACGGAGTAAGAGTAGTACAGTACTGTACTCCTACCAAGGAGGAAAGAGAAGTCCCGTGTCCTGTGACGGGAAAATACATGCTGAGGAGTACCTGGCAATGTACAAAATCATTGGTGTCTATGTTCAGCGTGCATGGACATGAACTGTTGAAAAGGACAGTGATAGGATAAGTGATTGACATGATAAATGTACATCCTGCCGGGGCTATACAACAAGCTTGCGGTAGCTAGGGGCATGGCGTAAACCTGAAAGATTGTTTTTTAAAAAAACAAGAGTAAACATCAAAGCGATCGATTGATCGAAGTGATAATATGAAAAGAAGAAAGAAAATCGGTTCCCTGCAGGCAGTAGGATCGATCCTGACCATGTTAGCACTACTGCCGGCTGGATACTCCTAGATCGATAGATACCCTCCATGGCTCCATGTACCGAAAGCGAGCGAGCGGGAGAGAGAGAGAGAGCAGAGAGCAGAGAGCAGAAACCAGTTGTCATTAGCTGAAAATGACGAGGGGAAAATGGACGAGTGATTAACGCACAATTAATTACTCCCTCCATCCCCTAATATAGTAAACTAGATAGGATTCCAGATAATTATCCTAGGATGGGTCTAGATTGTTATAGTCTGGACGAAGATAGTAGTAAGTAGTATTAATTATTTTAAATTCAGAAAATAAATTTATTTGATTGCTTAAGAAAACTTTGATATAAAAAGTCTCTAAAAAGAACGTACTACCGTATACTCCATCCGTTTCACAATGTAAGTCATTATAGTATTTCTCATATTCATATTGATGTTAATTAATTTAGACATATATGTCTAGATTTATTAATATTAATATGAATGTGGGAATGTTTATAATAATTGACAAGAGTTGCTCCCAAACAGCTCAAACAAAAGTAGCCTAAACCGTCCCATTCTTATAAAGTATGTACACATATCTTAACTACTTTAAAAGTACGATTGTTTCTCTTCCTCTTCTTAAAAAAAAAACTGCTCCCTTTATTTCGAATAAAAATCACTAAAATTGTGGTAAAAAAAAAGCCAGTGCAGCCATTCTCCTTGTTCCCTGAAAAACCCACTCACCATCATAAAAAACTCCCTATAGAAACCGGTAAAAAAACTACCCTTAAAAAAAATCTCATAATCCCGTTACTACTTCACCGTACCGCATCGTATGTGTAGCGTGTGGCTTGTGGCCTCTCCTCTCTTACGCCGTGTAACGGTGTAAGCTCGCTCGCTCGCTCGCTCGGGACATCGCCGGTGAAACATGGCGTCGATTGTAGAATATGCATGCACGGTGATGCTACATTCTCTACTCGCGAAAGACCACCACTCACCCATCGCCCATCGGCGCGCACACGCACACGGCACACCTGGTGCGCCCGTGCGGGCGCGGGTGAGCCGCACAGGAAAAGAGAGCAGCAGAGCGCGGCACAGTGCCTCACTGTGCCGCCTGCGCGCGGTGCGTGCGCGCGTGTCGTGCACTTGTGCTGTGCCCTGGTCAAAGCGCCGCGCCGGGGAACAGCAACGCAAGCAAAGCGAGCGAGCGCGCGGTGGTGGGCACACCAAGGAAAGGAGTAGTACGTACTGTACGCGCGCGGCGGCCGGGCCGTGCGCACGGGCGCGCACCTGGCTCTGGCTGGCTGGCTGGCTGGGGTTCTCTGCCCGCCTCACGTGGGGAGGAGTCGCGAGCATGCAGCGACGCCCTGTAGCGATGGATGGATGGCCAGGACGGCTCGTCTCTATCCGAGACCTGGGAAAGGGATGGGGTATTGGGGTGTCGTCGTCTTGTTGTGTGTGCCTTTTTTGATGCTACGCGCCACGCATCTTGCGGTGGTTTTGGGAGCCTCGGCCGGCCGGCCCTGGCGCCTGGCGGCCTGGGCTTTTGCAGGAAATGGGCGGCACCTGAGTCGTCGTCTCACCTGCCGCTGTTTTGGAGTACATTTGTGCTACTTGCACAAGAAAATTAGCCGTACTATTTTGTGCACGTGATGTGTTTGCGCGTGCCCAGTGGCTGGCGGTGAACGAACTGGTCACTTGTACAGGCCACTCAGGCGAAGTTGCAGAGTACAGTGAGCCATTCTACATCTACCTGTCTACTCTCATTGGGCCTAAAAGATATCGCAACAAGAAAGAGAGCCCACAGCAAATCACGCCTAGTGGACCTTAGGAGTTAGGAGCCCGTTCAGCCCAGAGGAGGAAGCAGATCATAACGCACCGGGGCCTTCCAAAGGTAGCGACTGGCTTTCCGTTTGTCGTTACACCATCGTCATGGGCCTTATGGCAATGGCACAGTACTGTACTCCCTCTCTCCTCTCTGTCTCTTACAAATTTAAGATTTGATTTTGCTATATCTCACTCGAAAGATTTTTTCTTATCTCTCACTCGATTTTCTCACTCAAATTTACAGTGTATTTTCTTGTAAGTTACAGTGTAATTTATAAAACTTATGCTGTAACTTTTGTAAGTTACACTGTAATTTTTGAATCTTCGCATGTAAATTTTAAATTTTGTATTGGATTTGGTCTTTTTCTTGAGGATATGGTAATTTAGTGTTCATTATGGTGTTTCTTAATTGCTTTTTGCTTTTTATTATATCTATCGGATTTTAATCCAAATATTAAAAATCTGTGTGATACGATCATAAAAATCTTTCGAAAGATGTATAGGTACTCCCTTTAAGATTTAACATGATATATTCTAATACAACGAATCTGGATATGTCAAATTCATTGTACTGTAGTACTAAATCATATTCAGTTATATATTCATTTTCTTAGAATGGAGGAAGTAGTACTACTCTGTCCCTAAAAAAATAAACTCTAGCTAAAAATCTGGGCACGCATGTGTCATCTGTCCAGATTCATAGGTATGATTTTTTTTTTGCGACAGAGGGCTACTTCTCTAGTTTTTTTTTTATGGTTGTCCTAGCCTATTCTTCTCTAGAAGATCTGCGTGATCTAAACAAGGAGTGCAAAGACAAGTGCAGGTAGACTCAGATCAGACGTCTTTGCACGCTGGTACTTGTAGCTGGATTGCTGGAAGCTTGCTCAGGGCACCCGCAATTCGACCCCTACTTGAGTGGCAACTGAGAAACCTTGATCTCAGCTTTTCTTGTTAATATTTTCCTGTACAATGCATTTTTTGTGGTGGTTAGCAGTGTAGTATTAATATAAGAGAGAAAAATCTTGGATTTGTCACCTTATTAAGGCTGTGTTTAGTTGGGGAAAAGAAATTTTTTGGGTGTCACATCAGACGTTTGACCGGATGTCGGAAGGGGTTTTTGGACACGAATGAAAAAACTAATTTCAGAACTCGCCTGGAAACCGCGAGACGAATCTTTTGAGTCTACTTAAGCCGTCATTAGCACATGTGGGTTACTGTAGCACTTATGGCTAATCATGGTCTAATTAGGCTCAAAAGATTCGTCTCGCGATTTATAGCTAAACTGTGCAATTGGTTTTTCTTTTTGTCCACATTTAATGCTCCATGCATGTGTCCAAAGATTCGATGTGATAGGTGAAGGGGAAAATTTTTGGGAACTAAACTAGCCCTAAGGTAGTACTACTAGCATTGTAAAGTGTTTTGATATTATTGAACGTGTGAAGGATGGATCTTGCTATAGTTCTGCAGCCTTTTCCCAACAGTATATGCCTGTGCTGTCCAATCATGGGAAGGGAATAATTGGGGCGGGACAAGCCGTTGGTTTTGCACGAGGCCAATCGCGTTGCTCTCCCCGCCCGTTGAAAGCTCATCACGGAGAAAACTTGCGAGTTACTCTCCTCTCGAGCTACTCGCAACTTGCAATGTTGCAACAGATTGTGCGCGCCGGCAAAGCCATCAGCCCATGCCCCATGCCCGTTACCGTGCCGTGTCACCAACAAATCAAACCGAGCGCCAGGTGATAGCCAGAGGCCGCCGACCTGGCCTGACACCGGTGGGTGGGTGTGTGACAGTGTGAGAGGAACAAGAGGAATTCGCGTGAAACATCGCCAAAAAACGCCCAAATTTCTCGTGGGATTCGTGTGAAATCCGAGCAAAACTCGCAAAAACCGGTCGACTCGTGCGTGCGTGCCCTACCCCGTGTCGGCGTGTCTCGCGGTGTCCCAATGGGACCCATCTCTGGTCGTTGCCTGTCGTCCGTCTCTGGTTACCATGCGACGCGACGCGATGCGAAGCGACGGCTCGCGTCGCGAGTCGCGCGACCCACCACCGACCCGGCCCACCGCGAGCGAGCGCATCTCCGCGCGCCACGAGGCCGCCGCTGGCAGGTGGGACCCACGTGGCCCACCACCACCACCTCCTCGTCCTCTTCCTCCACCTCCCCCCCTCTCTCTCTCTCTCTCTCCCTCTCCTCCTCCTCCTCCTCTCCTCTCTCCCGTCACGGGCGCATCTCTCTCTCTCTCTCTCTCTCTCTCTCTCTCTCCCCGCACAGCCGCGCCGCGCCGCCGTCGCCTTCTCGGGCGAGGGCGAAGAGCGAGGGCTCCTGCTCGCCGCCGCCCCTCCCCCTCGTCCGCGGCGCGCCGGAGGTCAGGTAGGAGCCCCCCCCCCCTCCGCCATCCCTCTCTCGCATACACTCTCACTCCTCCCTCCTCTTCATCATCCTCCACCACGTTGCCGGCGCGAATTGGCCCGAGCGTTTGGGATTGGGGACGTGGGAATTCCTCCCATCCCGTCCTGCTTCTCGTGGAGAGAGATTTCGCCTGCGGATGGATTCCGTACGGGCTCTCTCTCCGCGCCGCCAGATCCAGGAGGGGAGTTCGTGCCCGCGATACGCTCCAGTGGGCAATCCGGTTTCGCTTTCTGTAGGTTAGCTGGGCAGGCAATTTTCCCATGAATTGATTTCTGGGATTGGGGGGCGAGTTTCAGTCATCTTTTTCCGCGGGATAAATTGATGTTTGTTTTTGTGTTCCTACCGCAGTAAGTTAAACTATGCATCGGTAACTCGTCGAGATCCATTGATGTGCTGTAATATCGTACTTAATACTCCTGATTTGATAATAGCTATGAAGATTTTGTGTCTCCTAAAGAGCACAAAAATGTTAATATGCTTCGACTGGGACTTAGGTAGAAGATGGAGGGAGCTGGCAGAGATGGGAACCCTCTTGGCGGTTACCGGATTGGCAAAACCCTAGGGATTGGGTCATTTGGCAAAGTGAAGATCGCGGAGCATATATTGACTGGTCACAAGGTGGCAATCAAGATCCTCAATCGCCGTAAGATCAAGAGCATGGAGATGGAAGAGAAAGGTTGGTACTGATCCCTTTGACCCTTTTGTTCAAGATGTTTGTAGAATATATACGAAATGATAGATACTTGGGTAAATATTTAAGATCCATCACATGTTTCTCTAAATGACATACACTGCTGCTGATCCCCCAAAAGCACTCCCATTCCCAAAACAAGTTTCATCTTAGGTTCCTTGTTTCCAGTTAGAGGGCATACATGAGTAGGTGCAGCTGGGTTTTGCAAAAAGGTGTCAGGGAAGTAGGAGGGCATGCATGAATCGCTGGTGCTGGTGGTGGTAAATTTCAGGTGGGAAGATGACTGATGTGGAAAAAAAGGGCTCAAATCGTATCTGGGTGGTTGAGGACAGAACTGTGAGCCTCATGTTGCTCCATTTGACAAACTATGAGCAACCTTAGGTGGCACGATTGGTTGGATCAGGCATTAATATTACAATCCAAAGACGTACCCAAATTTAGCAAAAAGACATTATATCTTGTAATTTGTAGTATGCAGGAGCACATTTAGTTGAATAACGACACAATCATATTTCTAGAGTAAGACAAAAACTATTCATTCCTTTTGTGTAACAATGCCTTGTCGATCACCATTCACTTAGCAATATTCTTTGACTATGGGTCTAAAATACTGAATGATTGGTCACAGTTGACCAGCCATGATTTGCTGTGTAAAGTGAAGTCTTTGAACCATGTTATTCAGTATACAGTCTGTTGCCAAACACTTTCTATCATTGATGAATAATCGTGTCGTGTTATTCCTTTGCAGTTAAAAGAGAAATCAAGATACTTAGATTATTTATGCACCCACATATCATTCGCCTTTATGAGGTGATAGACACCCCAGCTGATATTTATGTTGTTATGGAGTATGTCAAATCTGGAGAGTTGTTTGATTACATCGTTGAGAAGGGAAGACTGCAAGAGGAAGAAGCTCGACGCTTTTTCCAGCAGGTAGGCTTTGTACCATTTTCCTGGATTGGTTTTTAAGGAATACACTCAGTAATCCCATCTCTAGTTAGGGTTTGCACAAGTTCTAAATGCAGCAAGTCACTGTCAATTTTTCATTTTCTGTTGTTGCTTCCGCATTACAGATTTGGTAATTTTTTATATGCATTGTACTGATATGCTTCAGTTAGCATCCGAGGATAATTTTCTTTTGTTTGATCTTTGAATTAGATCATATCTGGTGTTGAATATTGCCATAGAAACATGGTGGTTCATCGTGATCTTAAGCCAGAGAACCTTCTTTTGGACTCCAAATGCAATGTTAAGATTGCAGACTTTGGCTTGAGTAATGTTATGCGTGATGGTCACTTTCTGAAGACAAGTTGTGGTAGCCCAAATTATGCAGCACCTGAGGTATTTATCTTGAATGATTTGCATTATTACTCCTTCTTCATGATTGCATAATTGCTTCTATCTTTCTTTACCTTTTTCAATTCCTTTTCCATTTGACTAGGTGATATCTGGTAAACTATATGCTGGCCCTGAAGTTGATGTGTGGAGTTGTGGTGTTATTCTTTATGCTCTTCTTTGTGGTACCCTTCCATTTGATGACGAGAATATTCCCAACCTTTTTAAGAAAATAAAGGTTAGCAAAGATGTGATATATCCTACTGATAAAGGTGCTGCCTCATCTCCTTTTATATGTTAAAGTAAAACTCTGTCCGTTTTGATGTTCTAGGGTGGCATATATACCCTTCCCAGTCATTTGTCACCTTTGGCAAGGGATTTGATTCCCAGAATGCTTGTTGTTGATCCCATGAAGAGGATCACCATACGTGAAATCCGTGAACATCAGTGGTTCACAGTTGGTCTTCCGCGTTATTTAGCTGTGCCACCTCCTGACACTGCACAACAGGTTAAAAAGGTAACATGCTGCCATTATGCATCTAACTATTTAAAGCCGTATTCTGCTTTTGAAACTTTCAGTGTTTGATTTGATCAATGTGAGTTTTGTAGCTCGACGATGAAACTCTGAATGATGTTATCAATATGGGGTTTGACAAGAATCAGCTAATCGAATCACTTCACAAGAGACTGCAAAACGAGGTGTTTGCTTCACTCCATTGCTCCTCTTTGTTGTTTCTTGGGGAATGCATGACAAAGTTTCTGAATAATGTGCAGGCGACAGTTGCCTACTATTTACTATTGGACAATAGGCTGCGCACAACCAGTGGCTACCTTGGAGCTGAGTTCCATGAATCTATGGTATGTCAACTCATCTCTCTCTCTCATTTATTGCTTTCTATTGATTCCAAATTCCTGGCAAATGTGCTGTTCCCTGTAGCACTACAAAGTTTATGATAATTTGGTGCTTTGCTTTCTGTGATCCAGGAATCTTCTCTCGCTCAAGTAACTCCAGCTGAGACACCAAACTCAGCCACTGATCATCGGCAGCATGGGCATATGGAATCTCCTGGGTTTGGCTTGAGGCATCATTTCGCAGCTGACAGGAAATGGGCCCTTGGTCTTCAGGTTTTATGCTGTTACTATAAGGTTCTTATTTATTCACTTTATTTATTATAAGTTATCCTAATTCATTTGTCTGTATTTATTTAACAGTCTCGAGCACATCCACGAGAAATAATAACTGAAGTTCTTAAAGCTCTGCAAGAGCTAAATGTTTGCTGGAAGAAGATTGGACATTATAACATGAAATGCAGATGGAGTCCTAGTTTTCCCAGTCATGAGAGTATGATGCATAACAACCATGGCTTTGGTGCAGAATCTGCTATAATTGAAACTGATGACAGTGAGAAATCAACCCACACTGTGAAATTTGAAATTCAGGTATCATTTTGAACTTGACATATGATTATTAACCCTGGGATCATGTATCGGTTAGAACCTTTGAAATGTAGATCTGTGCACGATCTAGTTAAGTCTTACATAGTTACGCATGCCTTTACTCTATATGTGATGATTAAGCTGCAGAGTATTTATGAACTGTTACCATATTCATATTCCTTAAGGCTATTTATGATTGAGGAAGTCCATATACCGCATCTTTTTTTGACGTGTAAAGTGTAATGTTTGGAATATTCAATTTATGCTGATATACTTCTAATTGCTGCAGCTTTACAAAACAAGGGATGAAAAATACCTTCTTGACTTGCAAAGGGTCAGTGGACCACAGCTTCTCTTTCTGGACCTGTGCTCTGCCTTTCTAACTCAGCTGAGAGTCCTTTAATTATGCCGTTGTCTGCTTCCCAACTGAACTTCCTGCAGCATACCGTGGATTGTCACGTTTCATTTAAGATATGTACATAATGACCATAATCCTCCAGTAGATAATATTTCCTGGAGTGTGTAGACGTTAGAGGCTGCCAGTGATGTATTTTGACGGTAATTGGCCAAACCAGAGGTAACAGGCAGGAGGCAAACCTTTCTCTGTTTTTTTATTTGCCGTTGTTGTTGTTATATGACGGTTTAGACTTATCTAGAGTCCTTGAACCACTTTGCTTGTTTACGGTGATCTTTACTAGCCTGATTGCCCAGCCTGAGAATCACCTCTGTCGTTATGAAAGTTGAGCAGTTGGCATACTATTGTTGATCCTGCATTCCTTGACAGATGACCGTTGGATACATGCAGAGCTGTTATCTTTTTTTTTTTCACATCATAATTACTCAGATTGGTTACCCATTTGCTTCTGTATGTGTTGACTGGAATGTTAAATAAGAATAGTTCCCTCTTGATTATACTAGACTGTGCAACGGTTCATCTGAGATCTGTGCTACCATTCATAAATCAAGCTGGAAATCAGATCATGAAATAGTCAGGTGTTAAGTTATTGAGAAATTCGAGCATAGATCTGAGATTTTAACGAGGAATCTTAGAAGGGCAATGGAGTACAAAAATGGATATGGTCTACTAAAAAAAATTTATGCACAGTAGTCAGCGGATAGAACAGAATCATAAATTGTGAAAGACCTATTGTAATCTAATAAAAGGTTGAAATCTGTAAAGTAACACGCAAGCCTCTAATCCGATCTAAGCTATAATTTACATCTTCGCTAATTTACACACGAACTATGAATCCGCGCAAATGGTATTACTGCATCAGGTATGCAGAGTCTGCTCGGCTGAAGCAAGGTGCCCCATTTGCTCGGTGATCTGATCAACCTTCTCCCGGTGATGGAAGCCATTGCAGCCTAATTCTGCTTTTACATCGTCCTTGGGAGACTCTTGTCTTTCTGACTCATCCAAACATGACCGTGGAGTCTCTGTGAGGAACCGCTCCCAAAACACATCGTTGGTCGGTCCATGCGAAGCTTCAGTTTCTGACGTGCCATCTTGTGAAGTATCAGTGGAGGAGGCAATCTCAGAATTTACATCAGCTTGTGTTGGGTATCTTGTCACATGGATATCTTCACGAATCTCTGCCATTGGCAGCTCTGGACTCTGCACAAAACCTGGAGACTCTGTGAGTTCAGTGGATAAATGGAGATGGGCATTCCCTGTGTTGGGTGAGCTGGGATGGAGGCTAGCTGGTAACTGAAGATCGATGCCTGTCTCCATTGGAGCAGTGTTCATCTCTTCAGGACATATAGCAGTGCTGGGTTCAGTACCACCATGACCATGGGAGTACATTTCTTCAGCAGCTGTGCAAGCATCATTTGCTCTCTGGAAGAGTTTCTCCAGGGAGACCAGGCTCAGCTCAACCCTGTCAAAAGCCTCACCATTGGTCACAGGAAGCACGGGAGGCATGGCCGGTGCATCCGTCCCAATTCCCTGGAACTGGAACACCTTCTGTTCTTCGCCCGCCGCGCAATCGTCGACGAAGAGATCCATCTTCGGGACCCTCCTCTTCTTGCTGAAATGGTCGGACTCCAGCAGCGAGCTCGACACGGCGCCACCGCGTCTCTGCAGCATCTCGCACAGGGAGGCCACGATGTTCTTCTGCCGTTGCTCCATCGCCACTAGCCTGCCTTCCATCGCCTGCATCTGCCAGTTGATCACGTACTGCTGCTGGTTCTGCCTCTGGAGGTCCGCGACGAGGATGCTCTTCTCGTACTTGAGCCGGTTGATCTCTTCTTCGAGCTCGCGCCTCTCCGATTCGGCGAGTGGTCCGTTTATCTGGTTCTGGAGGGAGTGGCTGTGCACGGGCTTGCGTCGATGGATGTTCTTCAGAAGGTGCGTGTGCCCTCTTATGAAATCCTCGTTTGCGAACTCCCATCTCTCAGGATCGATTTTTCGGAAACCCTGAAAGGAAGATGCCAATTGAAGTCAAAATTCAGCTACGGTCAAACCAACCAAGAATAAAGAACTATTTTACAGAAAATCAAATAGGCTATATAAAACCGGCTGCTGTGTCAATGGTAAAATCATCCAAACAAACCAAGAACAAGGAACTACTAATTTACAAGCAAACAGTAGCACATGATTGTTGCAATGTTTGTTTCGTTTCAAGAAGCAAAGGGGATTGTGTTTGTGACTCACGTAGGTGTTGAGCTGCCTGATGAAGCTGGAGAAGTTGTTGTGCTTGAAGTACTTGGGCAACAGGTCACGGGAGAAGTCGAGCGGGTTCCACACGACGAAGCTGGCGCCGCCGGGGCCCCACGACACGACGTGGTTGGTCGCCGCGTCCTCCACCATCTCGTACGTCTTGATCAAGAACGGCGGCGGCCCACCGCCGCCGCCTCCGCCGCCGCCGCCGCCCAGGTTGGAACTCTCCATGTCAACCGCGCCTCTCAATTCTCAAACCAGCAGCTGCTCTGCACGATGCAAGAACGGAGCCCGGTCTTAACGCGCGCAGCTTCGCTCTCCCACGAACAAGTCTTAACCACCTGAATGGACTCGGCGCCAAATCCAACTCGCCACGGGCCAAAATTTTTCACATTGAACCGCGGCGCAAATTCTCACCGAGTCGCCAAAAGACAGCGACTTTCCGATCGAACGCCAACTAGTTCTGCAAAAAGAAATGACCAGAGCATCACATACAAGCACGTGTATACACAAAGGCGCCGCCTGAACAGTTCAAGCAACCATAGCCGTCGAAGCAAAGAATGCAAAGAAATTAAGAAAAAGAAAGCCCAGTGTATGTTTTTTCATTATCTCCTGATACAATCTTGCCTGCCATGCCAAGGCGCGCCGGCACGATCGAATCAACCAGACAACCACGCGAAAACTCACAACCTTTCTCAATTCTCACCTGATCAGCCACGGCCACGGAGACGGCAGCAGCTCGCCCGACGACGCGCGCCCTGCACGAGCGGGAGACGCGAGAGGAGGCGGCGCGGCGGAGAAGGCGGTGGTGGTGGCAACGGGTGCAGGGCGTGCAGCCGTGCTAGTGCAGTGGCGCGCGCGCGTCGGCGATAATATAGAGGAGAGAACGGGAGGCGTGCGCTGCGCGCCAGCGCGAGCGAGCGTGCGGATTTCTCCTCTCTCCGGGGCGTTTGGTCGCTGCGTGAGACGGTTGACTGACCGGGGAACGAACGAGAGAGAGAGAGAGAGAGAGAGAGAGCGCAATCAGGAGCGCGAGGGCTTCTAGAAATGGACCGGCAGCGCAGCGCGCGGTTCGCTCGGCGCGGCCGCCCGGCGCGACAGTGGTACACCGGTGGTGGTCCGGTCCGACCGGAATCGATCGTCGCTGGTGTGCCTGGCTGGCAGGCTGGCATCAGACCGGTACTGGTAGTATTTGATTCAACCATTCAAATACCGCAACAGGATTTCGGGATACTGTGCGTGTTTTCCTGCATGCTTTTTCCATGGCCATAGTTAACTCATAGTAGTACTAAGTAATTAATAACGTTAGTACCTGGTACCTATCAAAAGCTACTACTACCTTCGTCCCAAAATAAGTGCAGCCATGAGTTTCAGCACCCAATTTTGATCGTCCGTCTTATTTAATTTTTTTTTATAATTAGCAATTTTGTTGTTATAAGATGATAAAACATGAATACTACTTTACTTGTGACTTATGTTTTTAATTTTTTTCAAATAAGATGAGTGGTCAAAGTTGGGCATGGAAAACTATAGCTGCACTTATTTTGGGACGGAGGGAGTAGTACTCCATTTATCCCATAATATAAGGGATCTTGAGTTTTTATTTGCACTGTTTGACCAATCGTCTTATTAAAAAAATTTAAAATTATTATTTATCTTTTTTGACTTACTTTATTATCTAAAGTACTTTAAGCACAACTTTTCGTTTTTTATATTTGCACAAATTCTTTGAATAAGACGAGTGGTCAAACAGTACAAGCAAAAACTCAAAATCACTTATATTATGGGACGAAGTACTAGTTTTTCTGTCCTAAGATATAATAAATTTTAAAGAAGGTCCAACGAATATTATTGATGAGCGCCGAATTTAAAAAAATACCATCGACAAGAGCAAGTTTCATGAAATACTATTATACATGTGACTTTGTCCTAAAAATACTGTCATCGTTATGGTTGCTAAGGAGGGTTCTGTTAGCAACCCCTCCGTTAAGTGGTATAGGATGGAAACTTTATTTAACATCACGGAATAAGGTGAATCCTAACGATAATAGCATTTCTGGGATAAAGTCGTTTATACGAGAGTATTTTTGGAACTCGCACTCATCAATGACATTTCTTAAGGTTGGACGTTTGTCAAGATATTTTTTAGATTTTCTCTAAATTTTACTTATGAATATTGATAAATGGGGTAGTAGCTTGTACTACTAGGTTTTGTTCGTCTATTACTTTTCCCAACTCATCTCTCTCGTTTTTCCGCATGCACGTTTTTCAAACTACTAAACGGTTTATTTTTTTTAAAAAATACGAAAGTTGCTTTAAAAAATCATATTAATCTATTTATAAAAAAGATAATACTTAATTAATCATGTGCTAATGAGTCGCTCCGTTTTACGTACGCCGAACATTAGGTCCCAACTACTCCCTCCGTCACACAAAAAATCCATTCTTAGCATCCGAAGGTGGAATTAATAGATAGTGAGAATGACTAAAATATCCTTAATCATTGAAAAAAGTAATAAGAGTGATAGGTAGGTAAAAGGGTATTGCAGGAATAAAACTTCTCGTTTTATGTGTTGATGGTAGGTAAGATGGTAGTGTTGATGAAAAAATCGAACACACCGGCCTGGGAGATCTGCTTAACTCCAGTGCAGGTCCAAAGGTTGGTGAGATGCGGGCGTGCCAGTCAGTTTGATCCTGCAACTGACAAAATATGCAAATAATAGATAAAACAGCCGATCGGCTGACAAGCTGATGGAGTAGTTCCAGCCGATAGCCGATAATAGCCGATGCCGATAACAGCGGATAGCGATAGGGTTTAAACAATCGGCTATATGTCCAATGTAGATAATGATATAAAGGCAATCGGCTGATGATGATGTAATATAGAAATATAATCTAGTAGAAACCAATCGGCTAGCATTGATATGATAGAATTAGCATTAATCCGAAGGTTAAAGCATACATCGGCTGGAGGTCCGATGTCATGAAATCCACAAGATTAGATTAAACAGTGAAACCTTTGTTGTCATCGGCTAAATCCAATTTATATGTATGTGCAATCCTTATGAGCCGATGCAACGTCCAGATAACTCACCGGCTGAAACCCCGATAAAACCCTAATTGGCAATCAAGAAGCAGGCTAGAGATTATGGTTCTAAGCACGACTTAGTAGATCAAACTTAACTAATGCAGCACTAAGTATGAAAAGAAACATGATATCTAGACAATCAAGCTATTGACTGAGTTTTCAGGGTGGTAGATGTCTAAGATAATCTAATCTAGCAACACGATTTAGCCGATACCGGCAGAAACCCTAAAACGAGAAGCAGCCGATAGAGCTAAATTGATATGCTAAAACTAGATTAACAGAGACATATGATAAATAGGTAGGCAAATATATCATCCAAACTAGAGCAATGCAAGAGGTCGAATGTACTGATGCAGCCTTGAACAACGCCGACGTAAACGATACAATTGCCTGGCCGGCGGAACATTGGACTTACCCCTTAGCCGGAGATCGAACACCGATGCAGCCCCGTGTCAGGTGCCAAGTTCCGCCGGACGATAAAATAAAGTAGAAAAGGTAAAAGGTGGCGATGCGCTGAATTGTATTGATCATGAAGATAGATTACATAGACCCCGGGTGTACATATTTATACCCATGGGTTGATACAAGTCCTTGTTAGACAAGAAAGAAACTTTTCTAAAGATAAAAGGAAAAGATAAAGTTCTTATAGAACACTAAACACACTTTCCTAAAGATAAAAAGAAACTAACAAACTATTCCTAATTAATAGATAACTTTCCATGCCGCATTCTCTTTGAACTCGGTCTCTTCTGTATAAGCTTCCTTTAGTAGATCAATTTCCTTAACTGAATATAGAAAGAATCCGACAACTGACGACTTGATAACTCTCATCGGCTAATCTCAGGACTTCGAAACCGATGTTTACTCTAAGCCGATGACTACTCTGAGCTTATGTTGTTTTTTAGACAAAATTCAAATTCTGGAAGTTGATTTTTTTTTTTTTGCACGAAGGGAGTGCATACTACATACGAACTCAGCCTAGCAGTACTACGATGCACTTGACACCGTGTCTTGCTCTTGTATCTCCACCATTTCCACACGGGAAAAAAACTACTACTCCAGCCGTTTCAAGTTATAAGGCTTTTTATCTTGGTTAAAGTTAAACTTTTTCAAGTTTAACTATGTTTATAAAAAAATATAGTAATATTTATAATACTAAATTAGTTCCATCAAATCAATAATTGAATATATTTTCATAATAAATTTGTCTTGGACTGAAAATGTTACTACTTTTTTTTATAAACTTGATCAAACTTAAAGCGGTTTGATATTGACCAAAGTCAAGACGTCTTATAACCTGAAATGGATGGAGTATTTCACAAATCTTATTATTTCATACTGCTTCTAAAAACCAACAGCAGTGCACAGCTAGGCAGACTGGCAATTAGCATGTGCCTCTTCGGCTCATCCTTCTTTTTTTTCCCCCATAGAGAAGATATGAAACTACTGACCGCTGAATAATGTCAGTGTTCATGGATTGGAAAAATAACTTTCCCCCTAGCATGCAAGTAGGCTGATTATGCCCTCCCTGCAACCTGGAAGGAGCCTGGGGTACAACATTTCTCTGGACACCCCGGTGTGATAGTTGTATTCATAGAGACCAATTTGCAAAACACATAAGTACAGCCAAACCCTCAGCCAGGAATCTTTGAACACCCCTGCACACCCGGAGAAGAGGAGAAGCAGCCCCGAAGCTAACCACGAAGTAATGATCCACCAGATGCCATCTTTGTGTCGCATCGATGGACAAGAAAACATCTAACAAACCTGTCACCCACTGTACATACATCATTTGAATTACTGTAGTTGATCACCATCAAACATTCAGGAGCCAGCCAAAAACGCCATCCTGTTCTGCATTCTGCATGCATGACTGATGAGAAACCAGGTCATCAGTCTCCGCACCTCCACAGTACCGCGTGTGAACTCGGCGACCGTTCCAATGCCAGATTTTTCACCTCATCCCGGTGGAAATTTCATCGCGTGAATTCAGCATGTGGTTGGCTGGCGGCAACGCAAGGCGTCTATATATGCCGGGAACGACAGCGATGTCTGGAAGCTTCCACTCTCTTTGGTGTCATGGTGTGCGTTACTACCTTACCTGCGCTTTGCCCCCAAGAGAACTAGGCCATATTTAAGTTCCTAAAAACTTTTCGCAAAAATATCACATCGAATTTATATATATATATATATATATAAAATATTAAATATAAATAAAAGAAATTAATTGCACAATTTGCATGTAAATCATGAGACGAATCTTTTGAGCCTGATTAGTCCATGATTAGTCATAAGTGCTACCGTAACCCACATGTGCTAATGACAGCTTAATTAAGCTCAAAAGATTCGTTTTGCGGTTTACAAGCGAGTTATGAAGTTAGTTTTTTATTCGTGTCCAAAAACACCTTTCAACTTTTAGTCAAACGTCCGATGTGACACCTAAAAATTTTTATTTCACCAACTAACAAGCACTAATTAAACACTGCAACTTTTACTATGTTACACACAGGAGGCGCCTGTACAATTAATACTATAACATGCAGCAGATGCATTTCAAGGCAACTGAAAAGTACTTGGTTAATTAACTATCCTCAGCTTCAGGTTTCTGAAGATTGATTACTATCTGATCCTATCATTGCTCGGTGTTCTAGATGAACAACGACTTTTTGATGCAAGTCTCAGTGATGATTTCAGCTGAGTTAGCTTGCCCTGATCTTCTAGATTGTACAGCCGAGGATCAGTACAGACACATGGTCTGAACTATGACAAAAAATGTGATGAACTTTTGTTGGGATTGTAACATGTGACAGTCGTATTAATATACAGTATCTGCTTCTAGAACGAGGCATGCGGCAAGACAAACGTACCGTCCGGATTCAGGTGATTCTGTTATTGACAATTTAACAAACCTCAATCTAATTATTATGACAAGATATTGGTCATCGTTTTCTCAGAAAAGCATCTCCCTGGTAATTAATTCTTTTAGTGACTAGAGTCTCATCGGTTATCCAAATTTACTAATAAATCAATTAATTTATAGGTAAAAATATTATATATTTATTCGTAGAGACTTAAAAGCTAACGCTAATAAGATATTATATTGAAAATATCTTAAAATTAATTTTAAAATTAAATTCGAAAATTTAAATTTTGGTTTTTCTTTGATTCAATGGAGCTCCTAGTTAACAGTTACTAATACGGAGTAAAATTTGACAGATTTCAACGAAGAAATTTGTCGAAGTTTTTCGAACATCGGACTCAGAACTTAATTACTCTTCTGACTGCCTCTTGTTAGGGTACCGGATATGATCGACGACTGTGCAGGTTTATGCCTTGGTTAACAAGAAAGATGTGAGAACAATTTTCTAAGGTTGGAAAATATGTGCACGTCACAAATCCTCCAGGATTATTGTTCAACCCAAGAATCTTAGAATCGTTACTTCAAGTGAAACAAATATACTGTACTTATCTGCAGTCTGCAGAGACTTTTATTTCCTGTAATATTTGTGTTGAATCTCATGGCCTTATTAATGATTTTTTTTCTTTCCTAAAACGTCTGGAGGGACATGAATCATGCTGTAGTTATCCTTTTTTCCTTCTCAATAATTCAAAATTCCATTCAGGGACACAAAATACTGTCGGCAATGGTGGTCTGCGGGGGGAAAAAAAAGCCTTTTTTTCAGGTCAGATTCTATCTAAATGTATTCTTTTTTTTTTTTGCATAATCTATCTAAATGTATTTGATTTGAATACAATAAGGAACTTTTAAATACTGGTTTATTCTTGTATCTTTAGGAAATACCGATTGACTTCATTGACTGCATAGTAACCGAAGTGAAATATCTTTCTTTTTTTTAAAAAAAAAGTCAACCCAAGAATCAAAATTTTAAAAAATCACTAAAGACTCCTTTGGAACAAGGAAGTTTGGAGCATTTGATGAAATAATCCGTTATAACATAGTATCTCAAATTTCAAATCATAAGCTTTTGAGATTGTTCATTTCAGTTGGTTGTCGCAGCTACACAATTTACGGCTTGTTCGTAGTAGTAAAAGCTTTCTCCCGCAGTAGCTGATGGTGCGATGACTACGGCTTTTTGGAGCTGTAGTCGAGCGGCTGTGCCATGCCGCTGCAGCCTAAAAAATCACCGTAACATGCCCTTTGTAAAGTTGTAGGCCCTGTTTGATACAGCTCCAACCTATAAATTTAACTCTAGAAGTTAAGTGTGAAGTGGAGTTGTGGAGCTGCCTAAACCCAACTCTACAACTCTAGTATATTTTGTGAAAGAGCTCCACCCAACTCCACTCCTAATTTTAATGGAGCTGAAACTGTTTGGCTGAGCTCTAGCTCCAGGAGGGGTGGAGCTCGAGCTGAAGCTGTGACAAATAGTCCCGTACTCTCAAAACAACACTTCAACACGAGCTGCGCAGTGCACCTGAAAATCTGACGGCCCCAACCAACGAACGCCCGTGAGTTAGGGCCTGTTTGGGGAGCTTTAGATTCTTACAAGCAGTTGTTTGGTAGCCAGCTTCTGAGAATCTGGAAAAGTTCTGAAATCCAGCTTCTCCAGCTTTTGGCTTCTTAGTTCATTTTTGAGAACTACAGATTCTCAAAAGCTGTGAACTATTTAAGACAACTTTTAGCAGAAGCAGTTTTTCTGCAGCTGGGACAAGCTCCCCAAATAGGGCCTTAGACCTAACCCGCCCCGTTCCGTTTCGCCGCGGAAACTGAACGGACCACGTGGCCCCCCTCACCGTCACGCAACGCGAATACGCTATCACGAACGGCATCCAGCCACCTGTCCACGTCGCCTCCGTTCCGCAATCCGTCCCCACCACCGCGGCAGCCGCTGCCACCGCCGGTCTCCCTCCTCCTCCACCACCACTCCATCCCCCGCTTCGCTTCGCCTCCACAAAAAAAAATCTCTTCCGCTTCTCGATTCCTCGCCGCCGCCGCTCCAAGCCCTAGCGGCGGCGCGGCGTGGAACCATGGAGATCTCCTTCGACGCGTGGGTCGGGGTGCAGCGGCACGGGCAGGACCTCGCGGACCGCCTCGCGCAGGGCTTCTCGGGCCTCCTCCTCCACGCGCACCCGCCGCAGCTCCACTGGTCCGCCCCCGCGCTGCCGGCCAAGCTGATACCCTTCGAGATCGACCTCCCCGTCGTCCCCTTCGTCGTCGGAGGGAGGCGGGCCGGGGGCGGGAGGGGCGCCGCCGACCTCCCCGCCGCGGCCGTCGCGTCGTTCGTCGAGATCGGCGGGCGGCTCGGCCAGGCGGGGTCCGAGCTCGGGGCGTGCGTCGGGGGCGCCGTGCAGCAGCTGGCGCGGCAGATCCTTGTCCCGTTCCTGGCGGAGAGCGCGCGGGGCCGGAAGTGGGAGGCGATTCCGCCGCAGCCTGCTGCTGCGGCGGCGGCGGCGGCGACGGTGAATGAGGGGGAGGTGGCTCTCGCGGTGGAGAGAGCTGAGGATAAGGGGCTCGCATCGGAGAGGGTCGGAGACAGAGGGCCTCTCGAGGTAGCTGCTGCAGCGGCCGCGGCAGCCACTGGAAGTGCCACTGCGACTAGCGTTGGTGGTGCGGAAGGTGGTTTGGATGAGGAAGATGATGGGTTCGGATGCGATATTGGGACTATTGGTAACTTCAAGAAGGCTAAGGTACACATTACCGATTTGCTGATCAAATGTTGCGTCGTAATTACCACTTACCTGTTACACAATTCTGCAACTGTAATTGGAAGCAAGTTCAATCGGATACTCAGAATGTGCTTAGGAGTGACATTTGTATAGGTTCTAGGTTTATTTGGGGTGTAAAACTGTGTATCTTGTCTGAATGCTGAGGTAGTGAGATTTTAGAGGGCTTTGGTGCTTGGAACTCATTGATTTAATATGCTTGGAATCTTCTTTTGCATGCTCATAGAAAGATTCTGTCCATATGCTTCTAGAATAGCCATGCATATAGTTCAAAAATTATTTTTCTAATATCAGAATTTAAGTATAAGCATACAGGATCGGTACTAAATGTAAAGGTTCAAATTTTGTAGTGGCTGGTGCATACATTTGGTTAAATCTAATGATAGCTGGAGTGCAGTGTGAATTCCATTTGCTGAAGTACATATTATTATGCTGAACATGATGCAGGGAACCATAAATATCTCAGCAACATACGAGACCAGGCACCATGACTTTGAGACTTCAGTTGTTGCACGTGGGGACCTTTGGAGGTTGGAGTCGTCGCGTGGTGGTTCAAATTCTGGCGATGAAAATGCTCCGCTTTTCCTTGTTCAGCTGGGACCTTTATTATTTGTTCGTGACTCTACACTTCTTTTGCCTATTCATCTGTCAAAGCAGCACCTTCTTTGGTATGGCTATGATCGCAAGGTACTTTTCTTCCCAGCTACCCAGGTCTTGATCTGAAATCTTACATGCCATAAACTTTTTGCATCATAGTGTTTTAGAATCTCAATGATATAATTATGGTGCAAATAATGCCTATCAACGTGCATTGGCTTGTATTTTGTTGCATACCCATACTAATAGTCTAAAACTTGTGTGTTTATTTTAGAACAAAATGCACTCCTTATGTCCAGCTATCTGGTCAAAACATAGAAGATGGATGGTGATGTCAATGATGTGCCTCAATCCTGTAACCTGTGTAAGTATGCATGTTCCTTCTTTGTCTTTTTCTTTCCTCAATTCCCCCTGTTTCCTAGTTGCTATCAGGTATCAGTTATTTTTATACTTCAGTATGATGGACTGGTTTTGCAAATCATCACTTTTCATGCTACGGGCATGCAAATCCAGTAACAATGTTTAACATACTTTACTGTTACATTTTGTCACGTGTATTCGTGCTATCAAATGATACATGTACTTATCGTGTTCTTTGTAGAAAGTTTCCTATATTGATGATTACTTTCTGATGCAATTGGCTGTGCAGTGACTTGATTTGGACTCGGATGTAGAATCTTGTATAACAAGAATATCAAACCTACTCATAACTTTTTGCAACAGTCTCATTTCTACCCTCATTGTTAACTTGGCTATTTGTTTCAGTCTTTCATGGATGTGCAGTTCCCAAATGGACAGCTAACATACGTTGCTGGAGAAGGGATAACAGCAAGTGGATTTTTCCCATTCTTTGGTGGTTTGCTTCAAGCTCATGGAAAATGTCCTGGGGAAACAAGATTAAGCTTCTCCTTCAAGGTTAGTGTCTGCATAATAAGCCAACTGTAGCTCCACTTCATCCTTCCAAGACCTGTTCCTAATTATTTCACCTGCCATGCTTATTTCCTGTTGCTTTGCTTTTGAAGAGCAAACAAGGCACAAGGTTCACCCCTATGTTTCAATGGCCTGACAATTCTCTTTCATTTGGAGTTGCACAAGCCTTAGCGTGGAAAAGATCTGGCCTTATGGTGAGGCCCAGCATTCAAGTCAGGTAGTTAGATATAAACACTTCTGCAACTCAAAGCCACGTTAGTCAGGCCCAGCACAAGGTTACTCGACTATATTTTTTTGGGTCCCACATTTATTTTCCACTTCTGATTTCCTTGATGGAACTACATGCATCAGTGTTTGCCCCACATTTGGAGGAAGCGATCCTGGGATACGGGCAGAGTTTGTCCATTCATTGAAGGAGGAACTCAATGTAATGTGTGGTTTCTCTTGTGCCAGACATCCCTCGGCCTTCACAGCTGTTTCTGTAAGCTCTCCAGATCATGTTACGCTTCTGTTTATAATCAAGCACACGCTTTACTTTACTGCTAACTGATGTCCTTGTGTGTTGCTATGCATCCGCAGCTCGGGCGATCCAAGTGGAATGGACAAGTCGGCAGTTCAGGACTAGTAATCACCTTGGAAACACCGCTGGACAACTTGGCTAGACCATCTTTATCTGTTCAATTGAATGGAGGTTTTGAGTTATGACGTCTATTCCTGTAAGCTGTACATATCGCTGTATATATTGCACGGTGTCCATACTTTCATGTTTCTGGAGAGAGCTGCCAACCTATAAATTGTATTATGTGGACGTTGGTTGAATCTCCTTTTAGTGCCCCTTATTATAGGTTTTAGCCCAGCACCAAAGTCGCAATTCAATAGGTAAGGAAGTAAGTAGCTGGAGCTGTTGCAGGTGCGAATATGTTGCGTCCATTTTGTCGTCATCGCTTGTAAGTAGAATGTATGTATTGCTGTAGCACACCATAATATGGGTTCCTGTTGCCATTGTTGGTCAATGGTCTGGTCGACATTGTAGCCCTCGTTGTCACACTGTTTTCTGCGAGGGAAATGATTTTGTACTTTTGTCCTCTGGAGTTTGAACTGTACTTTTGTCAAGTTACCCTTATGTAACCAAAATGCCCTTGACAAATGCTTACATAGTGTTTGTTTGACTCTTTAGCGCGCTGATTTTACTTATATGCAATAAACTAACAATTGCAAGTATCACATTTTTCAAAGAAAGTTATGATTCGGGAAAAAAAAATGCTTGATTAATACTGTTGGTCTAAAAAATAATCCACCATATTTGTGAGTTCTAAAATCCTCTTGCAAATTTAATACTCTAGTTCTTTCTCCGTGGAACAAGGAGTTTACATAGGAAATTCGTAGGATTGAAATCCGAATTTTTCATATCAATCTCTTAGGTTTGGAAGATTAGGCTAGAAAATCATTAAAGGAATCCTTCCTTTCGTTCACTTTTTAGAGGATTTCAATCATAAACTTATTAACCTCATAGTTTCATTATCTTTGAGAAGTCCAATGTACCATCTTTCTTTATCTCTCCTCTGAACTTATAAACCTCTTAAGAATTTTCTATGGAGTATCCAAACGGCTTATTTGACAAGTTCTTGTATTTTCCATTCCTGTAAACTTGCCTATTATATGGTACACCCACATTTCAAAAAAAAAAAACTGATTTTGGGACAGAGGATGTATGCAAGTTGTAGATATCTAAACTACTCCCTTCGTTAAAAAAACAAAACTAGATGGAAATACAACAGTACCAAATACAACAAATTTGGACGGTCAACTGTTTATATTCGTTGTACTAGATTGTGTTACATCCCCACATTGGGTTTTTTTGGACGGAGCGAGAATGTTAGGCCTTGTTTAGTTGGGGAAATTTTTTGGGTTTGGTTGTCACATCGGATATACAGACACACATTTAAAGTATTAAACGTAGTCTAATAACAAACCAAATTACAGATTCCGCCAAAAAACTGCGAGACGAATTTATTAAGCCTAATCCGTCATTAGCAAATGTTTACTGTAGCACAACATTATCAAATCATGGCGCAATTAGGCTTAAAAGATTCATCTCGCAATTTACACAAACTGTTTAATTGGTTTTTTTCTTGTACACATTTAATACTCCATACATGTGTCCAAACATTCGATGTGATGGGTGAAAAGTTTTTGTTTTGGGAACTAAACAAGGCCTTAGGGCCTGCTTAGTTTGCAAAAAAAAAAAAAAAATTGGTTGTCACATCAGATGTTTGACAGGATGTCAGAAGGGGTTTTTGGACACGAATGAAAAAACTAATTTCATAACTCGCCTGGAAACCGCGAGACGAATCTTTTGAGCCTAATTAATCCGTCATTAGCACATGTGGATTACTGTAGCACTTATGGCTAATCGTGTAGTACTAATTAGGCTTAAAAGATTCGTCTCGCGATTTCCTCCATAACTGTGCAATTATTTTTTAAATCTATATTTAATGCTCTATGCATGTGTCCAAAGATTCAATGTGATGTTTTTGAGAAAAAAATTTGGGAAACTAAACTAGGCCTTAGTATTCCTTTTCATTTGGAACAGTGGCAACTACCAAGTTGTCCTTCTAGTCAAAACGGTTTAATTGTGTTGTTTTGTGAAACTTCAAGACTATAATATCTGGTTGTATATCAAGTTATCAACCAATGTGGACCTTGACGTTTAGTTTCCTTAAACTGGATGTTTATTTACTGCAAAAGAAATCATTTACATCAGCCTTACAACGTAGACCCTGTTTAGTTCCCCAAAAACTTTTTAAAAAATATCACATCGAATCTTTGGACGCATGTATGGAGCATTAAACCGTTTGCACTGTTTGCATGTAAATCGCGAGACGAATCTTTTGAGACTAATTAGTCCATAATTAGCCATAAGTGCTACAGTAACCCACATGTGCTAATGATGGTTTAATTAGGCTTAAAAGATTTGTCTCGCGGTTTCCAGACGAGTTATGATATTAGTTTTTTTATTTGTGTCGGAAAACCCCTTCCAACATTCGGTTAAACGTCCTATCTGACACCCAAAAATTTTCTTATCAACAACTGGGTGTGTTTAGTTCACGCAAAAATTAAAAATTTGGTTGAAATTAGAACGATGCGATGAAACAGTTGAAAGTTTATGTGTGTAGGAAAGTTTTGATGTGATGGAAAAGTTGAAAGTTTGGAAATAAATAAGGCCTAACGGCCCGTAGCAAAACAAGGCAGCACATGCAGCAAAGTATGCAGCTGGCCGAAACATCACAAGAGAAGATTACGTGTATGGAACAGAACACCATTTCCCTCAACAACAAAAAAGAAAAAGAAAAACAGGAGTGCACCAAAACACCTGAAAGAATGCAACTGACATGACAGGGGAACAAAACAACGACCCTCAACCCTGAACCTGAACCCCGGTGTTTTTCCTTTTTTTTTTTTTTGGCGATGAAGTGAGTGCACCATGATTGCATTGCGCAGTGCACAAACGGCATATTATTTCCAGCCAGTTCATCCACAGATTGTGCCGGATCCATCTTCATTTGAAAAAGGACCATTTTATGCTCTAATTCGATCTAAAGTGAAAAGGTTAATTGCAAGCAGAGGAATCAAGAAACGGCAACAGAGTTCTCCTACAATGGTGTCCATGTCAGAAAGTCCAGAACCAGAAGAAGCTAGTGCCCAACACCAGGAGTCGGCACTGGTCGCATTAACCGCTCGGCTCTGCCGCCGCTCGCCGAGAATCCCCTCGGCCTCGGCGGCGGCGGCGGCGCCAGACGGCTACCCTGAGCTCCAAGCCGCCCTCGAAGTGCATCACCTCATCACCGCCTCGCTCCTCCGCCGCCAGCATAAGCTTCCGCCCTTCGCACCGCGAGCAGCGGAGCAGGAGCACGACGAGGAACGCGGCGAGGCACGCCTCCGCGAACCTAGTGACACCGTAGCCGCCCATGGTTTGGATGGTCGAGCTGCTTGATGCTACTCTGCTCAGTGAGTGACAGAGTGAGCGAGTGAGTGAAGCTGCTTGCTCGAGTTAGCTAACGAAGACGAGAGGGTTTCTATTGCTCTATTTATAGCGATCGGCAAGACGATTGATTCCTCGTGGCCGGCTTAGAGCTCTTCATGCAAACTACAGACAAGAACAGCATAGTGGAAATGTATACGTGCGACGGCATAAATACTTGATTACTCAGTGATTTAGTCATAGATTGTTCTCAAGAAACCGGCTGACTAATCCGTTGTTTAGACAAGAAACCGGGGCTGTTTTTAGCTTTACAGTACCTGCTTAATTTGTTATGTCAAGCGTCTCGAGAAAAGAACATTTGGCAGCATAAAGCATGTTTCACTGCAAATTTCGTTTCTTCTATCTTCTTATTCCATCTCCTTCCGCAACCGTCGGCCGATGCGGTGGCGATGGCGCGGACGCAGGGGAGTGCGCGCGGCCTGGTGCAGGCGCGGTGGCGCGGCCATGCGGTTGTGGCCTCAACGGCCGGCGGGTGGTAGCCAGGACGGCGCGACCCTCGCGGCCATGGCGCGGCCGGTGGCCGATGCGAGTACGGTCGTGGCTGGGGCCGGCGTCGTGCGTAGCGGCTGGTGGTGTAACTCCATCAACCGGCGTTCACCGGCGACTCCCAGTCGGCAGCGACGGAATCCAACAAAAACAACAAAAACGGAATCGGGAGGATGCGAGGAATTCTTTTTCGCAATTCAATGTCCAAGATGCAAAAGGATTCAAGAGATTTCTCTACCTTCTTCTTTTTCGGTCTCCGTTAGAACATCGTGCTGATAACGTATTATGTAACTCCTTTGCTACATCCGTAGTCTAGAGGGGTTGCATAATGTAAAGTGAAGATACAAGATATAAGGGTGTGGCTTATTCTCATTTATTCTTCTAGCACCAAATGTACAATATGAGCATCCATCTCCTTCTTATACAGCCTTCCTTCATATATGGAAGGTTTGGAATGGACCCAATTAGTGTATATGGGCTGGGTCTTCATAGGCCCAAGCCCATAGGTTTCCTAATAGTTTTGTGAAACTTCAAGACAATAATGATCCCTCCGTTTCTAAATGTTTGACACCGTTGACTTTTTAGTATATGTTTGATCGTTCGTCTTATTCAAAAAAAATTGTGAAATATATAAAACTATATGTATACATAAAAGTATATTTAACAATGATTCAAATGATAGGAAAATCATTAATAATTACTTATTTTTTTTAATAAGATGAATGGTTAAACATGTTTAAAAAATTTAACGGCGTCAAATATTTAGAAACGGAGAGGTAGCTGGTTATATATCAACCAATGTGGACCTTGACGTTTAGTTTCCTTAAACTGGATGTTTATTTACTGCAAAAGAAATCATTTGCATCAGCATTACAATGTAGCAAAACAAGGCTTTCATTTGCCGAAACATCACAAGAGAAGATTACGTGTATGGAACAGAACACCATTTCCCTCACCAACAAAAAAGAAAAAGAAAAACAGGAGTGCACCAAAACACCTGAAAGAATGCAACTGACATGACAGGGGAACAAAACAACGACCCTGAACCTGAACCCCGGTGTTTTTCCTTTTTATTTTGGCGATGAAGTGAGTGCACTACGGTTGCATTGCGCAGTGCACAAACTGCATATTATTTCCAGCCAGTTCATCCACAGATTGTGCCCGATCCATCTTCATTTTTTTGAACGAATAGATCCATCTTCATTTGAAAAAGGATCATTTTATGCTCTAATTCGATCTAAAGTGAAACAAGCAGAGGAATCAAGAAACGGCACCAGAGTCCTCCTGCAATGCTGTCCATGTCAGAAAGTCCAGAACCAGAAGAAGCATATATAGCCTGTTCACTTTGATGTCATTTTCAAGCTTATCAAATTTTAGTAAAATTGCTAAAAAAGTGGCTATATTTAGTTTGCTGCTAAATTTTTGTAACTATATAAGAAATCATGCCAAAATTTTAGCTTGCCAAAATATGGTAAGGTTTTTTTTTTGACATCAAAGTGAACAGGCTTTTAGTGCCCAACACCAGGACTCGGCACTGATCGCATTAACCGCTCGGTTCTGCCGCCGCTCGCCGAGAATCCCCGCGGCCTCGGCGGAGGCAACACTGCCACGCCGCTGCCACCGCCGCGGCGGCGGCGCCAGACGGCTACCCTGAGCTCCAAGCCGCCCTCGAAGTGCATAACCTCATCACCGCCTCGCTCCTCCGCCGCCAGCATAAGCTTACGCCCTTCGCACCACGAGCAGCGGAGCAGGAGCACGACGAGGCTCGCGGCGAGGCACGCCGCCACGAACCTAGTGACACCGTAGCCGCCCATGGTTAGGATCGAGGGTGCAAGCGACTACCCGCGAAAACCCACTTATAGACTTATCTAAACTACGAAATCGTTTATTTTGATCTATAAGTGGGTTTGCGGGTGACCCACTTGCACCCCTAGTTAGGATGGTCGAGCTGCTTGCTGCTACTCTGCTCGGTGAGTGAGTGAGAGAAGCTGCTTGCTCGAGTTAGCTGACACTGCTCTATTGACTATTTATAGCGATCGGCAAGATGATTGATTCCTCGTGATCGGCTTAGAGCTCTTCATGCAAACTGCCGGCTTGAAAAGCGTATCTTTTTTTCTGAAATAGCAGTACAGGTTTTGTTCCGTTGTTCTCTTTGAAAGGACTAGCAGAAGCAGAATGTCTATATTGTATACAAGAGCGGCATAGTGGAAATGTATACGTGTGACGGCATAAATACTTGATTTCCCAGTGATTTAGTTATAGATTGTTCTCAAGAACATGTCAACCAGCTGACTAATCCGTTGTTTAGACAAGAAACCGGGGCTGTTTTTAGCTTTACAGTACCTGCTTAATTTGTTATGTCAAGCGTCTCGAGAAAAGAACATTTGGCAGCATAAAGCATGTTTCACTGCAAATTTCAAACCTCCTTGATGAAGTTGAACGAATCATAAATTAAGTATTCTACTGGCTTCTCCTAATCGAGAGGCTTTATATAGTATATTAAATTGTATAAAAATCGTAGCATGGCGCGTCATCATCCTGGCCATAGGGGCTTCTTGACCTATCAGAAATTCAGAATTAACTGTTTCAGCATCCGAATGTCGGCCTGGTAGTGGTTAGCCGCTGGTTTAGAGTCTGAAAACGAAAAGAATCAATGGCGGAAACGGTCGGTCTTCAGATGGGGGAGCTTTGGACGAACGGCTAAGAGCCAAAGGGAGGCTAAATCTGACTCGAGAACGCATTGCAGCCGGCCAGGATCTCAACATCTGGTGAAAGCTGCGTCGCGGAAAGTTTATGTTTCTTTCTGAACCATTTCTTTCTCCCATCTTCTCGCGTCGTTTCTTCATGCAGCCAATCAGGTTAGCTTGTCAAAATTGGCATATTCGTCGCTTCACCGGCTAAGAAAAACTACTACCTATAAGAGTATATCACGATTGAAAAAAAAAACTGCCCTTTCTTTTAACTGAAGAATGTCTATGAACATGCAAATATTCAGAGTTATCATGGCCGACCATGATAGTTTTGCAAAAGGGGACGGCAAAAAACTACTAGCACACAGAATGTTTGCAGAGAGGCCTTTCTGTGTTGTAGGTTAGGTCTTTAAATAATTCCGTAAACTACAAGGATGATGACATAAACTGCTCTGCGGAGAATATGCTTAGGAGATAAACACACTCAGTTATACTCGATCAAGATCCCCTGCTCGCTGCTTTCTGAAAGCATAACTCCAAACTGAAATAGAGCTCTACGTAGCAACTTTGTCAGTGGAGAATGTAGCCCATCATTTCAAGTACTGGACAGCAAATATGATACTGAACAGCAGCATGATTCTTCGGGTTTCTTTCTTTGATTAGCGAGACCCAAACCACGTCCATTATCCACAAAACCAAGTGCTCCATCGGTTTGACTACTACTATTTCCAATTTTTAATAGATGATACCATTGATTTTGAAAATATGTTTGATCATTCATCTAAAAATAATTACATAAATATTATTTATTTTATTGTGACTTACTTATCATTAAGTGTAATTTAAAAGTAATAACTTACATTCTTTTTATATTTATACAAAATATTTTATAAGACGAATGATAAAATGTATATATACAAAATATCTTCGTGAATCTCAAGATATATAGGTTAGGATGTATATATGTGTGTTATAGGTGAGTGTAACGCATGTTTATATGATCTCCTCCTCCGTTCCAAAAAAAAAAACTTAATCCTAGATTTGAACCTGAACACCCAAGTTTGGTTTTTTTTTTATGGAGAGAGTAAGCGCTTAAAAAAAAAAGGAAGTATACATCCCACGGACACCGCAGTGGCTCCAATGCTCCATCAACGCCGTCCATCCGCAACAGTCGGCTCATCCCAGCCACCGGAGAGCTGAACGGCGGAGAAGACGACCAACCCAGCCGTACGCCGTCGTCGTCGTCCTTGTCACCGTCACCCCCAGCTTGCATCCGCCCACTGTCACCGTGTCAGCGTCGCGCGCGTCGCTGCCAGCTCGTGGGCGAAAAGGCCTCGTGCCGCACAGCACAGCGCGCGATTGGACGTACGGTTTCGACGAGCAAAGTAGACGCGCGCGGCGACGGCGGAGAGGAGCGGAGCTCCCTCGCGCGACGTGGCGCAGCGCGTGGAGGAGAGGAGTCGCCCGCGTTTTCACTCCTCCGCCTTTGTAGCGTTCGCGGGGATGGGGACAGAAACGAAGGACGATACGGATCCCATCCCATGCCGCAATCGCCGTCGCCTTCGATCTTCTCAGAGGAAAGGAAGGAGGAAAGAAGGAGACGATCTCCCTGCGTGATTGGATCCAACCAAAAACATAAGACATAATATACGTCCTAGGTTGTGATTGGATCTAGTGTGCTCGCGTGTTCTTGTTCTGATTAGGGGGCGTGATGTGACTACGAATTTGATTGAGTTTTGATTATTATTAAATTTTTTTCATTTTCTTTCTTTAGATGAGTACATCAGGATCCGAGAGCGATTCGGTGGCCGCAAAGCGATCCATGAAGCCCAAGTGTACGTGCCCATTCTTGCCCCTGTCTCTTTAATTGTTCTCTGATTTTCTTTTGTTTGGTTTGGTTACATGTCTAAGATGAAATGTCGCAATGTGTTTGGAAATTGATGAGAGTTTCAGTTCAGGGTTCTTTCTTTGTTTCTTTTTTCTTTCTCCTGCAGATTCTAAGTTCACGCAGCAGGAGCTTCCGGCATGGAAACCACTATATACTCCTGGAATTGTATTTACTCCCAATCTCTACATTCTGTTCTTAATTTCTTCCTGCGCTATCAAATTATTTTTATCCCAAAAATGGAGTGCTAGATTTTAGCAATCTCTGAATAATGTAACCTGGCTCCATGAATAGGTCATCGGGGCCTTCTCGCTCATCGGCATCATCTTCATACCGATAGGGCTCGTTTCAATTGCAGCATCACAGGAGGTAATTGCACAGATATGCAACATGTATTCTTGAATTCTGATTATTTGACTATTCCGGCACTACGTGAAATACATTTCTGCTTATATTTATTAACTAGCTAAATGTCTGTACTTTGCTACGGTTAAATGAAAATGTATTAATGTGGTGTCCATCTTTTTCTATAGAGAATATTCATCTTAATCTCAATTTTTATGTATCTATCTATTTAGATTTGATTTTTTAATAATATTAAGAAGTTTAAGGGATAACTTAATAAAATTTACAATGGAAGTAGGTGGGGTGGCTGATTCACGGCCACCACCATTAACTTCTTTTAATGGTAATTTTTATCATTCTTAAGAAAATACTGGCAAGTACTTTTTCAAAGACAATAGAATTTCTCTTCTTTTAAAGAAGTATAGAAGTATAGATAGTCTGGCTTGCAACGGTGGGTTAAATTTGTATTTAAACTCATTTCTTTTAATACAGTGACGTTGCAAAGTTCTTACGCGTTTGTCAAAAAGAATAATCTGGCTTGCCATGCAGGTTGTTGAATTGGTGGATAAATATGATGGGGAGTGTGTGACGGCTAACGACAAGGTCGGGTTCATTCAGGACACCAAGACTGACAAAGCGTGCACCAGAACGATTACTGTAAGTTTATGCCCGTTCGTTTCCTTGTTTGACAGTTGCAACTTCCTTGTTTTTCATTAACTTACATCTTAATACTAAACGTGTGTTTTTTATAGTAGAAGTTTCTTTAGAAAATCAATAAATATATATTTCAAGTTTATAATCATTTAATTTCAATTAACTATGCATTAATGGCTTGCCTCGTTTTACGTCAAGAGAAAAACTAACAGCTACTATGGTGGTGTTTGGATCCAGGGACTTAACTTTAGTCTATGTATTTAGACACTAATTTAGAGTATTAAATATAGACTACTTACAAAACTAATTACATAAATGAAAGCTAATTTGCGAGATAAATTTTTTTAAGCCTAATTAATCCATAATTAGATAATGTTTACTGTAGCATCACATAGGCTAATCATGGATTAATTAGGCTTAATAGATTCATCTCGCGAATTAGTCCAAGATTATGGATGAGTTTTATTAATAGTCTACGTTTAATATTTATAATTAGTGTCCAAACATCCGATGTGATAGGGACTTAAAGTTTTAGTCCCATCTAAACAGGTCTATGTTCACTAGAATTGAGCCTTAGATGACACAACTACACAACATGGTTGCCCTTAGCTCTTACCAGATTTATAGTATCCAGTAAATAATGATTTTTCTTTACTCATTTTTCAGGTGCCAAAACCTATGAAAGGCCCCATACAAGTTTACTACCAGCTGGAAAACTTCTACCAAAACCATCGGCGGTATATATACGCTAGACCTGGATGAGTGATTTCAACTTAATTAACTGGCCATTGTGGTACCGAAATGAACACTAACGTACAACAATCTTAATTCTTAGATATGTCAAGAGCCGGAGCGATAAACAGCTGCGGTCCAAGGAGTTCTCAAGTGTGATAAAAACTTGTGATCCTGAAGCCATCAGTGAAGGCGGAGCCCCTATTGTTCCGTGTGGCCTCATAGCATGGAGCCTGTTCAATGACACCTTCACATTTTCTGTCAACAAGAAGACTGTCCAAGTGAACAAGAAGAACATAGCTTGGAGCAGTGACAGGACCATTAAGTTTGGCAGTGATGTTTTCCCCGAAAATTTCCAGAAGGGTGGGCTCATAGGTGGTGGTCAGCTAAATGAGAAATTACCAGTAAGTGCAGTCAAATCAATCATCTTTATCACACTAGACTGCTCTTTTCGTGCTAACGCGAATATTAGGGAATAACATAATATCGAATAATTAGAAGGAGTGAGGCTTCGAACTCAGGTCGCCTAGCCCACCACCTTATTGAGCTAGCCGGAAAACCCCTAGGCGTTTCTCGTGCTTTCTTTTTTCTTGAACTGAATTGTCCTCCATATTCAGTTGAGCAAGCTTTCTCTGCAGTTAAATAGGTGGCTCTCCATTGTTCGCTCTTCATCTTATCGGTCATAGCTAAAATTTAAATTTTCAAACTTAATTTTAAAGTTTATTAAAAATTTTTTATCGTAGTTTATTTTCTATATTGATTTTTTAAGTCGCTAAACACACATAAGGAAAAGTTTTGCCCTATAAATTATATTTTTATCGTTAATAAGCATTATGGCCTATAATCGGCTGCTGGAAGTAAATTTAGTTACAGCTTTATCACACTAGACTGGTCATTTTCATCATTCTTTTTTTTTCTGAATTCTCCTTCATGTTTCAGTTGAGTGAGCAAGAGGATCTCATTGTCTGGATGAGAACAGCTGCACTCCCAACATTCAGAAAGCTCTACGGCAGAATCGAGACGGATATAATGGCGAGCGATGAAATCACAGTGGTGATTCAGAACAACTACAACACGTACAGCTTTGGAGGCACCAAGGCGCTGGTTCTTTCTACCACTTCTTGGATCGGCGGCAAGAACAATTTCATCGGTTTCGCGTATGTGGCGATCGGTACCATCTCCTTCCTCATCGCCTTGGCCTTCGTTGGTCTCAACATGGTTAAGCCAAGGTATGGCAAAATCGCTCGCTGGATTGGATTCCAGGGCAAACTGTAACTAAACTCTGAAGAAACTTTGCCTCTGAAAAATCTGAATGCTTGTTCGGTTGCAGGACACTTGGAGACCCGTCTTACTTGTCTTGGAACAAGGAGAACCCAGATTATGTCCAATGATCATGCGAGCGGGGATGTTCATGTGTTCATGTCCCATTGGGTTCGTCTGCAGCGTTGGATTAAAATTGTGTGGTTTGTAGAGAGCAGGATGAGGAGGGGGTAAATGAAGGGGAATATAATAAACGTTTGGCCCGGCCAAACCTGGTCCATTATGTTAGCCCGGCCCATTTAGGGAGCGACCCAAAATTCAGTCCCTAAATGGGCCTACCAATTTGGCCCTGTGGTTCACGTGGCAATTTTTTTAATTATTTTTAGAACTTTAGGGGTATTTTTTTAAAAAAAAACGAACTCTCTCAATACGAATGGTTAAATGTTTATATTTATATTTTTTAAATAAGAATGGTTAAATTTTATATGAAAAGTAAATTACATCATACATTGGGATGAAGAGAGTGTTTATGTATTTATACAAAATCTAGATCTTATCATCCTGTCTACCATGGCAACACCCCCGTGGCATGACATATGTAGTGGCGTAGCTAGGATTTAAAGTAAAGGTGGTTCATCTATATGTAGTATGTCAATTAAAAGGGTGATCCGCTATACAATTTTTATTATATTAACTAGCACATATACTATAATTTTAAATTTTTAGGTGGTCCATTGACCACGGTGCCACCTAGCTAGCTACGCCACTGGACGTATGTATTGTTTTGCCACACTATTTAAACTAGGAGTCCAAAATATTTAAGTTCCAAAGCAAATTTTGGGTTCTATTTTTAGAATTTTCTATTAAAATGGTTTTCAAATTTTTAAAAATCCTCAGGAATGCAGCCGAGCGTCCGAAGCTTGTGCACTGCATGAGCGTTACTCACACTGTGTCACACTGTCCCGGGTCAAATGTGCAGGCAGGTGGCGGTGGATGTGCAGGTATCGTGTACGTATGCAACGCTGCGACTTGTTAGAGCAAGTTTAATAGTGTAGCCAGCTACTAGCTCCAATTTATTTAGAGCAAGTATAATAGTGGGTTATAAGCTGGCTAAATGCTAAGGTGGAGGAGAGAAGAGAGGAGAGAGAGGAGAAGCGGGCTGTAAACTTACCGCCGGTTTGGACACAAGAACCAAAAAACTCTGTGAGAGAGACAAGTAGACCATGTATTAATTATAAAGAGCTACACTATTATATGGGTAGACTGAGAGAAGGCTATAGAAAACCTTATAGCCAACAGGTCGGCTGTATTATTAGCCTTGCTCTTATAGCCAATCTAATAGCTTATTCATATAATAGTTATCTATGAACATATACTACATCATTAATATATAGTTTCACCTTTCATACACACGATGTATTAGAATCCGTGTTACAGCTGATTATATATCTGTAGCCCGCTTTCCTTCTATCTTTTATCTTATCTTCTCTTCTCTTCTCTTCTCTATGTGCTTACAGATAACTATTATATGAATAAGCTATTAGATTGGCTATAAATAAATTGAAGTTAGTAGCTAGCTACACTATTAAACTTGCTCTAACAAGTCGTAGCGTTGCATACGTACTCGCTCGTTCCATACGTACTCGCAGCGTAACAAAATTTGCTTCTCTTCTCTATATGCTTACAGGTAACTATTATATGAATAAGCTATTAGATATAACAAGTCACAGCGTTACATACGTACTCGCTCGTTCAATACGTACTCGCAGCGTAACAAAATTTGCTTCTCTATGTACAATAGTCTGCTATTGTACTCGCTCGTTACGTGCGGCCACACCGTTAGTCAGAGGAACAGAGGGATCGAACGACGCCAAATGAGGGGGAGAAAACGGGAAGCAACAGCGGCGTGAGGCGAGGGATCTCGGGTTCTCGCTGGCTTCACGCAATTGCCAACATCCTCGAGTAGAAGTGTAGGCGTCACTCGATCCGTGTAGAACAACTGAACTACCAGACGTTCGTCCGTCCTGGGACCGACCGAAATTAACGGTCGCCGGCATGCACCAGTAGTCGTTGGTGTCGGCTTCACCAGTGGCCCAGAATCGCCCAACCGGGCAGTTTCGCGTCCGCGACCTGCAAATTTTCCAATTTCACTAATCCCTCCCTGTGATTGATTAATCTGGAGTATTCGGTATTCCACCCACGTGGCCGTGAGCACGAGACGGCACGAGAACTCGACGAGGCATCGTGTGCTGTGTGCGCGCGTTTGTACGTTGCTCAGCGAGCGAATGCTACCGGCAAGTGTCAAGTGGCACCGCGTTTCGCGCGGCGCTCCTCCCGTTTAGCCCACACAGGCACACGCACCGGCACGCGCTCCGCAGGCGGATCCAATGTGGGTACAAGGGGATTAGTCTCACAAAACCCATAGATACCCCCTAAACCCTCCTCTTAATTTTTTTATCATAGTTGATAAGATATAGGTGCTAAAGGTATCATAATAATATTTTAGCATAGTTTAATACTGAGATTATATGTTTATATCGGTGTACTGGGTATGTTGAGTCCCCTAACTTTTTATTTCTGATCTGCCCCTGCGGACATACACGAGCTTTTGCACGCACGCGGTGTGCCCCGGCAGGCCGGCACCGTGCTACATTGCCACGTTGGTGTGCCTGAAAAGCGGCTCAACTTGAGTGACATTTGAGCTAGCATAGCTATATCTTGACACGTCATTTTTTTCCCTCTACGAGGTCATGTTCTTTTCAGCTGTGTCGGATCGGATTATTTGCTCCTATCTCTAAAACGGCATTTTAAAAGATAACTTTATTCTACTTCATTGCTTAGACTATTTGTTCTAGTTTTTCAAAATATATTTCTCAAAATATCTAATTCATTTTAATAATTTTCACGAACGCGCAAAAGGATCGCATGTTAATATATTAGAATAAAATAGAGTTTGTTTACCCAACGCAATCAGCCAGACCGGCTTATACCAAGGAAAGGAAGATATTTCAATAATTAAGTAGTGGGCAATTCATGGCAATAATTCACATAGTAATCTAGATAAAAAAGAAATAAGAAGACACGAACCAAGTGATGGGAAATGTAAAAGTTTTTCAGGTGGGGGGGGGGGGGTGAAGCTTTAAAATAAGTAAAAGTCTTATGTTTTTATTTCTAATGAAATATAATTTTATCCTTAGTGGTTCAAAAGCTAAAACTGAAAAAAAAAAACTTGGCCCTCAGAAACCAAACGAAGGGGATGTGATCACTTCACATGCTTCTCGGTTAAAAGATTTGGTGTGAAAGGAATAGGTGGGTTTTCAGAAGCAAAGAACTTCCAATACAACAACTAGTGGCAAAAATCTTGGATAAAATAAAATTAGAAAAATTTTGCTACATGACACCCAAATTTTATGTAATTTGCTAATAAACATCGAAAGAATGTGTCACAGCTAAGAATATCCTTAAAAAAACTGATATTTTGCTAGAGAACTGTAACGCTCCGCTTCTCGTGAGACGTTAAAAACTAATTCGGCAAAATCCTATATGCGAAAATTTCGTTCTTTGTATGCGAATCTAAGTTGTGCCATGGATCTCAATTCAATCTCTTGTTGTTCCCTCTCATCGCCATCAAAATCGTCCACCTCAAGATTCCAATTCCGACTCAAGTCTCCGAAATCAAACTCCGAAATTCAATCGCATCCTTTGAATCCCAGCCAAATACCTATCCCCATTTCCGAAAATATCAAATTCCCATCTCGGATCCTTTCCTTGAGTCTCCCTTGATTCCTCCCTAAACCCCCGAGATCGAATCTCAAATTTGAAATTTAAACCCAAGTCCTAAATCCCTCCAACTCAAATTCCCTATAAAAGTCTACTTTGCCTCCCTCTATTTTTGTGGGCCGAATTCCTTTCCCTCGGCCCATCCCTCCTCTCAGCCCGTTTCCCCTCCCCTTCGCACGTGCTGAGCACGCGCGTCGTGCCCGAGCCAAGAGAGAGCACCGCCCTCTCTCTCTCTCGCCCTCTCTGCTTCCTCTCTCCCCGGCGCCGATTCCCGCCGCCGCCTTTTGAACCCGCCACCGCCTTTAGTTCCCGCGCACGCGCCGGTCGTGGCCGACCGCCCGGTCGCCGCCGCAGTCAGCGCCTGCGTCGTGCTACCGCTCGGCCCCGCTGCCTGCCGCGAGCTCTGCAGCGCGTGCCCAAGCCGCTCCACCCGCGTCCATCCAAATCCTGGAGGCAGAGCACTCCCTCTCCCACCTCCTTCTCCCAAACCGGCATGGTAAAGCCCCCCTTTCCACCGTCCTCTCTTCTCTTTTTCCCTCCCAAGCAACGACACCATGCCTCCACTCCTTGGCCGCTAGTGCTCGGAGGCAGAGACGCAGACGCCAGCGCCAGCTCGCCGCCCCCACCTTGACCGCGCCAGCCCGCGCTAATCCTCCCGCTCCCGCAATTTGATTCTCGCCGTCCGATCCACCGCCTTCACCGCGCCCTTGCATCCACGCCATCGCTGTGTTCGCACCGCCCACGAACTGCCTTTGTTGCTCGTCAGCCAAGCGCCAACCAGCTCGCCCATGCCTCCCAAACCGACCTCGCTCCACTATAAAAACCCGAGCCCCTCCCATCTCCCTCGTTGTCTCGCCTCCTCTCCCCACCACACCATTGCCGCCTTGACCGCCGTTGTCGTCGTCGCGCGTGCCGTGGGAGCCGGCGAGTGAGAGGAGCCAAAGAGGAGCTCCGGGCCGCCCCATCTTCGCACTCCCTCTCATCTTCCCTGACGCACTCGCCCCGACGCCGCGCCGCCTCGGTGTCATCCGCCGTGCGCCGCCTCTCGGTCGCGTGCCGCCATCGGCCTTCCATCCCTTTCCATCCTCAAATCGCCGCCGATACCGTTTCCGCACGCCGATGAGCTCCTTGCCCAAATTCTTGCCATTTGCATCATCTTGGATAAGCCCCGAGCCGTTCGGTTGCTCGCTCGTCCCCCTAAACATGCCGCCCCGCCGTTGCTCTACTTCGCCGCCGCCGCCGCGCCCGCCTGTGCACCGCCGTGGGCCCCCTCGCCAATCCCTCGCGCCACCACCGTCCTTGAGCTCCCTAGGACCTCCCCAAACCATTCCCTAGCGTCGTCGCCGCCCGGCACGGCCTCGCCGCCATTGCCGCACGCTCCCGGAGACCGCCTCTCGTCGCCGGACCTCCACGGCGCCTCCCCATCCCATCCGACGCCACAAACGAGTTCCCTGAGTCCTAGAGATGCTCCCACCCCTTTGAGTCAAACCCTCATCGTCTCATCGTGTTGTCCCCTTTTGCTCGCCGCCGGTGGCCGCCGTCGAAATCCGCCACCGACGGGCTCCTCCCGGTGAATCCGAGCTGACGAATCGCTCCCTCTCGCCCCTACCATCGGTCCGGTGTGCTCCCCTTGAGCTGTAGTCGCTGCGCCATGTCCCGGTGAAGCCGCCGCCGCCAGCCGTTCGTCCTCCGGCCGGCCTTCTTCCTCCTCTCGCCGCCCACGTGGCCGCCACATAGGCGCCACGTCGGCTTGACCCGGTCAAGCCGGTCAGCCATCCCCTCCTCCCCGTGCGCGTGGTCCACTGTGAGCCGAGCGGCTGCACGTGGGCCCGCCGCTCTCCCGTCCACCCGGTGCCCCCCCGCATGAGCCGCATCCACCGATCCGCTCCGCCGCTCTCGCGTGCACCTCGCTCACGGTGAGCCGAGCCGCCGACAAGCGGGTCCCACTCAGGACCGCGCGAGGTGAGCCCGGTCCACCCGGCTCCCCTTCCCCCCCTCTCTCCCCGCGCCCCTCTCTTGGGCCGCCTCCCCGTAGCCCATGCCAGCCCAATAAGCTCGGCCGAGCCGCGCAAATCCTCTCGGGCCACGCCAAGCCGCTCGGGAAAGTCTGATTTCTCTCCCTCGTCCATTTTCTTTCCAAAAAGGGTTTAATAAATTATTAAATCCTTTCTCCTTTGATTAGAAAATCCTTAAACCTTAGAAAATCCATATCTTCCCAACCGCTCATCCGATTGACCCCGTTCTACTTCCAGTAATTCCCTAAAATTGAGATCTATTTAATGGCACTATTAATTAGTCTAAATAGGATCTTTCTTTTGGTCTTTTGTTTAGGTTTTTGATTATTTGCGTATAGTTGCGGTTACCGGATTTTCGTCAATCGTGGTTTTCTCGAAGATTCGTGAAGCTCCGTGAAGACCTTGAGCAAGGCAAGTCACCCTTTGATCAATTGCCCCTATAACTGGAAAATCATTATTATTTTGTTTGCAACTTGCATTAGTAGAATCACACTTAACTTGCTTGGCCTCGGTTTGCACGCCAAACCGACGGACCTACCCAGTAGTCGCACTAATTCCTGTAGGATGTACTACCCTGATTCCTTGTCGCTCCACCCTTGTGGTACTTCGGTATCCGTGCTCTTTGAGCGTGTATACCAATTATCCCACATACACCGTTGATTGTCGAAAATTGGGAAATGGGTTTGAGAAGCCTTGAAAACCCGACCTGAGGTGTCGGTGTGTTTAAAAATAAAATGAATTGTGAAAACTCGCGATGCGGGAGCCGTGCCTACGTGGCGCTGTCCCGTATTCGCATATAAGGGCCGATTCCTGTGGGAAACTCATCGAGCATAATCAAAGTACAACCACAAGGTGGAATGGGACACCCTGGCTAAGTAACTAGTTGGTTCAGGGAAACCTCGCATGCCAATAGTTGGGAACGCCGGGGCGGGGTCGGACAAACCGGGTTCCTGGTAAGGCAAGGACGAGAAGCTTGCTTACTTACCGATCAAGGTGGTTGGAGTTGATTTGTGAATGCCTAAAATGGCTTATGTTTATGTGAGGATTTGATCCTTCTATGTGGCATGAGGTAACCCTGGGTCGGCTTGGGAAAGGCTTTGTCGCGCGCCTCTGACACCGGCCAGTGTCTGGAGTAAGTTCGTGTCTTGTGGGTAAAGTGTACCCCTCTGCAGAGGTTAACTAACTGTTCGAACAGTCGTGCCCACGGTCATGGGCGGATGTGAGGTAGTTCCCGTTGCGTAGATTTGTTTACCAGTGCTTTGTGAAAAGTTGTTGTGGTGTGGGAATCGTAACCAGAATCAGCCTATGTGGCAGATGGATGACCTGAGTGGTCAGAAACGAATCTGTGTGATTCGGGATATCTGCGGGCATCATAGACTAGGCTTCCCGAGGGGAAGCGGATTGCTTTGCTGCTGGGCAGCTGGACTCTGGGAGTCCGAGAAAATGAAAAAGGCTCTGGGAGCCGCCTAATCAAGTGAAATGGCTCTGGGAGCCGATAAGTAATGATCTGACCCGGGAGGTCGGTACATTACCATTCGAGTTGTTGAAAAGCATCTCTTAAAGTCGAATCAAGACGCAAGTCTCTTTTCGACCCAAACTTAAAAAAAAAGGAGGTAAATCACTTAGTGATTCCAAAATGCTTTCAAACAAAAGATTTGCAAAACAACCTTACCTCTCTTCCAAGCTTGCATTAAACACCTAAATTCCCGTGACTTGCTGAGTACGAAAGTACTCACCCTTGCTCTATATAAATATATATAGTTCCTCTGCCTTGAAGTGAAGATGAAGTGAAGTGAAGATTAGGGTTTCGTCCTGGTTCCCAGCCGTCGCCTGTGGTGTTGGGTGTTAGTTCGTTGGTTCCGCTGCCGCTGTTGCTGTTGGTGTTTCCTCGTCCGCGTCGTCGGTTGCATTCTCGGGCCGTTCTAAGCTGCAACCTAAGTTAAGGTAAATAAGTCCTCTATTTATTTTAAGGATTGCAATGATTCATATTTGTCACCATGGGTACCAGCACTATGTCCTGGGACTGGTACTGAGATCACGGTTTCGTAGGAAGCGGTTCACGTCGTTTTTCCTACGACACGCTCCTGTCAGGTGCCGTTGTACGGCGGTGCCGGATTGGGGTGTGACAAGAACACTTTCGGTTCAATTGGATCGATAAATTTCTAAGAAAGATAATAATGCCCCTAAAACCACATGCTTCAAACTGCATGATGCTATAGTAAAAATTTAGAAATTATACAACTCTAAATTTACCATCACATTATATTCCATCTTAGCTCTAGTTTCAGCTCAAAATATTTTGACCATAGAGGCATCCTTGTTTTTTTGAAAAATTTCTCTCTCCAATTGAGTCGAAAGTGTCATCCAACAAATTATCAATTTTTAAGTATCTTTTAGCCGTGACATGTTTTTATAATGTCTACTAGTAAATTGTACATTTTTTAAGTGTCTGTAGCAAATTTTGCCATAAAATTATGTATTGTATCGGGACGAAAGACATAGAGAGAGTAGTGTGTTAGCAAGCTCTGTTGCTGTCTGATTTACTATGTTTTTCATTTTGCTTTTTCTGTCACCCTTAGTGATTATGTATAATTTCTCTGGTACTTAAAATAAAACCAGCAACGTTTGGCTTAGGTTTAAAAATACTTGTAAATCAATTCTAAAACCTTAATTTAGCTATGTCTTATATGTCAACGAGAAGCTAGCCAAGCCAGGCAAAGCATGTCTCTCTCTTTTATTTTTTGGAATTTCCATGGTAGAATTTATTAAGAATCCCTAATATTGAAATATGAATAGCCGCAAGTCCCAGCGTGTAAAAACAGCTTAGTTAGGCAGCCTGAACCAGAAGAATTAGTGGTGCCCCGACTTAAAACGACGTAGACCGCCAAGAAACGAACCAACCGGCAACCGCCGCCGCCGCCGCCTTCGATTCGATTCCGATCGAGTTGGAGAAGGCCGCCGCTGCCCAATGGCTCCGCTACCCTCGCCACCGCTGCTGGCCGAATCGCTCGCGACGCTGCGCACAGCCTCGCCGTCGCCGCCCATCCCCTGCTCTCCTCGCCGCACCCGGCCGTTGGTTTCAGCTAGGTTCGCAAGAACGGCCGGCCGCCGGAGCCGGAGCACGGGGGGAAGGAGAGACCTTAGGAGCTGTGCCTATGCGGCGGAAGCTGAGTACGGCAGCGCGGAGGATGAGGTCGCCGACGACTTCTACTCCGTTCTTGGCGTCGTGAGTGTTCTGGAACATTCTGTTGAACAATTCCTTTGCAATAATTTCGGTTTACAGTTTATTAGGTTAGTAGGGAAGAACTGTGCATTTTAGACTGGAATCATTAGAGATCAATTTCTTCTCTGTAAAAAAAAAAATCCTACTTTTGGTGAGGGAGGAAAGATGCTTCTTTTTTTCAGAGTGGACTCAGACAATTGTTCTGAACTTCTGATGAGTGATGAGTGATACTCTGATAGTGGTTTTCCTTTGAGACGACGGATTTGCTGCTAATAATGACCCCTGATTTTTGCATCTCCAGATGCCAGATGCAACCCCTGAGGAAATCAAGAAAGCATACTACAGTTGCATGAAAGCGTGCCATCCCGACCTCAGTGGGGACAACCCCGAAGTAACAAACTTCTGCATGTTCATCAACGAGGTTTACACGGTAAAACCCTTCAATGAAACCTTGGGTCCTTGTGATTGCATATGGCAATTGTCTTGGAAGATGTGTTTTGCATTGAATTCTTTTTTGTTCAAAACGCTAACATGAGGTGTTGAAGAGCAGGTGCTGAGTGATCCGGTGCAGCGTGCAGTGTATGATGAAATCCATGGGTATACAGCAACCGCGACCAACCCTTTCTTCGATGACAGTGCACCCAAGGATCAGGTGTTCGTTGATGAGTTTACCTGCATAGGTACTGACATTTTTTGGTATGAATAGAGCTATAAAAGATGCTATTTGGTTCTTCATAAAGAGATTTGATATATTTCACCTTGTTGATGTGGATTTAGGATGCAAATATTGTGCCAATGTGTGCCCCAATGTATTTAGAATCGAGGAGGATTATGGGAGGTCAAGAGTATATTCCCAATCGGGTAGCACAGAGCTAATTCAGGAGGCCATTGATAGTTGGTGATGCTCTGAAACCCAACCCAGCATAATACTAGGACTGTTTATCTGTTCATAACAGATTACTGAATGTGTTATTCATGTGTGTTATATTTCCATGTCCAGCCCAGTCAACTGTATTCACTGGACTTCTGCTGCACAGCTTTCTCTCCTTGAGAATGAAATGCGGAGAATAGAGCGGGTGAATGTAAGTAATCCTTCTTTCAGTTATTTAGATGTACGGTATATTTTTGTGGTCATATAAATCTCCAGTTCTTTGGTTTGATTATTAGGAGTTTAGGACCTTATGGTTAACTTCTATAACATAGATGTAATCACAAAAACTCCTAGTTAAAATAAACGGTGCACAAGAAAGTTTCTTATATCCCTGTTCCTTTCTTTCTGTTAGCATTTTTCTGGAACTCAAGTGATATTTTACAGGTGATATTATCTTGTTTTCTCCTAATAGCCTAGTAGTACACTAAAGGGAATTTCAATTTTGAACAGGTTGGGCTGATGAGTGCTGGGATGGGAGTTTCAGTTGATGTATTCCGATTGGTAAATTTGTATGTCTTTATTATGTAAATTTGGCATGTACTATCTAAATTTCTCTGTTTGCATATCCTCAAGATTCTTTCTTCCATGTCTATGTTAAGGCTAATAGAGTATAGATAAAGCATACTTTTGTTTAAGCATACAGATTATATTATGCATAATACTTCTCTATGTTGTTAATTTTACTTGTTCTTAAGATATTTTCTATTTAACAGGCTAGCGTGCGTTGGGAAAAGAGACAGTCAAAAGTTTTGGTATGGTTCCTTCCCCCTTCGTCATCTTTGTGTTTCTCATAGAGTTAGATGTTTTTAAGGATTTCGTTATCATTTACCTATTTGTATCTTTGCAAATGGGTCATTGTTTTGTAAACTAAACATTTTATGTAAACCTTTATTTTGTTACAGGAAAAAATTAGGACACGGATGACAAACAAAAAGTATTCAGATATAAGTAGTTCTTGGACTGATATCTGGGGATCCCCAACTCGATACCAAGGAAATGGTAAGCTAAAACAAATAACACAGTTTGTTAGAAATACCTTGCATGGTAACCATGCAGACCAGCATGTATTGTGTAAATATAATTGTTGTTACCAAAAATATAATTATTGCTCATTCTTGTATTTCTGAATCCGATTGAGATTTGCTGATGATATCAGAAGAAGAAGGAACAGAGAGAGCGAAGAGAGCAGCTGCTGCTGCTAGGAGATGGCGAGAATACTCGAGAAAAGGCGCAGACAGGCCACCGGAGTACAAACTTCCAGAGGCAGCGGGCAATAAAGAGTAATAGCAGAACAAAGAAATATTTCTATCCTGCTTACGTTATCTGATAGCATTTCGTCACCTGTACATATAGCCTTATTGTTTGAAGAGAGCTGACATGTAGATTGCTCTCTCCCAATTCCTCATTTTTCATTTGTAATATATAGCTGATAACAATAACCTGTAGAATACAAACGTCAATAGTTAAACATTCGGAATGTAAAAGATGAATATGTGCACATTCTCCTTCAACAATGGTATACATCCTGAAGATCCATCTTTTCTTGTGTGTGTTTGTGCAGATGAATTCCGGGGCAAATTTCCTTTGGCAGTAGTCTGGTAACCCCCAGGCATCGATGATGAACTGCAACATCTGCCAAAGGACAACTTGCCCAGCAATGCAGCTGCACATCTCATGGTCTCAACCTATTTCTATCCGTGTGCCACATTTAGTTTCATGTGTAGAGCGCACAGTTCACTGATCATTGTGCAGTGATATTTATACTCGCTCCTGCATGGTGAAAGGCAGCAAGGCTTTTTGCAGCTACACGGCCTTTCTCTGCTCCTCCTGCAAAGGCACACGGAGGCTGATAGGATATACTGTAGGACAATGCCTGCTCTCTAGATTGTGCCCACTTACAGGAACAAAGTCTGAAATGGAGAGATCATTGTAGTGCATATATCTCCAATCTTTTTAGGTCATGGGGCTACTTCCCCGTTTATTCTTAGCCTAGCTTCTTGCTGTCCAGACCATGTAAAGTTAAGTAGCATCAAATATCTGCTGAGAAATCTAGCTCAATCTGATTTTCTCCACTGGTTTCAGACTTTCAGTCACACAGGTCATTTCATCACCATAATAATGCAGCAGTACACAACGCAATTTAGTAGCAAGCTGATCTCCAGCCTCCAGGAAGCCTCTGCAGCTACCACCCAGAGCTGGACATATCACCGGTCTGTCGGACAGGCTCAAAGGGCCTCGATCGTGTGCTACTTCAGAAAAAAGGCAGGATTTTGCAGATTGATTCCCCTTGAGACCACTGGAAAACAAGGATCGAATCAAGGGGAAAAAGTGCCCGCATGCGAGATCAAAAGAGAGAAGGAATAGGGATATCCATGAGCATGTTCGCTGCCGGTTTCTTGGTTCCTGCGCTGAACCCGTCCCACTCCCACCGCACGTCCGCACTGCATTGCCCTATTTGCCCATGCATGATGCAGCTCGTCGATCGATCAGATCCATGCGCCTGCCAAGGTTAGGCAAGCAAAGGCGCCACGACGCGCGCTGTGAAAACCCGAACTCGATAAACGTGTTTCGCGGGGACTCGCCCGATCGGGGCACTCGATCGAGCTCACGTTTTCTTTTGTGTGTACGTGCAGCGGCAAGATAGGCGGAGCAGCGCGCGGCAAGGGCGAGATCGGTGAAACCGGTCGTTTGCTGATGTACACGAGTTCTATCTATTATAATGACACTACCATTATATATACTGTTGTGTGAAACGATAGAAAAGTGAAACCCACGTATTAGTGATTGTGATTGTAATGATAATGTTATTATGGTAGAAGATCCTCGTCCTTCTACAGGTTACTACTCGTACGTATCGCGCGCGCCCCGCGCGGGGTACTCACGTGTTTTTCAGGCTCATGCGGCTGCAATACAAGGTTGACGCGAGCGGGAGCGTTCTGCGCGTGGCGTACGTAGGCGCGCGCGCGAGAGATCGGTGGAATCGGTCGGTTGATCGATCGACGGGCAGCACAGCAGGCTGGGCGCGGCGTACGTGGGGGTTGGCGCAGGCGGTACGCGTACGTACGTGCTGTTCTCGGCTTTGATCACCCTCCGGCGCGTGTCACGGAGTGACGGACAGTAACACACAAACACGGGCTCGTTCCAAACGTTAAAAATTTGGTTCAGTATAAGACAGGACTTAGGCTGCGTTTGGGAGCGCAAGTTCCCAACCTGCCTCCCGACGAAAAAAAACAAAGCATTCAATCATAGTGAGATTCAATTATAGTGAGATTAATTAAGTATTAGCTAAAAATCTTGAAAAATAATTTAATATAACTTTTTAAAGCAACTTTTTTGCGAAGATATCTGATCTGAACATGTTGAATAGGCCAGATTTACATGTTGAGACTTTATTTCCCCTCCTCAGAAAATTTTGTATCTATGCTACTACCTTCGTCACAGAATAATTATAATTCTAGATTGTTTAGTACATATTATAAGGTTTAAGAAGCGAAATACTATGATTTTTCTTACTAAATAGTGTATAGATAAGAGTGGAAGGGTAATTAAGGGTAAAATATGGAGAAATTTAAATGAGAAGTGATTAATGAGACCATTAATACTCTGTTGCAGTAATTATTTTGAGACAAATTCAAATAATAGAAATACAATTATTATAGGACATCCAAAGTACTATAAAAGACACTAGAGTGGTGATGCCACCACAACTACTTTTGTACCTTTTGTAAACTAGCATAATGCCATGGCATTGCAATGGATTTTTTCTAAAAAAAAATAGTTCATTCTATATATTTTTGAAGTCTCTAAAATAAGTTATTCTTATCGTCTAATAGTACATCATAGAGCGACGAAGAATTCCATAATAAGAGTGTTTGATTAACATTTTTTTGGGGGGGTTGATTTGCTTGCGTGGATAGGAAAAATGTAAAGTTTTCTCCTCACTTTTCACGGGCCTCATATGGTAGTTAGGGTGGTGATGGCATCACTAGTTCACCACCACCAACATCTTTAAAGTAGTATAGATTAGTGCGAGTCTATATACTATTATAGAAAACAGTGGTGGATACCACCATTATTTTTGTATTTTTTTATAAATTAGTTCATGATATTTTCTAATATTATATAATAGTCTCATATTTATTCATCATATATTCAAATAAGCAAATATGTCTATGGCATATTATATATTTTATTCTATACATAATAAAGCATGGGTATTTAGTGTTTAAAAAAGTATGTTCGACAACCTCTAAATGAAATGCCAATTTGCACTTAGGCTGTGTTTAGATTCAAAATTTTTTCGTCAAACTTTCAATTTTTCTGTCACATCAAATGTTTGGACATAAGCATGGAGCATTAAATGTGGAGAAAAAAAAATAATTGCACAGTTTGCATGTAAATTGCGAGACGAATATTTTGAGTCTAATTACGCCATAATTTGACAATGTGGTACTACAGTAAATATTTACTAATGATGGATTAATTAGGCTTAATGGATTCGTCTCGCAGTTTACAGGCGGAATCTGTAATTTGTTTTGTTATTAGTGTATGTTTAATACTTTAAATGTATGTCCATATACTTTAAAAAATTGTGGCACAGGAACAGACGAACTAAACACAGCGTTAGCCAAATGCATCATGCATGCAGCATGCAGTGATCGAGTTCGTCCATGTTATTGACCGGGAATCAGCACGCCGGCCGGCATGAATATTGAATGCAGAATGCGTGATGCGTCGCCGATAGTATAGTCCAGACGACGACTCGATCGCATGCAGAAGAAGCAAAGAAATGCAGACCGATCTGCAGCCGAGGACGACGACATCTCTGCGCACTATGGTAATATGATTACAAGGGAAATAAAATGTGATCTTTGTGGCCTCAAATCTGCATTGCTGGGCAAGTCTCCTTTGGCAGTGGCTTTTGCGTGGTTTGATCAGCTCGATCGGCCACTGCCAAGGGAGACCTGCCCAGTAATGCATGGGCCCCATAAAGTCAGAGACACCTCGCTGGTCTTTGCCTGTATGCATGTATAGCTAGCTATATCTGCTTCTCCGAGGATTCGAATTCTCATCGTATTTATAGGCAGCGTGCAGAGAGGCCAGCATAGTCACGCAAGCACCGCGAGGAGATCGAATCGGCATTATTCGTAGCACAATATATATGATATATCTGAACTTCTGAAGATATTTAACGGCCCCGATTTTTGTGATTAAACTTTTGCGCAGCTAACTGTTTCAGTTTCCATTTGACGACTGCTCGTTTTCGATCTTGCGCTGGGCGATCTGCATTGTGTTGGTGTCGGCTGGTGTAGTTGCTCATTTCTTCTCTTTCTTTTAATGGAAAACAGCGCGAGAGTGCCTTTTCATTGAATAGAGCAGGAGAAAATACAACTCCTAGGGATAAAGGAAAAAAAAAAGAGAATCACTATAGCTATATACTATACAGAGTACGCGATTAACTAACGCAACCGCTTAACCCCTGCTAAATCTCAAAAGCTAGCCTCTTCTTTGATTTTCGTTAGAAGGAAACACGTTGCCATCTCTTTGTGATCAAAGATTAGCATATTTCTCTCTTTCCAAATTTCCCAACTAACAGGATGAGCGATCGAAGTCCCTTTTTCGGGGCGTTGGGCGTATTTGCAAGGTTCTCCAACCACTGTTGGACTGACTGGGCTTCCTCCCATTAGTTCGGCTCCATCTGCTGATAGCCCACCCATCTAGCGACGAGGTGCCAGATCCTCTTGGTGTATCTACAAGTGGCGATAAGGTGCAACGCCGTCTCAGCCTCACAGCGTCAGTAGTTGCTCATTTCAATTATCATGTTCTTGATCACCTCTTCTCTCTTGGATATACCTGGCTAAGAGCATATGCTGGCTGCAATGCTGCAGCCTGCATGCAGAAAGCAGCTGGAAGGTCGGAGAAATGTAGCAGTGCTGATTTGCTGAAGCATTATGCCCTCAATTGGTGTTCAAGAACAAGTAATGCGAACTGTTTTTTTCCTTGTGTAACACGCATATTCCGTTTAACTTAAATCTGCATCCAGAAGTGCAGGTATTTCTCTCTTTGCTAAATGAAAATATCGAAGATGTTCAGAGAGCATGCGAGCTTCACTTTCAGACCTGATACAATGTCCAAAAAATCTCAACTCCTGTTTACAGAATTACAGCTGAAGAATTTCAGGTCGTGTATCCAAACTTATGTATTGACCTCCTATTAAAAGGACTTAGCAAATTTCACCATGAATTCACCATCGCTGATGAAAAGGAACGAATGCTAGCCGGTCATTGCTGAAGAGGTGCCATACCTTTATGTACGGTGTTTCCTTCAGAGAAAAGGCCAGCAACTGCATGCTCTCGAATAGAGGAAGATCCAAATATCCAATGGAATGTACCCTGTAGCAGTACCATCATCTCAATTCAAACCATGAGAACAATTTGAGCTCGTGGCTGCCGAGGGCCAACGCAAAGCTTAGAATCACAATCACTGATCTACTGAAGATCAAGAAAGGCAGGTTGCTTTTAGTAGTAGATAGGCATGCAGATGAGCGACAGGGAGGACCATTGCTGGAGCACAATATTCCAAAGGAAACCTGAAAGAGAGATCAAGAGATGGTGCATCGGCAAATAAAGGTTCATGGCTCGGTTGTTCCTCTCGAATAGTCCTCGTTCTGCCAAGGAGCATATGCCATCTTAGATCCATATCTCGAGGCCGATGGCGAGCTATATAAGCGAGGTCAAGGCACAACCATGTTCTTCCAAGAGAGCTTGCAGCACCAAAAAAAAAAAAAAAAGGTTCTTCCAAGAGAGCTTCAAAATTCAGAAATGTTAAGGTTCAGGATTTCAGATTCAGCCACAGTATGCAGTGTGCGACCGGCGAATTACAGGGCGGTTTCTCCTTTGGCACGTACGGAGGCAAGGCATGCGGTGAAAAATCTCTAGCTAGCCATGCGTGCCAAAGGAGAATTGCCCTGCGATTCACCAACACAGCCATGCAGTTCTCGTCCCATAATGCAATCTCATTTCGCAATGCATGTTCAGAACTTCACATTAGCTCGCTTTTGTCACTGAATATGATAATAATGGACTGCCTTGCTGCAGGTTTACTCAGGATGGTTCTCACAGCAGGCAATCGCTCCTGCAGTTGCTCTGCATGATTAGAAATAGGACAAATAGGGTTTATTGATATGGTTAAGAGCAAGAGTCGCTGGCTTCAAATATTTCTTGGAGAATAATTAAAACTTGTGACATTTCTTTTCTCTCTTCTACATGCATGTCAAAAAAACGATATACAGAAGAATCTACTCGCCTACAGATCGCTACAGTTACATGAAATAAATTATGCATATAAGTTAGCTACATGTAAAATCTAGGGGTTCTCAGCGTCAATGTTTCATCTTGGAGACTTAGTTGAAATACACTTTCCACAAAAGGCAAGTCTTGATAGAGCCCGTGATCTTCGTGTCCTCATCTTCAATGCAGAGAGCTGCAGTGAAAATGGTCAGCATGTGTGAGAAAAGATCACCGCATACAGAGGAATTATGAGAAAACAGGATTAGCATATTATCATCAATTGATCAGCAACAAATGTTATATGCCATATAACATACAGCAGCTGTTCTTTTAGTACTAAACTGAGTATTGCTAAAGAATACCCTTTTACAAAGTACTTTTGTTTCTATTTGGCATATGTTTATTAGCATTACCTTTCGTCTAGTAGTGCTTGAAGCCTTCCAACAAAGTAAACTCGACTTAGGCTCCAATCTCCTGCAAATAGATCAATAATCCAAAATCATACCCAAGCTTCTTATATAATGTGGATGAATCCTATTTGATAGCTCTATTCATGTGGAAAATTTCTAGGATAAAATAAGACTTTGCAGCTCTAAAAATTTTTCATAAACTACTGAATATGTGCAGTGCTGTATCAAGTGCTTGTTTTAGTGCAATATTATTTTTTTTTAATTTGGGTATCATCTGTTCCCCTCCAGAGTATCTGCTGAAAAAAGTACTCCTCTAGTACAAGAGAGTAGCATAGAACTACTTACAAATTCTCTTGCTCTAGCTTCTCTGCAATCGACATAGCTTTTTGTCTAGACCAACCTCCTTGTTGTGAACAAGTTTCTGCCTTGTTAATGACATGAGCAAGAGATACCTTGCCCCTTACTATGCTGTTTTGTCGGCCATGCTCATTATTCACAACTTCTCGTCCTTGAAGAACTATGTTTTCTTTTCTGACACCGGCGCTGTTATTTGGTTCACTATGCCAGTCCACTTGAGAAGGTCCTACTTCTATAATTTCACCTTCAGTCAATATATGTGGATCTGATTGCACCCATCGTGTCTGATTTGAATTAGCACCATGGACCACGTTGTCTTTTTGAAGTCTCCTAATTAAGTTTTCACCTCTGGAAGAAGCGGAACTATGTCTAGTGAAAGACCTCCTTAATGCCACATTGGAAGTGCTATCCTCAGGATACGGTGAAATAGCTGGAACATGACCTGCCCTTGCATCATCCTTTGGTTCGTACCGGATTTCAAGTGTTATAGCAGAAGCAAGGACAGACTCAAATGCATGTAGAACTTGTTCCCTTGACCTCTCAGCTTTGGATTTATTCACACGAGAGCTGAACATTAGTTGCACAGTTGGTGCTGGAGGAAAAGAACTAAGTGTTAGAAGCAAGATATATTGGAAAATGGAAACAGTGTAGCTATTATTTCGCCAACACAATATTCTTAAAACAAAACATATTACACGTTTTCAAGGAATCTGGCATGCTTAGTTTTTTGGGGGGCTATGTGTGTCTTAATAACATCAACAAAGTTTTAAACTTGCTCTCATCAATTCTAGCATGAAAATTTAGTCACCATGTGGAGATGCATATTATTTTATTTACATGAGATATTTTATGGTCCTTGGGAGGTATGCGGTATTGAGAAATGAGAGGTAGATATATCTTATAGTATAGAAAACATGTACTATTACATGGCCTAGGCACCAAGATTGACGCATATTACTTGAACAAAGCGATTTATGGTGTTTGGAGGGTACTAGAGGTATCAGGCACCTTTACTTCAATAAATTTCAACGGTTGAGATGTTTACAGGCACACATAGCAAGCCATTCTATCTTATTGCTTGATTACTTATGAAACAGCATATTTATCCATCGCATTACTTAAAACAATAATAGGTCATCCTTGGATGTATTCTGCAATGAAATTTAGACATGATATAACTAGTAATATACAGAGAATGAGCAAGAAGGAATATCTTGCCTGTGCCTAGGCTGACAGAAATCAGTCGTGCTTCTTTAGCCAGCATCTTTCTCACTGAATCTGATCGGATATGCTCTAGTACAGCCTGCCAAATCATCTCATTGTCACTTTTTCTGTATCTAGATAAATTCACTCTAGTAGCACGCGCTAATAATACATGGTTGTCTGGTGTATGTTCACCAGGTCCCTTTCCTCTCCGGGTGCCTGCCATGTTGTTGTCAGAATCAACCCCCAGATTAGCATTTCTTGGTAAACCATGAGGACCAGCATATATGTTAGTGTGATCTATAGCAGTGCTCCTTCCTATGTCCCCCTCAGGGCAGGTAAGCAGGCCCTGGTTAAAGCTTGCACTTGTGGATGAACTCGGCAGAACATATTGTTTATCAGGAGCAAGTTGAAGCAGAGCAGCTGTAAGCCACGTCATCTTATCATTAGAGACCCTCAACTGTTTTTCAGCTTCAGAGAGTGTTTTCAAGGCCTGGCGTAGTTTTTCCATGTCATCTTTTGATACTGTAATCCATATATTAAGATGTTAGATTGTGTGGAAGAAGAATGTTTAGGTAACATGAATGCTACTAAAAAAGGAGAGATCAGCGATCCACGTACTACTAGCCCAGTCAACAATGTATTCTTTCTATAAAGGAAAGGCGTAAATAAAATATGTACTAGTATAGCCAGATCTATAAAAGGATAACAATACATTGGTGAGAAAAAAATGCTAGAGCATGACTTTTACAATACATGACTCATGGATGGATCAACCCAACTATAAATCCATCTGAAGAGAGTGATAAAAAGGGAGTGATATTGCTTACAGGTTGGACATTTGAAGAATTTTCTTCGAACCCTTTCCTGCGTGAATGCATAGGTGCCAGCAAGGATGTCAGTAATTATTGTGGCAAGCTGAGACATCAGGGCCAAAGGCTCAACACCTGTTTCAGTAATATCTCTTAAAGTTTTCACGGTGTTCACAGTGTCAGCAGACAGTGCCAAATCAAGCAAATCAACCAATTTATCATCAGAAACCAAGCCGACCTGTCCAAAGCAAACAATGTCCAGTTGTTATTGTCAGGTAAATTTTTAAATGAAGTATTTTTATCCAATAATATAATAGCAGGTTATTTTATTGCTACTGTTAGAATTTATACAATGTTTAGTAAACAACATTTAGAATGCGCACAATGTTTAGAAAGCGAAAATTGAGTAAAAAGACTGAACTTTTCCAGAGTACTCTTTAGCCCGCCTTCATGGTCCAAGTGTCAAAATTTTGCACACGTTCAACGCTAAACTTAAGTATGTCAACCAATGCTAGAGTCCCAATAATTAAATCAATAGCATGTTTCAGAATTATAGAATTACAATAGCTTGAACAAAGAATGTTTTACTACTATCATTTAAATTCTCTCTGAAATTAGAAACCAGTAGTATACTCAATAAAGAAGAAATTTTGATAACTATTGTTGGATCACTTACAAGTTCTTGGACAAGCGACATTGAGATTCTCTGCCCAAGCAAGCTCAGCTGATCCAAAGTCATCTCTGCATCCCTCAGTGACCCATCTGACCGGGAAGCAATAAGTTTCAGGGCATCTCTATCAACATCTAGTCCTTCGCTAGTAGAAATCCACTGTAAAGTGTTGACAATGTCACACTCCTTCAGTTTGGGAAAGAAGAACTTTTGGCACCTCGACACGATTATATGTGGGAGATCAAGATTGGGGCTGATGAGGATAAAAACCACACGCCGAGGTGCACGTTCGATGACCTTCGATATGACACTCCACGTATCAGGTGGCAATGTGTTGCAATCATCTACTATAAACACCCTGTGCTGAGTTGGTACAGGTGAAAGCATCACATTATCAAGGATATCCACAATGCTGTCAAGGTCAATGTTACCAACAGGCCCAATCTCCACTAAGCTCCTACTCTTGCCCAGATTGTGTGCGATACAAGACGCACATGAATCACAGGGCCTCGGGTGCTCAGGAGAATGGCAATTCAACGCCTTTGCGAACACCCGAGCGCATGATGTCTTGCCTGTGCCGTGCGGCCCGTAGAACACATACACCAACCCAATTTTCCTCTTCAGGATGGCATTGGAGAGAGCCTGCACCACCAAGCTCTGCCCAATCATGTCCTTGAAAGTCTTGGGCGAATACTTCTGCGTGAGGCTCTGGTGCCGGCCTCGATGCGAGCCCCGTGACCTCTGCCCCGACCGTGCCTCTGATGCGAGGTCAGAATCAAGCTCACTGGTCTGATTCGAGAATATCCCGAGCTCCCCCGAGAAGCTCCTGGCAATGCCACCGATGCCATTGCGCACGCCGTCGACGAGCAGAGGCAACGAGTCTGAGTCCGAACTGGTCGAGGTCAGCCTCGCCGTGACCGGGAAATGCGGATGCGAACGCGAGCCGTCCATGTGACCGCACGAGCCTGCGGAGGTGGCGGCAATGGACCTCCGCGCCGCCGACGCCGACTTGGGGTCGGAGAGGCCGCACGAGAAGCTCCGGCCGGCCATGTCGAGGAAGGATTTGCCGCGGTGGTGGATGCGTGACCAATTCCAGGGGATGCCGCACACATTGCGCGAGTCCTGCGACGCCTGCGGCCTCTGCAGCTCCACCCCGCACTCGTCGTCGTCGTCGTCGTCGCCTCCGACGACGCCGAAGAGGTACTTGTTGCCGCAGACGGCCTCCTGCGAGCTGGAGTTCACCGAGACGGCGGCGGCGCCGTCCACGCCGCGATCTAGAGCGCCGCCGGTGGCGGACGCGGGAGCGGCGCGCCGGCCCGCGCCGCCCTTGAACCGGCGCCGCGGGCCGCGAGACGGCTTGGGCTGCGGGTTCTCCGCGAGCTGGTCGAGCAGCGTCTTGAGCGCGCCGCCGGGGCGGGAGCTGTCGTCGTGGAGGTCGTCCCCGAGCCCGAGCCCGACCCCCTGGGGCTCGGCGGCGACCCTCGACGACGAGTCCACCGAGCGGCGGGTGGACGGGTCCCGCAGCGAGCGCGAGCGCTGCAGCGCGAGCAGGTCCCGCATCAGCGCGGCCGACGCCGACGCGGACGACCCCGTCGGGCTCCGCCTCCGCCCCGACGACGCGCTCCCGGCGCCGAGCCCGTGCGCGTGGTGGTGCCGCAGGTGGATGCAGTTGGTCAGGTGCGCGTGTCCCCGCATGTGGTGCTCGCCGCTGCCGCCGCCGCCGCCGCCACTCCCCATCCCCGCGGCCGCTGTCGCCGCCGGCGCCGGCATTGCGGGCGATCGATCCGGACTCCTCGCCTAAATCATCGCGTCGCGTCGCGTCGCGTCGCGTTTCGCGGCGAGCGAGGCCAAGAGGAGGGTGGTGGGTTGGGGGGCGTGGCCTCGGGTGGCGTCCCCGAAGTGGCCGTGCTTTCGACGTCGCGTCGCGTCCGCGACCGCGGCGTGGGGTGGGGGGAGTCGTAGGGTTCGAGCCTGCCGTTTGGCCGTTGGATGCATCTGCAGATCTGCACCCTCACGCCCGCGTGTGATTACTGTGCCGGTTCGGTAAGTTTCGGGGAGCTGAGAATGGCCAGATGATAGTCAGTTTTTAACAATATAAAAAAACTGGATTTTCTAGTTTCTATTTTTATTTTATTTTCTAAATTTTATAACTATATCTTCTCATAATATGTACCAAAAGCTAAATTTTTTTGGAAGAAGCTTCTGATCTTGAGAGAAGCTGCGGTAGCTAGAAGATTCCCAAACAGGCTCGAATATATTTGAGAGCATAAGATTATAAGAATATGGAAAAGCTGAAGTCCTAATTTCTGATTTCCAATTCATTTTGTGAATTCTATAACTAAAGATTTTTAAAATTTGGGTGAAAATCTAGATTGTTTGGCTTATGCCAGCTGAATATTTTAGGAGAAAATGTAGTTGGCAGAAACTCCCCAAAATAGACAAAAGCTCTTCTAGACAATTTAAATTTCTGTTTAGATTCTAAAAAATTATAGATGTAAAATCGTAAAAATGAATTGAAAGTCAGCAACTAGAAAACACAACTTCTACAGATTTTTAGAAACTAGCTATCAGCTACTTCTTGTTTCTTAAAATTTTGAACTCCATTGAACAAGTCTGAGACCGTCTGTGACACGAGATTATTACCCTTGTGCTAAAGTTGAGTGGTCTACCGCTAACAGTGGCAAAATGGCGCTAATAGAGCTGCTTGTTTATGCTTTCTTTTCGAGGCTATGTATTGAGGCTAAAAAAAGGAAAGGTGCTAAACTGCTGATTGCACGTTGTGTCGTGCTACATTTTAGTTTAGATAGGTAAGTTGTTGGTTTATTAAGGTGAGCTAGGATGCCATTCGGTGGGAGAATCTCTCTACGAGACTCGACACGCTGCTGATTATCTTTTGGTTCAGAGCTTTTCCTTTTGTTGACTTCACGTTGCCTACTTGGTCTATGCTTTGGCACCGTACCACGAACGTGCATATGAATATGTGATACTGGCCGACAGCGTCGGTAATTACTTATTACTGTACCTAACAAGTTAACCGGAGTAACGTACCAGTAGGTAATGTTAATGTCAAATCATGAGAAATTATCGTGCCAAGTACACGACAGAGTCATCGACCCGTATGAGAGTAGTACCGCGGTATAGCCATGGTGGGTCCGTAATCTAGCAGTAGCTGCGGTACTCTAGCTGTGGGCCTGCATGTGTTATCTGTTTTTTTTTTTGTTCACAGTGATACACTAGTACATCCATCCAAAATGTAGAGTAATATTTCTAACATATTACGTTGTCTCGAAATAAAGTTATTTCTCCGCCTATCTTCTCTCAACCAATCACAACTATTCTTCTTCATCTACTTTCTCTTTTCAACCAATCACATATTTTCTCCAATCATTCTCATCTACAGTATTTTCTTAATACACGTGCTAACCATTTAAGTTATCGCTATCCTATGGTTTGGTGATTATTGCACGAAACCACGTAATTATCGTGATATATATAGTAATTTTAAAAATTGAAAATATCATGATAGCCGCACTGTTTTATAAATTGTGATGGTGACAGGGATTGGGGAGGGGTGTACAGCCCACGCGGCAGTGGCGAGCACTGGGCAGCACGGCCCGGGCTACGAGTAGACTCTACGGCCCCTTATAATCATAGGAATGAAAAAAACGAAGGAATAGCAAAAAGATTCTGACAGGAATACAAGTGTAAAACAGAGGATTATAAAACACAGCAAAAACATAGAAATAACCGTTTGATTGAGCCGCAGAAAAAACACTGAAATTTGAGGAGAGATAAAGACTCAGAGGATTCTTAACATGAGGTAAAACCTCATGCTAAATTTCCTCCAAAACTTACATGGGAAGAGGCATTCCATAGGAATTTTATGGGATTACATAGGATTCATTCTTTTGATTCAAATGGCTATATAGGAAAAATTCCTATAGGAATAAAATCCTTTAAAATTACTATGAATTTTCTTTGAATCAAACGGGCCTACGAGTGAAATTGCTAGGCCCAGAAAATACTCCGTTCGATCTGATCTTCCTGCATTCTTCATCAGCCAGATAGCACTGTAGTTTGTGCGGATGAATTCACGCGAATTCTGAGGGTTTATTTTCGGTGCACAACACCAGCAATCCAGCCAAAAATTGAAAACAGCATATCACAATACACCGGGAAACGTTTTTGAAAGAGAGGGCTCCTACCCCCAATGGGCGCGGAAATCGAGGCGAATCATTGTGTTCTCTCGTCCAACTGCAGCTCTCGGAACAGAACGAAAACGAGGAGACCGAGGAGAAGATGAGTGCATCGTAGTACACTCGCACCACTGGAACTCCTTCCTGTGCTCCTGGCGCAGTAGCTTCAGTTCGCCGCGAGTCAAAATCTGAAACCTCTGATGACACCCTCACCAGTACTGCAAACTGACATATGGGCCCCCACAGACCCTCGGGCCCATATGTCAGCGAGCAGTACGGCAGAGGATCTAGATTGCTGATGAAGCGTGTGCCTCACCCGATCTTCAGGTAACCAGTGTGTATCGTTACATGGTACAAAAGTATGCTCAAGCCCTCTTTGTTTAGATTTATAAGCTAACTTATAAGTCGAATAGTCTAAACCTAAACAAACAAGTATCTTTTTCGTTTGGATTTTTTGAAGCCATAAGCCACTCTAACACTATTAAGCCAAAAGCTAGGTTGGATAAGTTTTTTTTGGCTTATGTGAGGTAGATGTATTACTTAACCACTAAATTTAGTACATTAAATCCACTGGCTTATAAATCATATAAGCCAATAAGCTGACTTAAAAGTCTAGGCCAATAAGTCTAAGCCTAAACAAAGAGGGCCTCAAGCTGCCGGGCAATATTATCTTTTTTGACGCTGACTTATTTATTTTCTTTACTCTGAATGTACTCCCTCCGTTTCACAATATAAGTCATTCTAGCATTTCCCACATTCATATTGATATTAATGAATCTAGATATATATATTTATCTAGATTCATTAACATTAATATGAATGTGGAAAAAGTTAGAATGACTTATATTGTGAAACGGAGGAAGTAGTATATTATCTTCAGTCTTACTTCACCTTGCACCGTCCACACAGTAACCCTGACTGAAGCACAGATCATACAGTACATGATACGTGTAGTACCATTTTTACTGTATCAGGGTCCAATATGGAGTAGTCCTAGACTCTGATGAGAAGTTGACAAAACATGCCCTGGTGCTCTGGTGAGAAATTGCTACAATACTCTCTCTTTACATGTGGGCTGCTTCACACACAGCACGGCAGCATGTAGCCGGAATACTGCCTAACCCTATGAGGACATAGACAAAGTAGCAATCTGTCACAAAATTGATCAGTGAAGCTATAAGCCAGCTAAATACTGAGGTGGAGAAGAGAAGAGAGGAGAGAGAGAGGAGAAGTGGGCTGTAAACTTACAGCTGGCTTGGACATAAGAACCAAGAAACTCTATGAGAGAGATAAGTGTGCCATGTATTAATTATGAAGAGCTAACTATTTGTTAGGAACCTAATTGGGCTGTATATGGGCCAAGCTAGCCAAGTCAAAGCGAGGCCCAAGCAAGCAGAAGGGGGCAGCATACAAAAGCAGCAGCAGCAGCATTGTTGGAAGGCATCGAACAGAATAGAACCCGGCACGGCGGCTCAGCAACGGCGGCGACTTGGTTCGGGCTTGAACCTTATCGATCTCCTTCTTCCTCCCTACTTCTGCTAGTAACTTGTATCCCCTATTCAATCCCATTTCCACCACAAAGCTTGAGTTGTAGTAATACAATTGCAGCTCAAAACCACCTCGACCTTCATTGCTTGTACTGTATATTGGTTCATTGAGATTTAGATATTGGGTTGCTAACAATCTGGTATCAGAGCCGTTCGGTTCACTGGGATTCTTGTCATGGAGGAGTTTGGGAGGCAGCCATGCAAGAGGGAGCAGGAATTAGGTTGGGAAAGTTTTCATCCAAGCAGCGCCCACCATCTGTTCGATGAAATGTCAAGCCCATTGGAGGTGTTTGAGGAAGACGTTCTTCTTGTCATGAGTGAGGAGAACATCACATGGGATGAAGCACTCCATCTGTTACAAGAGGAACTGAAGGATGCCCAATGTAGATTTGATGAGAAGCTAGATCGTTTTTTGGAGGTGTTCGGCTTGATGGGAGACAAGAGCAATCAATCTGAGGGAGACAAAAGGAGCAATGAATTTAAGGAATTCAGTGCCTCCATCAAGGAGCTCACCCCCACCACCGAGGCTGCTGCATTTCAATCACCCCAAGCATCACCTTCTTCAGCGCCCACCAAGTGTTCGATGATTTGCTTTGGCCTCGACACCATGTCCGACCTCAACATGGCAGCAGCGGTTGTGTGCGCCACCACTTCTCTAGCCTCCGTGGAGTTAGTGGCTAGAGGGAACGCAACCTGTGAACCCTACGTCAACACCCCTGGTCATCCCAAGGAGACGCACACCAAGTGTTCGATGGTTGGCTTTGAGGTCAAGGGTGGCACCGACCACACCAAGGTCACATGCCATACCATGATGGGTGTGCCTGATGGCGTTCTAGTACCTGAAGCATCATTCCATGAAGCGTCCAAGTATCCAATCCTGTAGCCCATCACAGTTGGATACGCTGTGACAGATTGGCGTGCTCACCCCCGCCGATCGGAAGATTTATTTATAAGAGCAGGTACAATAACAAGCTATAAGCCAACTATAAATATATTTTAAAGAGATAAAGGAAGAGAGAGAAGAACAGCGAGCTAGAGATCTGTAGCCAACTGCAGCACGGACTCCAAAAGCAATGCGTGTATGACAGGTGGGACCAGGTATTAATAGTATAGTAAGTAACTATTGTACAAATTTGCTATTACATTGGCTATAGATAATTTAGAGTTAGTAGTGTGCTATACTATTAAACTTGCTCTAAACAGGCCAGATCCGACAACGGCAATCTATCAGCAGCGATTCCAGAGGAGAAATCATGAACAACGATGGTCCCTGTTATGGCGTCTGCTTGCTTCATCATTTCGTTTAGGCTAATAAATCAAAATTTTAAATTTAATTTAAAAGTTTAGATCGCACACCGTACTGTTTGTTTGCACCATTACTGTAGCACCGAATCTGGACAATTGATCGGAAAAGCCAAAATTATATGCAGTCGTTAACTTGAAGTTCCTAATATAACTGCTGATTCGTACTCGTAGTACTTTGTTCATCCTGAGTGTCTCTCTCTCTGTCGTTTTGGCTGATATGTCTGTCTGCACTCAGCCGCTTGTCCCACTCCCAAGTCCCAACCGCATAACATTGTGCTTCAACCTTCAGATGTGTTCTCTGCATACTAGAACAATGTAAGATGCTCATTCGTGCTGCTGGACTCGTTAGTTCCCATCACAAGTCACAACCCCAGCATGTTGCAGCAGTGCAACATCCTGTATATGGGTTTATATATGTAATGAGGTCGTACAAGTAACAAGTGTACAACTCTAGCGCAAGCAAGTTCAGAGACAATGCTGCACAGAAAAAGCCTAATTATAGAGTAACTGCAGAACTACGAAAGTAACTTAAACTTCATTTATGTTCTGAGAAATACAGTCCTGAGTCAGCGATCAATGAACGATTTACATCATTTACAGGATCTGTTTTTCTATTCACATAACATAAATCTTCACTCAACCATCACGGTTCACGGATCAAATTTGTTGGCTCACTCAAAACGTACTTGGGCAGTTCATACTTGGCACCTGCAGCAGAGTTTTAAAGGTTGTTATTAGTCTTGCGTGATATAGTGGAGCAAAACAGTATAGGTGGTGAAGAAACAGCGAGAATTCCCAACGAAGATCTGCTCACCTCTCTCGTCATAACAAAGCGTCATGTCAGAATTTGAAACAACAATCCCAGCACTGTTCACTATGGTTTGTGCAAGAGGTAATTCAGCTTCAGCAGCAGCCCTAAGTGCATCCCAAATCTCTGTAAAGATACAACGAGCTACCAGTTATTTAACTAAGGCGATATTTGTCAGAGCACACTGTTAAAATTAAGCAATTGTGTTCAAATTTTAAGCCATGCTACAGTTGTAAAATAAACTCCAATGCCAATATGAATGATTTCTACAAACTTTCTTAAATTCGAACATAACAGGGCTTGTTGTATTGCCAAACCAAATAAAGATTATTCAGAAGAGGGCATAGATAAAGATGGACCTTAGCAACTTAGCTGCGAAATATGATTTAACAGTATACAAACATTCAATTGATTTTGTTTGACATACATAATAGATAAATGTCATAGATGGAACTATGGAAGAGCGTTTTCCCAATCAGCCTTGAAAAATCAGCTAAATACCTTTCTGGCCTCCATAGTGTGGAGCCGTGTCCCAGAATTCTTCACGCATCTTTGAGAGTTGTGTTGGTGTTATTGCCTGAGTGTGCTTCCAAGGTTTTGGCTTTTTGAGCTTCTTACTGTTCTCTGCATTAAAGAAGAAGGTTCAACATTACTTATTCATTCTAACTCATGTCAAAGAAATCTAATAAAACCTTGCTAGGATATAAATGCATATCAAGCAGGATTCTAGTTCCAGGAACTGTTCTGCAATAAGGCCTTGTTACAACACGACTTATTTATAAACCTACATTCATCTACTGTGAATAGATGTATCATAATTTTCTGAACAAAAAAAGCAGATTCATCTTTGGCTCTTCACTAACTTGGCCTGTATTTAAAGTAGCAATACCAGGCAATCCAACTTTCGAAAGAAGTATAACCAGTGCTAAAAAAAATTGAAGTTTCATTAGCGAGCAGACAAATATCCCAAGTGTGAGGCTGAAATTTCACAGATGAGTGTGTCTTTCTGTAATGTTCCACCTAATAAAGTATCTATAACTAGATAAGGTGTTAGAAATTGATCTTTTCGATAAGCAAGACAAGATTTAGCAATTGGTGAAGGCAAAGTGCTTAATCTGAACAAACTTTTGATTATTCTACTTCGAGAATAATCTGTCACTTTATTTCTCTCATCATAGACAAATGCTACTTTTGCAACATACAAACAAAATAGCTTTTCTCCTTTAAGAAAATGATATAACCACCAATGCTCTTGGCATTCAGAATACTGGTAGCGTTATCTCTCCACTAACCAAATGTGACCTCCATGACGTAGGAATTTGCACTACTCACTCTACTTGTATCAGATACCATCCCCACATTTCGATACATTAATTCCATGAGAGCACTGTCAATCCTGCAACATACCATTACTAGCAGCAGATTTGATACACTACATCACAGTAATGAGTAATCTACAGGTGATACTAAGTTTCATCCAAGTCAACAGTTCTACTGCAGCTGGATACTTGCAAGACGCTTAAATCGACAGCTCAAAGTACTATCGGATTATCAGTTCCGGTCACAATTCGATCAATAAACGAGAAGACTAATCAACAATAGAACGAACAACCTACTCCTAGCTAACAACAGCTCTGGAAACAATTGATCTCGGATCTCAGAATCTGAGCAGAAAACAAGAACAAAGACAGACAAACGAATCGAAGCATCAAGGAAGAGAGAGTAAGAGTACCATCAACTTTGGGAGTGGATCCAGCGCAGCCCATGGCGACGACGGCCGATCGATCAGACGCTCATGTGGGGGGGACGCCCTTCCAGAAGCTTCCGGAAGCGGAGCCGGATCTCGCGGCGGGAGAGGCGGGGTGTAGTAGTGGGAGACGAGGAAGAGGACGGTGGATTTAATAAGGGTTAATAAAGTGGACGAGTAGGAGTAGGAGACGGCAAAGCATCAGCAGCAGCAGCAAATTCAGCGGCATACGAGCGGCAAAGCCAGTGGAAAAAGAGAAAAAAAAAAAAGAAGGCAACTGCTGCTCAGGTGACGTCACCTACGCAGGTGAGGTGTCCCGCCACGTCACCTGCCGCCGCGGGCCCACGTATCCTCCCCCGCCTAGACCTGTTCCACGTCGCGACGGGGCACAGATGTCGCTGCCGAGTGGGCCCCACGCCGGTCCACGCACGGGGATCGCGCCTCCCTCCGCTTCCCGCTCTTCGTGGTCCCGGTTCAGTGGACCAACGGAGGCTGACATGTGGGCCCTACATCCCAGCCGGTCCACGTCGGTTCACAGCACCGGCTCCCCCTTCCCGTCCCTTCCCGTCGTGGTGCCCTGCACGCATCCTCTCCGCCATTTTTCCGCCGCATCTGGAGCTCTAAAACCCAAACCCTAGCCACTGCGCCGCCGCCGTCGCCTTCGCCGCCGGCCCGCCGCCGCCGCTTCAGCCATGAACGCCTTTCGGTTCCTCGGGGACATGACCCACCTCTTCTCGGTCCTCGTCCTCCTGCTCAAGATCTACGCCACGAAATCCTGCTCAGGTGAGCCCGAGCCGTACAGTGGGGGTAGGGTTTCGGCCGCTTGGTTGGGGGTGGGGGGGATTCTCCGCTCACGGATCTGTGTGTTGGCGCAGGGGTGTCGAGGAAGACGCAGGAGCTGTACATGCTGGTGTTCGTGGCGAGGTACATGGACCTGTTCACGGACTACATCTCGCTCTACAACTCGGTGATGAAGGTGGTTTTCATCACCAGCTCGGCGGCGATCGTGTGGTGCATGCGGCGCCACCCACAGGTGCGGCGCACGTACGACAAGGATCAGGACACCTTCCGCCATGTGGTGCTCGTCGCCGCTGCCTTCGTGCTCGCATTGCTCTTCAACGAGCGGTTCACCTTCCGCGAGGTGATGTGGTCTGACCTTACTTTGCTTGTTCACCGCACTGTTGAATTGATGCTGCAATGGGACGCCCGATAAAGTGGTTAATTCTGCTGAACCTATGTGCATTAAGAAATATGATATATCTGCTTAATATGTTTTCCCATGCTACATTTCGTTGCTAGGAACCGTAATTAAAATTCGTGTACAAGGCTGCTAGTGCTGTGCAATGTAACCTTAACAAATTTATCTCAGTATGAGCCACCCTAGCAATCTGAGTTCACAGTTTGCACTGACTTGAACAAGACTATAGGCACAATCATCGTTTTGTTCAGTGCAGTGAAGAATTGTGGATACCCTATTAATAAAATCCTACTTAAGTAAGGCAATGCAGACTGCCGACAGATGTTTGTTGATCTATATGCTATTTGCTGATGTTGTATTGTTGTTAGACTTCAATAGTGGTCAAATGCCAGACAATTTCTCAGACCTCATTCTAGTTGTTTTCAAAGAACACTGCTACAGTAGGAGACTCATCTGAAGGTAGCATATCCATAGAATGTAACAAAAGGTTAGGTGAATAACACCTATACCTATTGAATTAATTTAGAATTTTAGAAACCTATGTATTATTTGCTCAGTATACATCATCCTGCACTAATCAGGATTTCTTCCCTTTGGGTAAATAGAATCTAATCCCATTTTTCTGTAGTTTCAATTGTATGGTACAGATTATATTCTTCGAAGTGGCCACTTTTTTTTTCTAGAGCACACATACTTCTTCCTCTTGTTTCTACTGGAACCAATTAGTCAGAATGATGCATAGTAAAGTAGCACATTAGTAAAACACGGTCATGTTGCATTTACATTTGTTAGTATGATACACAAATTAACATAATTTCACCGTTCAGATCTGCTGGGCATTTTCGATTTACTTGGAGGCAGTGGCAATTCTCCCTCAGTTAGTTTTGCTGCAGAGAAGTAGAAATGTGGACAACTTGACTGGACAATATGTATTCTTCCTAGGGTATGAGTTTTACCACACAAGCTTTTTACCATAACATATTTATACATGATTCCTGTATTACAAGAGAATGAAACATGTTTGCTTTTCATGCTTCAACGGCTTCTGTTGCAGTCTCCAAGTTTATGATGGAAACATGAAATATATGCATGCATTAACTATTTAGTTTTTGTTTGGTCCTTAGGCTTGAGAATATTGAATATGCATGTATTTTTTTTTCTTTATGGACATATGACATGTCACATGTTCCTTCTGTCCATTTATATTGCTGGTCATAAATTTTGGCACATGAAATGCATCCCATCTATTCTTTTTTTGACGTAAGAAGGTAGAGCTGGCTCTACCTTATAGCCATTTCCTTAATAGAAATGAGGTAGTACAAAGTTTTAGTGAAGGAAGGAAACGAAGAAGAAACGGAGGGGACTTTACATTAGTTTTGGTATTTACAGATTTAAGGTTCTATCTGCAGTAGCTGCATCCCATCTATTCTTAGTTCTCTTTCGTCGATCTTCCATTTTTCCTGGTTAGTTCTAGGCTTGATTAATTAAGCCTACATTTTTTTAATATACATTGTGTCCAGATTCGGATTAGGGCATGCTTTAAATAGTGAACGATCGACATGCTTCTAGGTTCCCAGTTGGTCTCTTTCAAGTCTCACAATACTTGTTTTGCAGGGCCTACCGTGCATTTTACATCCTAAACTGGATTTACCGTTACTTCACTGAGGGTCACCACAGCAGATGGATCCGTAAGCGCCTGCCCCTCGTATGCTTGTGTTTCATATCCCATGTTCTATATATGAAAAGAAGTTCTGACGATCTGTTTCTTCCAGCTTGGATTGCTGGTTTGGTCCAAACAGCTCTTTATGCGGATTTCTTCTACTACTATTTCTTAAGGTAAACTGGATACTGTTGTCAAACCTCATTTGCAGACTCTCTGGGTACTGACAATTCCATGTCGGTTGTTGCAGTTGGAAGAACAATGTGAAGCTTGAGTTGCCTGCTTGATAGTTCTTCGCCACGCCAGAAAATGTGCACATCACATGAGAATTATCGAGATTAGTTGATGCTGGCAGAGACTTGGTAATGAAGTGGGCAGTTGCAATTTGTACTGTTGACTATGAAAATTGATGATGTTCATGTGATGGTTTCCCTTGGCAAAGGCTATTACGTTTCAGAAGCTAACAGTTGCTACTGCACAGAAGTAGACTAGTTCCTTTTTGGACCTCATACTGAGATGGAAAATCACACCCAATTCATTTGGCTTGTTGTTTGCAGCTCTATTACACTTGGTGTAAACAAACAGTGTGATTTCCGGTGTCTTGTAAAAACCAATGCACTCCAAACTACTCCGAAATACCAGAAATATTGATTGTGCTTCCTGGATCCTCTCAACGCTACTTCAGCATTTGCCTGTGGAACAGATCAACTGTTCAATTTTAGCTTTTCAATCGTGGGAGTTGTCATGTGATGATTAAACTACTGAATTATAATCTGATTGTCGGATGATCGTGGGTCAGTCTTCTATCAAGATTTATTTCGTCTATCTTACGACTTAACGTCGTTCACGTTTAGCATTAGTATATACTTCTACTTCGTGCTGATCTTGGAGTAACCGCCTTTGCAGCATTTTAGCCTGTGTCATCAGTTTTCTGAACATGTGTGTCATCAGTATCATTTTACTCTCTTTGAGATCGCCGTTATTACAAAAATAACGCCACCTTGTAAATGACAGAAATAGGCGAAGTGATTAATTTTTATATCATACTACTACCTTGTAAATGACAGAAATAAGGGAAGAGATTAGTATATGGCTTTTGCGATATTAGTATATGACTTTTGCAGCCCTGTTGAAGTCCATGTCATTTGCAAATTGCAATTGGTCCACGAACTCCCAAGTCCCAACATATTGCCGCAAAACATAACTAACAAAACGTCTCTGTCTTATCGTTCAAACAATTTCCTCACAAGCCTATAAAACCCAAAGATTGCAATCGTGAATGGTCAAATTTGTTTGTTATACTTTGTTTTGACACAACCGAGTTCTCCCCATCCTGCAAGCAATCGCTCGCCGGCTTTATCTCCGTCTCCAATCTCCTTCTACGACCAGACGCGAACGGCGAACCGCAACCACCTCTGCTGCTACGCTAGCCACCACCACCAACCACGATGTGCACGCTGGAGCAGCGCGGCCGCGTGTTCGTGCTCACGCTCACCGGCGACGGCGAGCACCGCCTCGGCCACTCCCTCATCGGCTCCATCCGCGCCGCCGTCTCATCCGTCGCGGCGGCGGCGGCGGCGGCCGGGCCGGGCGCGGCGCTGGTCACCGTGGCGGAGGGGCGGTTCTTCTCCAACGGACTCGACATCGGCCCTGGCGGGATCCCCCCCTCGCGGGTCGGGGAGCTCGTCGTGGCGCTCCGCCCCCTCGCCGCCGATCTCCTCGCGCTCCCCATGCCCACCGTCGCCGCCGTCACGGGCCACGCCTCCGCGGGCGGGTTCCTCCTCACGCTCTGCCACGACTACCGCCTCATGCGCGCCGACCGCGGCGTGCTCTACATGAGCGAGATCGACATCGGCCTCCCGCTCCCGCCCTACTTCGTGGCCATCCTCCGCGCCAAGATCACCGCCGCGCACGCCCTCCGCGACGTCACCCTCCGCGGCAGGAAGCTCAAGGCCGCGGAGGCCAAGGAGATGGGAATCGTCGACGTGGTTTGCCCCACCGCCGCTGAAACGGCGGCCGAGGCCGTCAAGCTCGCCGAGCAGTTGGCGGCGCGGAAGTGGAACGGGAACGTGTACTCGTCCATTAGAATATCCATGTTCCCTGAGGCTTGCAGGTCCGTCGGAATTGTCGAGGAGAGCGATGAGGAGAAGAGGAATCACTTTGCTTCTAAGCTATGAGGATGTGAAAGGTATGAGTCTCCAACTTTCCATCCCAACTCCCCAATTCAGCTGTATTCCTGAATTGTTTGCTGAATTACTGTTTATCATTGGGTTAATGTCATGGATAACACTAGATTGCTGAATTACTGTTTATCATTGGGTTAATGTCATGGACAACACTAGATGGGAAAAAACGGTTCAGTATGATTCCTGTTGGTTTTGCTATGTACAAAACATTCACATCAATATATAGGTTTCGCTACGTAGAAATTATGGACTTTAGATGTAGTAATGCTTAAGATATTGACTTTCATTAGATATGGTATGCATTCAAGATTAACTTTTTCTCAATTATTAAATATGATTTGATTTAAGCACATTTATATGCACACAAAATGGATCCAACATGTAAAAATAAGGCACTGCTAGAAGGTTCATTCTAGGTTGAGTTGGGTAATGGTTTTTGGTAAATCACAGTAAGGAGGCATCTGACTGTTTCTTCCCTGTCTGTCTATCGTGGTGTTAAGCTCATTTTTAACTGCTTTGTACATAGAATGCGTGTCCATTAGATAGTCTAGAAGTTTTGATATATGCTATCTCATGAGCCAATTCATTGGCACAGTATCAATTTGGTACTGTGGTTTGTGACATAGGAAATCGCACCAAACTGTTATTTCTACTGGAATTATAATTTGATTCCATATTCTTATGTTATTGACTTATTTCTTGCATGGGAATACAGTGCACAAAGATTTGTCAAGTTGTTTGTAATTTAGCACGTCTGTTTCATATTCGTGATTATTTACTGTTCCATCATTTCACATGTTGAGTTGACAATACACTTTCTACCTTTGTAAACTAACTTTTATAATTTATAACTTCCTCTGGTTTATTGAAAAATGGATATTATACTTAGACTTCCTGATATGAAATCTCTTCCCCTTAGTTTTTCTGATCTCTGTACAATATGACGGTATTGCGTGGCCAGACCTTAAGAAAAGGCTCCTGTATTTTATAGTGGGAATTTGATTAAGAATTTATCATTGTTTGTATCTCAAAATATATGAACTTAAATACTACTAGTATTTTCTCTGTTCCCTTTTGTTCTATAAAGCATGTTACCTTTTCCAAACATGTTAATTTAGTGTTAGTTTCTCACATATATACCTTTTACCCTAGTCTCTCTGTTAAAGTTTAAAAGGGGTGCACTTATTTCAGGATTCAAACCTTTTAAGTTTAGACTAACAAGTAAGCTAATTATATATATATATATATATATATATATATATATATATATATATATATATATATATATATAGGTTTAGCGATACAAAAGTGATTCCAAGATTTGTTTCTTAATATACTTCTATATGGTCATGTTTATCTAATTAGAAACAATATATAGCTTCATTTTGTTCCATATGAAGTTACATTGTGTCATGTCCTGTTGTAATGTTGAGCAAGCACCTAATAAACCCACAAGTCTGGCGGTTTATAGTTCTTGCATCAACCACTATTCAAGCTTCTGAACTCAAGATCATTTTTCTCCTCCTCCTTTTTCAGGGATTCTGTGGAAGTGGACCATTGAGCTCTTCTCAACATTATGTGTACATTGGCTAGCCAAGTAGCCATGGATGCTTTGTATGAAGGACCAAATAATCCAGTATATATAATTTCTGGAAAGCTTGTAAACTGTTGCTCTATCTGCAAGTGGGGAATATATTCCAGTTCCTTTGCACCACCTTGAGTCCTTGATTAAAGAATTAATGAAAATTCTCACTGCGGAATTACCATATGTTCTCCCTGGAACGTTGGAACTTTTGGACAATGTTCCACGTCATTGTCAAGAATCAAGATGACAGTTGACGGCACTGTGCCAACTGCCAAGCCGGTGTATCAGACTTAGGCCCTGTTTGGGGGAGTTTCTAGCTGCGGTAGCTTTTCGCAGAATCAGAAACTTCCCCCAAATAGTTCAGCTTTTAATTTAAATTCTGAGAAGTTGTAATTGTAGAATGCAAAAAATGAGCTAGAAGCCAGAAGCTGGGTTAGTATTAGTGCAGGTGCCGTGCATGACAATGGTGTCTTTAGCGGCTTCTGCCATTGCCGTTGTGGATTACCGACAAGCTTGAGGAAGTGAAGTTAGAGTATCTTCAATAGCCTCTCCAAACACTAATATAGCTAGCTCTCCAATTTATTTGTTAAGCTAAACTCATTCCTTACTCCAACAGCATCTCCATCTATACTCTCTATTCTGAGTCTATGACACTGGGACCCACACGTCAGCCTCTACTACCTCCTTCCTCCTCTTCTCCCCCATCCCCTCCACAATTTCATCGTGAGAGATACAACCTCCGCCCCCACGTCCTTGGGCTGCTGCTCCCACACCACCCCGTCCTTCGCCTCCACCGCCGCCCCGCCCCTTCCCATGCGCATCAGCAGCACCGCCAGCCCCAGGAACAGCTCCCCCGTCCTCACTGCGAGCGACCTCCTCTCGGTCCCCTCGGGCGGCAGCGGTGGTTTCAGGTCGTGGCCCGTGGCGGCGCGGGTGAGAATGAAGCGACGGAAGCCCCGCGGCTGCGCGGTGGTGGGCACAGAGGCAGAGGCGGAGGAGGGTGGCTAGGGCTTGGGAGGGAGGCCGAAGGCGGTGGAGGAGGAGGAGAAGGCGAGGAAGGAGGGGGTCATGGGGGCTCGTCGATGGCCACCGGCACCATCGCTGCGCCCTCGGCCAACAGCGCCGTTGCCACGCCATCGCCACCAAGAGAGGAAGGATGGGACTGGGAGTGGTGGTAGGACCCACCTTTGGCTAGTGGAGGAGGCTGGCTACATTTGGTTAGCCGGAGGAGCAATTTGGCTATCTGGATGGAGAGTTTGCTGGAGCTCGTTTTTTCTTTAACTTAGAGAGTCAAATAGAGAGTCGGTTGGAGATGCTCTTACTAGGCTAGAGAAGCAGCAGCTGAATTTAGCGAGCTCCTTGGCATGCTTGATGAAAACCAGGAGTCTAGGACGAAATGCCGGAGCTAAGGATAATCCAGAGTGTAAGACACTACTATATTCTTATGTTAACTAGTGTTAAGCATCTATATCTCCGACGTCTCTTTAAAAACCACTAGTAAAACTCAACTTATAAAATATACACATACTACTAATTCAATATGCTAATTTAAATATCATATTTCTCTCAGTGTGTCTTGAGCATTGTGTATAACGGTATAAGTCAGTGGACACTTTGCTGCTAGTACACCAATACTATGGGCTAAAGTTCGGCAAGCCTCTTTTTTTTCCTTTTTGTTAGGCCACACACTATGCAAAAAGTTTTGTGGCAAAGTCTAGATGATTTTGTCTTCAAATAACCATATTTCCCTTAGAGTGGTTGATGGTTTTTCTGCAATAACATATGTCCGATTTGCATATAGGAGTATTTGATTTGCTGTCAGGACGCAATATTTCGGGAAAAAAGTATTGCTCATCACACTTAACGAACAACTTTCTCTATATGCCAGTGCCTTCGTCCTATAATATAACAATCTAGTATCAAATGTAACACATCTTAATAGTATGAATATGAATATACCTTATTCAGATTCATAGCATTAGAATACGTCTTGTCTCATACTCCCTCTGTCCCATAATACAAAGGATTTTGGAGTGATGTGACACTTCCTAATACGACTACGAATCTTGTCTATTGTTTAGATTCATAGCATTAGAAAGTGTCACGTCCCTCTAAAATCCCTTATATTTTGGGACGGATGGAGTATTATGTTGCAATATTATTAGACGGCGGTAGTAGTAGTATACAACAACCGAATTTCTTACCGATTTGATCTTTGCTCAAAAATCTGTACACGCCTCATGTAGGCCCTGTTTAGTTCCAATGGTGAAAATTTTTGGCGTGTCACATCGGATATACGGATACACATTTGAAGTATTAAACATAGTCTAATAACAAAACAAATTACAGATTCTGCATGTAAACTGTGACACAAATTTATTAAGCCTAATTAATCTATAATTAGCAAATGTTTAATGTAGCACCACATTGTCAAATCATGGCACAATTAGGCTTAAAGATTCGTCTCGCAATTTACACGCAATCTGTGTAATTAGTTTTTTGTCTATATTTAATATTCTATGCATGTGTCCAAACATTCGACGTGACAAGGTGAAAAGTTTTTGCGTTGGAACTAAACAAGGCCATAGTGATGTGTGAATCTAGGTGATTTGACGATTATTTTAGACCCAAATCATGCATCATCTCGTGATAAATACCATCACGTAGGAGTAGGGGCGGATTCAACGTGGGTGCAGGGGGATTTGAGTCCCCCCTACACCCACCGAACCCATGAATACCCCCCTGAGCCCCCTTCATTTTTTTCGCCATGGTTGATAAGATTATATAGAAGGTGCTAAAGATCTCTTAAAAGCATTTTAGCATAGTTTAATACTAAGATGATGTGTTTATGCCGGTATACTCGGTATGCTGAGTCTCCCAACTTTTTTTCCTGATCTGCCCCTGCGTAGGAGTACTGTACACGTTGCCCCCATTCCATTCCACGGCGATAGGTGGGTAGACACGCTAACGAAAACTAGACACGATCACACGACTCGACAGCCGACAAGTATTACTCTCAAAAAGGGCAAAACAAAAAAAAAAAAAGCAAACGCGGAAAAACAAAAAGAGAAGACGACGCGAAAAACAAAAGAGAAGGGGAGACGCCCTCATCTCGCTCGCGCCGAGCCGCATCCCCGTTTCGCAGCGATCGCGACGACCGAGGCCGCCCGGGAGGTCGCGGCGGCGGCGGCGGCGGTGGCAGGGAGGTGCCCGATGGGCGACGAGAAGTCTCCGCTGAGCCAGATGGGCAGCCGCGACCGGGACCGGGAGCTCCTCATCCCCGTCTCCGGCGGCGGCTCGGCCCCCGGAGACGGCGACGGGGACGGCGACAGGGCGGCCTCCTCCTCCGCGTCCGCCGCTCTGTCCTCCTCCAGCCGCGAGGTGCCCATCCCAGCCCAGTTCTCTCCCCCTTCCACCTGAATCCCTTAGGGTTTACTTTTCCTCATTTTAATTCAGCTGCAGTTTAATTCTGTATATTTTTGGCTTATAATAGCTTAGTGCACGATTTTGCTGTTTTGTTCGTTGTGTCTCTTATCCTGTTGTAGATTAGGGGTTTACTGGTGAGATGTAAGGTGGAAAAAATATCACTATTGCAGTTTATGTGATAGGATATGCTTCATTGTTGTGTTTGGGAGCTAGGATAACGATACTATGCCCATGTTTGATGTGGTGAACCCAGTTATTTCATATTAGTGATGAGCTCACTTGCTTGATATATGGTATGGTATTGCTCATTTAGTCTGCTTAGAAAGTAAAGGTGAGAAGTCGCAGCTTCAGTTGATATTACCACTTGAACAGAGCAAGATGTTATGTAAATTATTTATTTGGTTATGATATTTGGAAATTCCTAAACCTCCTCGATTGCTCAAGTGAACCGCAATGACAGCTATTTTTCAAAAAACATTGTTCAACAAAAAGTTCCAAGTGTAACGTTTATGTTCTTATTCCTGCTTTTCGCATCTGATACTTGCCTTGCACAAAAAGTATGCTATACAGATTTGACATCTCTCCTCATATTGTTGAAGCCTGATAATCCCATGTTCTGATTCCCTTTACGTTTTCTATGATGCAGGCTTTTCATAAGGTGGTCCGAAGTTGGGCTTCAAAGAAATTCATGACTGGATGGTAAGTCTCTGAAGGATGCTGCCTAATAAATTTCTGCTCGTTCTTCTATGCATCTGAGTACTGTCTACCAGTGAACAGTATAATTCTTTCTAGCTAAAAGAAAGTTCTATTTATGCTACAGTGTCTGTGATGGTTTATCATACATGACACGGTTGTTGTGGGTATGTATTATAGCATACTTAAGGAATGTGGTTACAATTCAAAAGGTCAAATTTATGGGTTCCAGAATTAATAAAATCTTCCAGAATTCAAACTTCTGTTCTCTTTGCAGAACTGAGAGTAATTCAGGCAAGTGCTTTGGCAAGATCACTAGGTTCATTGCTGGTTCGTATGATAGTGGGTGCCTATTTCTTGGAATCTGGGATATAGTCTTTATTTTTTAAAAGGAAATCAGCTTGGAGAAATTGGTTAAATGCCAAGATGGTCACGTTTGGTTGGAAGTTATGTAGAGTTATAGATTGATACTCGTGTGGTTGCTTGATTAGTGATTGTGTATATATTCACATGGCAATGACAACGATGAAGCACACAATTAGGGTTTAACACTGTTTTCTTATGCTATGATAATTTCAATGATAGTATATGAATTTATCTTTCCACATGCTAGTTTATACACTAAGATGTTTGTTTGTTCATTTTCTTTTCCGGATACTTCCAGTGTAATTCTCTTCCCCATAGCAATAACATTCTACATCACATGGTGGTTCATTCATTTTGTTGACGGATTCTTCTCGCCAATCTATGCTCAACTGGGAATCAACATGTTTGGTATGTGAACTCACCAAATATTTCTGAAATAGTTGATTGCTCATGTTATAATTTCTTTCCCCCAAAACAGCATTCATTGTGCTTTTAGTTTAGTGCTGAGTCCTTTACATGTTACACATTTCTGTTTACATTTTATGAAAAAGTTTTGTGCTGGTACAATGTTAGGTGTAATAATTCTGGTATAGATTAGTCCTAGCTGATAGTTGGTCAGAGGTCTGGGAAGCTTGGCATTTGAATGATCAATGATGTAGAGCAAATTCATTTTATGTTTGAACTTGATCGCATATGAGTGGAATGTGGGATGCTTGTTGCCTATTACTTTTTTTTTTCACCCTATTTATTCTACAAATGAATCCTCAGGTCTTGGCTTTATCACTTCTGTTACCTTCATATTTGTGGTTGGAGTCTTCATGTCATCTTGGGTTGGAGCATCTGTCCTTAGCCTTGGTGAGTGGATTATTAAGCGCATGCCACTTGTCCGTCATATCTACAATGCATCCAAGCAAATAAGTGCTGCAATATCACCAGGTAAACCTACTGTCGCACTAATAGCATGTCTGCAAATTAGCTTGGGTTCAAATTAACTCTGCTGATTTCTAATTAACTCTGGTTTCTACAGATCAGAACAAACAGGCATTCAAGGAAGTGGTCATCATAAGGCATCCTCGTATTGGAGAATATGCATTTGGTTTCATTACATCATCAGTCTCTCTCCAGGTAAGACGACTATTAACTATTATTTCGCTTGAGATTACATTACATTAAGATGTTTATGTCATTTGTACAAAAATAATAAAATTGTTGATATCCGTTCAGCTTTTATATTAGCATGTAGTAAATGTCTGGTTTCAGTACCTAATTTCATCTCATCATCACGTGGTAACAGAGTTATACTGGTCAAGAGGAACTGTACTGCGTGTATGTCCCAACCAACCATCTTTATATTGGTGATATCTTCATGGTAAATTCGAAGGATGTTATAAGGCCAAATCTTTCTGTCCGTGAAGGCATCGGTTAGTCATAAGCATGTCCTTTCCGTGTCCCATTTCCACTTGATATTCATGAAGGTAGTTCAACTTTGTTCTGTTATAAAATTCCTTGATTTATTCTTAACACGTCATGCAGAAATTGTTGTATCTGGTGGCATGTCGATGCCCCAAATTCTATCAACTCTGGACCCACAGACAATTCTTGGAGACAGAACAGGAGCAAGCAGAAGCTGAGATCTCTCCTTGGTTGCAACTTGACTAAAATTATCAGACCAAGTACAGTGAACTAGATCCTGAGCAACACGATGTATTAGTGGTCTGTCGAGCTCTAGGATCACAAGGATCTGTAAATTAGTAGAAGTAGGTGACTCATATATTCCTTGTTCATCCGTTGGCAGTTTGTACCATGGTTTGCACTTTCTACCACGTTCTATACAAGAATGCTTCGTAGTTGTAACGCCTTCTTTACTTCTTACTGTTTTGAGCGTTGACAGCACTTGCCTTTAACCATGTTGAAGGTCATCCTGGTGAACTCTTGAAATATAAAGCCTTCTCGCACTGTCTTGCGTGCAATTTTAACATCGTTAAAATCTCTAATAATTCGTCGTGAACTCGTAGCGTCTAGGATGACATTAAGATTAAACAAGTGGATGTTTGCAACAATAGCTATGCTTGCATAGGCAACGATATACTAAATTAACAAAATACGACGTTGTAGACAATACACAGGCCATGCTGTCTGGCTGCTAAAAACTGTTGCAACATATCTATTCCAGAAAGATTATTCAGTATTCACGAATGAAAATGGCTAGTACCGATCATCCTCTCAAGGAAAGGCCAAGAATGTCTATAAGCAGGTTCGAAAAACCACACCGCAGAATGCAGTCCACCATTTTCAAAATGGGACTGAATTTTGCAGCAAACCTTATCTGAAGTCTCTTGCTCTGAATTCTGCAACGTTTTCGTATCATTCACCTCCTTGGAGGGGGAACAAAGTTACCCCATGGATTGTACTTATTTTCTTCTGATCTTAACCGTTAGAGTCCATTGTAGCTTGCCTTCTGGGCGTGGTATATCCCTTGGCAAACGGAGGGGCAGCTCAAACTCCCCAAGGGATGCCAATGGTGACGGCAGGTGAAGATTGTCTGGGTGGATATTGATATTGAGTTGCCTTGCAACCTGTTGATTAAATTGAGATATTACTACAAATCTGAAACTTTGGAACAAGGAGTGTGACTGAGCTGGAGGCGCACCTCGGAAACAATTTCGTCCTTTGTCACAGGAGACCGCAGTTCATTCCCAACTGAGATGAATCTCCTCAACACCTATCAAAATACCAATGATCATCAATAGTTCAATGGGCAATATCACAATTGCCGGCTAATGTGAACGAGTATAAAGAAATAGTTGGTTGATTGTAATATGAAACCAAACAGGCTGCAGCAGGATTCACGATTTTGGAGTAATAATCATACTAACCAAGAGAGCATTATCAAGACACTTTGCTGCCGTTTGATACTCCTTCAGTTTCTCTTCCTGTTGCTGTTCAAAAGTTTTCAGAAGTAAATGAGTAACAATTGAAAGCAGAAGGAAGTACGTGACTGATAAACCAGAATATGACACTTTCAGATCTAAGGCCCTGTTTGGCACAGCTCCAACTCCAAGTTATTTCAGAGTTGGGTTTTCTTAGCTCCATAAATTCTTGGAGTTGGAGCAGCTGCTGATTCAACTCGAAATCTGATGATATTATCAGTGAAAAAAAATGTGGTTTCAAGAATGAACCAAAGGTGGTTTCAAGAATGAACAAAAGTGTGCACATTACAGAGCCAGGAAAGCTACTGTACTCAAATTTAGTCACTGAAGATAGTATCATAACAGTGTTGAGTAAATAAAGCGAAACACTTAAGCAGTACTAAGTATAATGACTACCAAACAAGAAGTAAAAGAACTATTAAAGGCACTATGTTCAATTTTTTTCATACACTGAATAGTTCAGATGTGCATGTAAGAAAATTAAGACAGTATTGTAACCATTGTGCTCAGAAATGTATCCAAAGTATAACTTCTACAAAACAGAAATTAACAGTGTGTTCCTATGTTGGCATAGAGCTGAAATGAAAATATGAAATACAACTTCAGAACTTTATACAAAAACATAGTACACGGCCTAAGATAATCTGTAGCTCCAAAGAGTACATATCAAATCAATTCAGCACTTGAAACAATATAAAAAAGCAACAGACCATGAAGAAATTGATAAAATGGTATCTGTTCAATGATGTACATCATTACCTTAGCATCATCATCTTCTTGTCGGACTTCTTTCACCACCTCCTCCTCTTGACGTTGGTAAAGCTGATCAAACAAATAAGAATGATATTTTCAGGCACAAACTTATAGTTTACACTGCATCCAAACAAGTGACAAGTCGACAACAAGTAAACTTGAGTAGTGATAAACTAGTGGGACCACAGTAATTTAAACCTTATTTGCGCATAAACAAAACTACCAACAATCCAAGAAATACTATGACAAATTGTGCATGAAGAAGTAGAATTCACCATCCATAGCAAAAATCACAGAACCTATAACCTATAGTGCAATTCATATACCCATATAGATTCAGGTTATAGAAACAATGCAAACATTCAAATAACCAAGCTGTAGTAAAGATGCTTGTAAGTAGCTAAAATATAGCTATTACATGTTCAATTGTTCGATTGTTTATTGTATATTGAAGAACTAAAGGGAACAAACCTTGCGCTGCTCATGGATGAGTAGAGCGAATTTGTCAATGTTTGGGACAGCGAGCATCTTGGGCATAAGGTGGTTGCGGAAGTGTCCTGGGGCCACCTTCACTACCTCCCCCGCTTTCCCCAGCTTATCAATCGTCTACAGCATTCCAGGAAGAAACCATTGAGTGGGAAAACAACACAGTTTTAACTCCTAACATTTCCAATCACCATATGACAAAGGCACCGCCATGAGATCATTTTGCACCATGAAGTGTCCACCAAATGGATGATCGTTTCTCAATTGAAGAAAAACTACTAGCTCAATACGAGCGGTATAATCTGAAATTTCTACTCCAATTATCCCTAAGACGCGCGGAATAATCTGAAATTGCTACTCACTTGACTAACAACATTTCGCTCAAATCCAAACGTCGAATCAAATAATCGACCCACAAACCCGCACTCAGATCGTCGCAATGCTATACGCATTCCCCACCTTCCAGTAACCTCGCACGCATCAAAGAGACAGCCCAAAGCGAAGTGGCCGCGGATCGAAAGGGACGAGCTGGAGAACAGGCTGTTACCGTGGTGAGGATGACCTCCAGCTTGCGGTAGCGGAGGCCATGGCCGGAGAAGAGCACGGGGTTGGCGCCGCCGGCTGCGGCGAGGCAGTGGCGGCGGAGGAGCGCGGCGCGGGCGGACGCCATGGCGACGGCGAACCTGCTGGGTGGAGTCTCCGTCGTCCTAGGTCACTAGGGCTTATTACTTGGGCCCATATGTTTGGGCCTTGTGGGCCGAACATGACGGTTTGGGCCCACTCCAACCGATCACGATTGGACGGTCGCGATTCACTAATCGAACGGCTCCCGAGAACTGCACGAGTCGAGCTCCCCCGCCGTCAAGGAGTCAAACCCTAATTCCCCAGATGCCTCTATATAAGCACGAGCAAGAGAAGTCGTCTCCATCATCTTCATCCTCCACGCCGCTATCTATCTTCTTTCGCATGGTTGCATCTGCTTCCTCTTCTTGTTCGCTCGTCTCGGGTTGATCTGCGATTTCAGATCTTGTTCTTTCCGTTTGGTTTTTCCTTTGCCAGGTATTTTGCAATGGTTAATTTACTTTTTCGTTGTTCGAGTGGGGGATTTGATTTGTGTTTTTGGTGTCGAGGACGGTGAAGATCGTATCTATTGGTCTCGTTCGTCGTAACTGGCAAATTGTTTTTGCCTTGCCGACCATCCTGATATATCACCACCCATATTCCGAGTCCTCTGTAACCAAATCAATTTTCGATTCCTCATGAGATCAGATCTTCTTTGGTGATTTTCTTTCGTTTGGCTCTTCTTTTGGATTCATTGTGCAGTTATATTGGCCGATGATTAGATTAAAATATAGACAAGCATATGTCTGAATTTTCATGTGGAAAAGCCTAATCTTCTCTATGAGGTCAGATTTATTGATGCATGTCATTGTGTTGTATTTTTCGTCATCTTTATCCTTTTCGTTTACTTTTGAGGCCTATGATGATCAATGTGGAAACCTTTCTCTCTGAAATCTTGTGAGGACATACCCTACTACTGCCTTCCTTCTGAGGTCTCTTATCATTGTTTGGATCTGACTAAAAATCTTATTTTGATTTTTGATATGGTTTTAAAAACTATGATTTTTTAAGAGGTTTGATGCCGATGTGGATGTAAATTGGTTGCAAGGTCGAGTGATGAGCAAAAATGCATAGTTCAGATGATCAAACCCTAGTGGTTATGATTACTTTGAATAAATAGTCTTTCGCTCCTAACTGACGGCCTTTACGCACCCATCTCAAAAACGGTTACTAAAGATTTATTTATTTTGCCATATTTGATATAATTTATGTTCTCTGATTTTGTCTATCTTAACAGCCCGTCTTTCTATTTGTGTTAAACTTGAGCGTGAACTGATCTTGCTGTAGTGCTGCATCTGTGGATACAACAACCTACCATGAACCTACCATGATGTGATGGAGATGCGATGGAAAGTTGGGAGATTGGGGGAAGTTGTGTGTGAACTAAACGTGGATTGGGGCCCTGTTTAGTTCACATCAATCTTCCTCCAAATTCCCAACTTTTCATCACATCACAATCACATAAACTCTAATTTTTTTTCAAACTACCAACTGTCAAACTTTTTCTCAATTTCAGGATCTAAATGCAGACTGGATTGTGGATTGAAAATTGCGGCTGAAGAACGTGAACATTGAATGCAGACTGCTACATTCGCACTGTTTTGTATCAGTCCGTTAATTCTACAATATTTAGCTGTTTAGTAATTAAACAATGGTCCTGTCATCTTTTGTAACCTGTTAAGATTGATATTGAATAAATCATATTTGCGTATTTTAACCTAGTCTTTTTAATGTTTATTTTAGCAGTGGATGCTGCTGTGAAAAGCCCATGTCAGTACTACTCTATTTTGATGATCAGGCCCATCACAATGTAAACCCAATAGCTTCCTTATCTAGCTGGCCCAAAGTATTTATAGAACTATTCTATTCTTTCGGCTTACGCACGGCTCGCTTCGTCGGACTCCGCTGTTTCGGCCGCAACATCTGCCGCTCCTTCTCCCCTTCCCTATCCGTAACCCTAAAATCTCCTGCTGATCCTCCCTCTGTTGAGGCTGCGGGAGGCTGAAAATTTTGGGTTCCCCCGTCCTGGAGGAAATGCTCGTACTTTTGTCGATGTGCCTGCAAGATTTTGTCCTTTTGTCGAGGTGTGAATCTGAGCTACGTTTGTGATTCCTCCTCTTTCCCGTTCGTTTGTGGGCAATTTGGAGATGTTAACGCGATGGCGTGTTTGGCGAATTTGCGAGGCTCTTTCCCGTTCGTTTGCGCCAATCCGCTTCTACTTTGGCTCCGCCTAGTAAGCCTGAAATTTAATTGCATTTTACTAGTTTACTACGGAGATAGTCTTTCGCTTTAATTGTACTTCTCCCGTTTCGTTTCACAATAAGTCATTTTAGCATTTCCCATATTCATATTGATATTAATGAATCTAAATAGATATATATATCTAAATTCATTGACATCAATATAAACGTGGGAAATATTAGAATGACTTGCATTGTGAGGGGAAGTAGATGTTTTTTTTTTTCATTGAGATGATTTCCCAGCAAATTTACTCTTGTGGTAGTGGGATATCTAAGATAAACCTGATAGAACAAATATCCGTTTTTGTGCCGAAAGACACTTCGGTGGGTGGATGTTTCCCCTCACGACCACTATGCTCTTAAAAAATTACACTCGTAATCTGATTAATTTCTGATTCCTGCTTTTCATCCGTACTTTATTTCGAAGAAAAGGGAAATGTGATATAGACTTATGTCTGCTGTAGACCTGTAGTACTACAGGACAGTGAAATGTGATAGTATAATGCCACTTTCTTTTTGCCATGTGATACTAATTTACTTTGTGCGTTATTCCAAGTCTTGAGATATCCTTCTTGACAAAGGTCATTAGAATATTCTTTTGCAAGTTGCCAGGTGGCCTTTTTGTGGTGACTGGATTTTGGTGATGATTTGCAGCCTCAGGCCTTTTTGATCCTAACAGTTTTGGATCCTATTTGTCTTCGTATGATTGTTCTCATGCTTGGCGAGAAGAGTGATGAAAATGTTGCCATCGTTTTCAAAGTAGCAAATATGAAGGGTATGATTCCTGTCCTAGCTATGAACCTAGTGTATAAATTAGCAAATGGACCAATTATCACTGTTTGGTTTCTTTTATGACTTTTGGAATTTTTATGTTAGCGTGCTTGCTGTACATAGTTCACAGACAACTGTACATACAAAAGTAAACGTGCACACCAGCCACCAGATATTACTTGATATCATTGGGGTAGCTCAAGTTCTGTTAGGATATGAATATGGAAGAATGGAACTCCTTGTGACAGGTTATATATCTGTCCTGCACTATGCTGTTGTTTAGGGAAAAAATTAGCAACATTTACTAATCCAATGTTAGTATTGATTCTTAAAGCATCTTCAGGTTTTGCTAGAATTAGCTAAAAAAAATATAACGAACCTAGCTTGTACACCACATTTCTTTGTAAGAGACTGTCAAATTGAGAAGATGCTTGTCTTATACTCCCTCCGTTTCAAAATGTTTAACACCGTTGACTTTTTAGCACATGTTTGACCGTTCGTCTTATTAAAAAAAGTTTGTGAAATATGTAAAACTAATATGTACATGAAAGTATATTTAACAATGAATCAAATGATACGAAAAGAATAAATAATTATTTAAATTTTTTGAATAAGACGAATGGTTAAGCACGTACTGAAAAGTCAACGGTGTCAAACATTTTGAAACGGAGGGAGTAGTTCTGGAAACAATTCATCCCTGAAGAACGGTAGTTTATAATAATGTTACGTAAAGAGCAGTAGAGTAATGTAGAGTGCGACTTGGAACAGTAGCACGGAAAACGGAGCGATCCATTAGCGCGTGATTAATTAAGTATTAGCTATTTTTTTTCAAAAATGGATTAATTTAATTTTTTTAAGCAACTTTTGTATAGAAACTTTTTACAAAAAACACACCGTTTAACAGTTTAAAAAGCGTGCGCGCGGAAAACGAGGGAGATAAGTTGGGAAAATGGACGTCCGAACACAGCCTTAGCAGAACTTTGATCCAAAAACCTCTTGATTCTTGCTGTCCAAACCATGGCCTCTCATTGGAGTGATAAACCTTCACAAGAGCACAAACCATGTCCTGTAGTACTAATTGCTGGCGCGCATGTTTTGATATGGGATCCATGCCATGTGAGAGGACTGTTCACTCTTAACAAACTGACACAAAATACACTGGAGCTGTTTCATCAATAACCTAAAGACATTAGCATTTTGAGAGTGGCTATGGCTGCAAAAGTCCAAGTGGACACCCAAGAGATCATGGTGCACAGACTGAATTACTGAAGAGGGACTGGGAGAAAGTTATGACTGCATAGCAGACAAGCTGCATCTAGTGAACCTCACTGTTTACTACATCACTAGAGGACAGGTTGCTTAGGATATATTCTCCAAACTAAAACTGTAAGGAAATTTAGTAACAGACAATATAGTCTGGATGTATTAATAAGTGGAGAATTCAGTAGGTAAACAGACTCTTGCTACTGTCCTGGCCCTGTTTCTGAAAACAATGTTGTCTCTATAGCTCTGTTCAACCTTTTTTTTTTTTCAAATGGTCAGGCTGTTGCCTACGTTTTATATTAAGAAGGTGTCCCATTTAAAAAAAAACGAGACCAAACCTTACAATGCACAGTTAATTAGGGGAAACTGAGCGAAAACCACACTACTCTAACTAACCTAAGCTACCAAAAGCGTGAAAAAAGAACAATGGTGGAGCCCAAAACAACCATCGATAAAGAGCTTGTTGTAAGCGACACAAAGACTTCGACTTTCACGAGGCAAGTGCTATCATTGCCGAGCTTGTCGCCTAGTGACACGGCAGCTCCGACTCCACGGCTATCACATCATCGTTGCCAAAAGCATCGCAAAAACGAGCAAGTCACCGATTGTCCACTTTGAACATCAGCCCAAGCCGCCAGAGCACCACTTCTTGAACACAGCTAGCACCAACACCCCTCGAAGACTACAACGTGTTATCGTTGCCAAACTTCATTGCACCACAACAAAACAGCTCCGACTTCACCTAGAAGAAAACGAAGAAAGTTGGACGCTCACCACATCCAAGAATGGAACCCAGGAGGTGAAGGCCTCGCCGGGGGCCCACGAACGACCATCGTTGCACGGGAAGGTTTTGGTAGTGAGAGAAGGCGCCATAACAACGCCTCCAAGGAGGGAAACGACGCCTAATGGCGCCGCTGTTGTCAAGCCAATCAAAGGCCAGCCAAGGCTTTCGCCAGCGTCATCCAAAACCACACAACCCACCCGCACTTCGTACATTGCCGGACCACCACATCGTCCCTCTAGCCACCAAGCCTAGCCCGCTGCCATGCCGTTGCCATCCTCTGCTGCACGGGTTGACCAAGCGTGACCCGTCGCCACAAGCGCCCGCAACGCCGCCGACCCGACTAGATCCGGCCAAGGCGACCATGGATCCGGCTGTCAAAGCTCGGCCAGCCGCTGCCATCATCACCACGAGCGCCCACACTCCGCTGCGCCGCCGCCAAGATTCTCTCCCGCAACCGCCGGTGAGCGCAGCAGGCGGCCGCCACTGTCTCCGCGCCGACGAGGGCACGCACCCCCCCTCCGTTGCACGCGCCCAGCCCCCTCCTCTGTCACTGGCCTCCCGCAGCCATCCCCGCACTGGCAAGGGCGCACCGGCCCCCACCTCGCCTTGACAGCTCGGTGTCGTCCTTCCGGCCGGTAGGGCAACGGATCTGGCCAAGGGGCGCCAGATCCGGCCGCCCCCATCACAGGGCCGCCACCACCTCACGCCTCCTGGCCCCTCCAAGATCGACGACGCCGCCGGTGGTGAGAGCACTATATCCGGCCGGATCCGAGCTCGGCGGCCCCGGAGCTGGACGTCGTCGCCAGCGCCATGCCACCGGCCTCTGGCCCAGATCCGGCGGCGCCTTCCCCGCCTCCACCTCTTCCGTGCACCCGCCTCAATGCCGGCATTGATGTGGCCGGCTCCATCTTTTGGTCCTCCGCGCCGGAACCGGGGGTGACCGCCGCCGCGAGCCCCGCCAGCTTTGCCGGCCACTCGCTCAGGCGGCGGCGAGGCAGAGATGAGAGTTGGAGGGGGGCGGTGGCGGCTAGATTTCCGCCGCTCGAGTCGCCCACGCAGGAGGCGAAGCGGGGGCTGTTTCCTTGGCAATCACCGTCAAGCTAGAAAAACAATCGGGACACAGTTCTGTTCAACCTTAAAAACCAGTTTTCCCTCCAACGTATCAGTTGTTTTTGGCCTGCAACACAATTTACTTCTATCCACGGTCCATTGCTGGACAGTGGTAAAATACAAAAATACTTGTGAGATCCGAGGTGCAAAATTAGTAGACTGGAGATTATAAGAAGGCTGTGCTGTTTTCATCAGCTGTGAATTTTTTAATAATCGTCCTTCATACCATGTCACAAATTTAAGTTACTATAAAAAATGCTCGTGCGTTGCAACGGGGAAATCTACTTTAATCTTATTATTGTTATATGGTTTAGTTAAGATGAAATTCACTGTGCGAGTTTGCTTGGATATATATATTTTTAGAAAATCATGAGCTGCAGTTAGAAGTCCGATCGTCTCAAGTTAGCATGCAAGTTTTTTTAAAACAGATTTCTTATATGATTTCTTCTGTATTACCAAAAGTGAACGATCTTAAAAACCGACTCAATTACGGATATATATTTTCAAAAGCAAACGAACTTAAAAACCGACTCATACACGGATGACATACCAA